TGTTTAATGTGCTGAAACGTCTAGAACTATTGGCAACCTCGCTGCTAGTCTTTCAGAATGAAATGAGCCGTCCGTCCCACCACCCCTCGCGACGGCCCTGGGTCCGTTATAGCGTACTACGTTTAGCTTACGGTGTGTTTGAAGTCGGAATCAAGTCCAAAGTGAACTTTTCAGTGTTTTTCAGTAGTTTTTGCTTTTATTTAACGTACTTTTGAATCTGCGAATTTTCAATATGGTACGACAGTGTCAAATGTGTGGAAAAATAAGCTCAAATTACCCGAATTTGTCTTTTCACAGGTGGGTATTGTTTCCGCCGCCCCGTAATCGCCGTACATAGGCGTCCCACAAGGGAGCCTCTCACAATTAAAATAATTTCTAATTATATTTGTTGAATTTTGAGCTATTATAACAAGAACGTAGTAGCCGGTAATTGAATTATAATTCGTCTCAATTACTACTTAACTGTTGTAGATCATAACAAATTTGAATATAAACGTTGCATTTGAAACTTTATTATAAGCCAGAAAGTGACATTTTTTTTCTTAAAATTGCGTCATATTTTGGTCATTATATACGATATTCTAAAAGAATTTTGCTCAACATATAAACAAAGGTGTTTACCCGCCCTTTTTTACATTTTATTGCATTATTATATCTGCCCCTTCGGCCTCGTTTAAACAATTTTTTACCACCGTACAAATACCTCTTCCTAGAGTTATTTGTACGGTGTGTTTACCTTTTTTTTAGAATCGCGACGAACTGTAAATAATTCTTAGGCTACTAGTTTTATACATACCTATACACAGAGTGACCCAGGCCTCCAAAAAAGCTTTTTACCTATTACGTTTTAGGTTTGCAATTTTTATTTCAATTTTTTACATAAGATGGGGGCCATTGTAACGCACATTTCAAAATATTTTTGTCAACATACAGGGTGATTCTCGGGGTGATTTAAACGGCAATACATATGCTTAATACAGTTCATGAAGGTTGGGACATTTAACTAAAATTTGATTGTCTGATGAAGCTACCTTTAAAAGTAATGGATTTGTAAATAAACGTAATATTCATTATTATGCGACAGAAATCCCATACTGTAGCACACAGATTTGATACTTTTAATGATAAATGCCTTCTATTAAGAGACTAAAAGGTAATTGCCTCGTATCAGAGCCATCATAATACAAGAAGAAGGCCGAAAGTCAAATCTTGTCTTATATTTTCAAAAAAACACAATTTTCTCATTAAATATTGATTTTAGGTATAGGAAGTTATTAATAATACAAGATTAAACAACTATTACATAGTACTTTACAGGAAGCTATCGATTGCGAACTAACTAAATCGTTACTAATTACTAATTTTAAAAAGTTCTTTTTAAGATCAAAAAAGGAAAAACTAAAACCTAAATTATCATTTGAGATTTAAACGGGAAGTTCTAAATAATGTTGCCTATTCTAAACAAGAAAAATTTATTTATAAGTTTTATAACATCTCTAATTAAATTTGGACGAAAATAATATTTCTGTTTGCTGTAGGTAATTTTCTCAGGGAAAATACGTAAATAAAAATGACTTTTTAAGTCAAAAAAAGTCAAAAGGACAAGTTATTCCAAAAAAGGACTGTCCTTTTCAAAAAAGGACAGGTGGCAACCCTAGGTATTTCTGGAATGGAAATTTAATGGCAAATCTACAACTTTAGTTTGAAAATATGTTCCGGCCACCTATGTTTACAAAAATGTCTAAAATGTGCTTTACCATTGCCTGCATATTCTGAAAAAAAAATTGAAAGAAAAGTCACCAACCACAAACCTAATATAGAACTGTTTCGGAAGCCTGAGTCACCCTGTAAATATTCAAAAGTAACTGAAAGTTTATATAGAATTAACTGAAAGTTTAAATTGAAAATTGATGTTGGAGCGATTTTTGAAAACTACCTACTAACGTTTCAACATAAGTATATGTGGGATATTAATTATATTATTATATTAGACCTTATAACAAAACTCATCTGACGAAAAAGTGTTAATGTAGTATATTAATATGGAGTAAACATTTTACTAATTACTTTACTTTTACTTTACTAATGAAATTCGTTCCAAAAAACGATACGCCACTGGCCATTAGAACAATCCAAATGCGCCTAGTTGCCGGGGTCGGAAATTTTAGACTTCTCTATCTCTTCTGTCCTTGTTTGACACATTGGAATGTTTGATACACTACCAACGAGTATTTATGAATGAGATGTTCGGTCTATATTTATAATGTCTTTGGTTGATGATGGCTATAGGTAAGAAAGTATCTTCTTACAGCTTCATAATTTTCTAGATTTTTAAATATGTTTTTTTTTTTATTTTTTAGATAAAATCATCTGCATCCAAACTGAAGTGTACAAATAAAATATATTGGATGTCCAAGTAAGAAATTTGATGAAAAAAAAACGTATAAATATGTGGCAGATATTTTGGTAAACCATAATATTTAGTATTATAAAACAAAATTCTAGTTTATAATTTTATTTGTATTTTTATAGTCATTATATCAATACTAATACTTTTTTCTTTTTTGTATCAAACTTCTAGGGAATATTTATGGGAAATCTGAATCGAATAATATCTTCCTTCACCATAAAGTCAAGAAAATTTTGGAAAATGGAAAAAAGAAATAAAAATGGGCATGGATAGGAGTAGAAGATAAAATTTTAAGATATTAGAAGCAGCTGCCAAATTATTTTGGTTTTTGAAATAGCTACTCGCTACGGTGAGAACAACAATTATTACTTTATATTATTTTTTAACCTCTTTTTGTTACCTTTTCTTAAGATTTTGTATGAGTATATTATTAAACTCTTCGAAAAACTAATGTTTATTTAATATTTCAGGTTAAAACTATGTTGGATGTTCCTTCTTGGCAAGAATTTGAAGATGTGAAGGCAGTTGTGAAGCGATGGACTTACAAAAAATAGGTAAGCATTTCGTTAACTTATCTTGTATCTTCTAAACTCTCTAGTTTCTCTAATATATTATTTATTGATATTGTTCTTTGTATTTTAGATCAATTTTTTTTTGGAAATGTACATTAAAACAGGGAAAAATCAAAGATATAGAGTTGATAATGGACGACACAAAAGTGGCAGACTGTTGTAAAATCTGGTATCACAGGAAATATACAGTAAGTTGCGACTATAAGCACTATAATTATTTTAATAGATCATGTGTGCATAGAGCAATAAATTTATATTTTATGTCGAAATAAAGGAATCATATATTTTCTTTTACCTGTTATTTTTTCAAAGGTTTTAAAAACGCAGTAAAAAAATTTTAATTTAATAAATAAAAAAAAGGATTAATTTTGTAATATAAACGCTAATCCATGCAATACAATTTTTAGTTGATATTAATGATTGATATTATTGTCCAAAAAGACTTAAAATACTTTTTTTACATTTTAAAATTATAACAGAGTATACAGGGTGCTTCAAAAGAGTGTTACGAATATAACACAGGTTTTTTTTTAAATGCCACACTCTATTTTTTATTTTATTTTTAGATTCTGCGTAAAATTCCATAACTTTTTTATATATAATGTTATATACCTAATATTAATAATATGTTTTGTAATAATTAAATTTGTTTAAATAAATATTTGATTGTAGTGTGGTAAAAAATTGTCAGTGATGCCATTGTTTCTGAAGATGGACAACTAAAATTTGGTAGGAGAATTTTATATAGAGATATAGAAAGTACATCGTACATGTATATTATTTCGTATATTTTTCATTTTATTGATTTTATGGAAAGCACTGTTCATTAAAATGTTGTATCCTATATTATAGGGCTTGTTTCTCTCTACAATTTCTTGTTTCACAATGTACGGTTTGTGCCCAGGAAGTGTTTATAGTTTCATAGTTGTCGATTTTCGAAAGAAATCAGTACATGTATATTATTTCGTATATTTTTCATTTTATTGATTTTATGGAAAGCACTGTTCATTAAAAAATGTTGTATCCTATGTTATAGGGCTTGTTTCTCTCTACAATTTCTTGTTTCACAATGTACGGTTTGTGCCCAGGAAGGGTTTATAGTTTCATAGTTGTCGATTTTCGAAAGAAATCAGTACATGTATATTATTTCGTATATTTTTCATTTTATTGATTTTATGGAAAGCACTGTTCATTAAAATGTTGTATCCTATATTATAGGGCTTGTTTCTCTCCACAATTTCTCTCTACAATTTCCTGCCTCACAATGTACTGTTTGTGTCAGGGAAGGGATCATAGTTTCATAGTTTTCGAAAGAAATCCTAAATCCTATATCATAGGGCTTGTTTCTCTCTACAATTTCCTTTTATTTCTATTTAATTTTATTGACTATGATAATACATAATAAATGTTCCCGTGTTGTGCGAAATATTAAAATAATAATATAAATTTTTCTATGTTATTAATAATAGGTATAATGAGCACTGAAAACAAAAACAATGTTTTTTTCTACTGAAAATAATTCCGAAATAACCTGCAATCTGGCAACATGGTCGATGTGCGCATGCGTAGTATCCGTGTCTATATGCAGCAAAAACTCGTTTCAAGGTCAGCCACCGGATCCACATTTTACCTTTAAACAAATATTTTTAATTGAAATTATAATTCTAGTTCCATTGAAATTATAATTTTACTTCCATTGAAATTATAATTTTACTTCCATATCCTATGTATATACAGGGTGTTCTTAAACTTCTTTAAGTTAGGGTGAGAATTAAGCAGAGATAACTAAAGACTCGCATAGACAACAAGAGGCTAATGATAGTGATAATAAATTATTGTTATTAATACGAAATTATTTATCTTGTAATAGTTGTAAAAAAAGTTGTGTTCTATTTTGGTTGAAAATGTTCCTCATGAAAAGTTTTATAAAACCGGACAATTAAGTTATTTTATTCGTCCGTTTAGCGGACAACTAGACACTTCGAAAAATGTTTGACATTTACGACAAATGTCACAAGTCACAAGTTATTTTTCTATGGTCATGGTGTCAGAAGAAAGGAAGATTTTCCAGAAAACATAAATATTTTTAAAAACTTATCAAAAATATAATAGTGGAAATAATGGACGAAGAAAACGCAAACTCTACAATCTATGCAGTATGTGTACGTGCGGAAGCCTTTAAAATTCCTATTACATAATCAGAAGTTTTATAATGAAAGGTTTTTAGGTTGAATTCTTGTCTGTCCTGGATCAATACTCAATCAGCGACGATTTACATTGTGAATTCAAGTTCAACGATTATATTCCCCAAGACGGAGACAGAATTACCCTCTTTAAATTCGGCTGGAATGACGCAAAGGACTATTTACTTTTCGAATGGGTTCCTTTTGGTTTAAAGGAGACACGATATTTTGTTACGTTTCCTAGTAAGATTACGACGTTTTCTGAAACTTTTTTCGAAAATTTTAACGTTTTTAACGTATTTCAGAAGACGTTTTGCCTAAAAACCAGCTACAACTCTATCAAATTTGTTATATAAATGGCGAGAACGAAGTTATGGGTGCTAGTACCCCGTTTCAGTTCAATGCAGAACCTTCGGAGGTAAAACAGGATTCAAAACCAACTAATTTTGATGTAACAGATTCCAAAATAAGTACAAATAAAGACCAGGAGCTTTCATTATTAAAAGAAGAAAATATAATGTTAAAAGACACATTAAAAGCCCTGATTTCGAAGAGATTGATAAAAAATTACGATCAGGAAATAGCAGAGGTCAAAGAATTAACAGAGAGTCTGAAAAAGATGCTGTTAGATCATGAAAAAGAAATAGATAGTCTGAAAAGTAAGATAAGACAAGGTGGTGAAGAATTTAGGAAACTGTATTTGGAGAAAGTTAAAGTCGAGAGAAAGTATGAAAAACTAAGAAATAAAACAATAAAAGAAGAAAGAAATAAAACCATAGAGAGTAATGATAAATTGTCTTTTGATCTTGGCGATTTGCCATCGTTGCCACCGTTTGATATAAAACATGTAATAAGTTGAAAAGAAAGATTTAAAAATTGTTGTGTGTGGATTATTTGTATATATTGATGTTTTTTTGGTTCTATCTCTGTGTGCAATTTTATTTATTGTGTTTAAAAAAAAGATAATATACTAATTATTGTGAATATTTCATTCTAGTTTCCTAATATTATATTTATTTAAGTCAATTCAATAAAGGCGAAATTTAAAGTAGTTTTTAAGTTTTTTTTTCTTTGTAAAAATAGAAAGTACAACCCTACATTTAAATGTCTGATAAGAATAAGTACTATTTTATCATTTTTAAAATAATTATTCTATAAAATATGACTTTGCCAATTATCTATAACTATAATCACACTATAATACTTTTTTAAATAGTTTTTTTACACAATGGATTTAAAACTGTTCATTTTGTTTAGTTTCCTTTACTTTATCCATGTCGAACCTAAACCTAGACGACATATAAATGGTTTATTTAAACACCAAAAACATGATCCAATCAAAAAAAACGATGGTAAGTATTTTAAATTTTCCTAAAAGTAGTCACTGCATATTTTCTTTAATATTTTAGCATTTGCTCCTTTACTAAAACGCTTAGAAGACCTCTCTAAACTTTCATCGGACTTAATAACTGGAGACTATGTAAAAAGTATCGTAGATTGTCTAGATATTGTACTTACATTAAATATAAACGTATTTCTAAGGTTCGTTTTGAAAATTGTTCGGCGTTTTCTACTTTTGATACACCCTGTATTTTTCGTAGTGTTAAAAACATCGAAATATATGATAAAAACAATTTCTAGAGTTTTCTAGGTGTAAATTATGAAGAATTTTATGTAAATATAACTCTGGAATGGCTTATTAAAAATTTTATTATATTCTATAAAAATTCCAAATGATTTTTTTATTTTTGCAACTTTGTAAACTGTATTTCCACACATATGCGTGGTAATAAAACAATTAGTTGTTTTATTATTTAACTAGCGTGTCCCAGCGACTTCGTTCGCGTCGAATTAATCATTTGTAATGGTAATGATAAAGCCAAGCAAGAATTTCCATTAACATACAAACATACAAACTGGATAAAATTTTCTCACATTTATGTATGTCAGCATGAGAAAAAACAATATGGCGATATTATTATATAACTTGGTAATATTTGAGGGGTAGTTTCATCTCGTTGGAATTTGACTTTCGAAAAATCCGTTTGCCAAAAATAAGCTTTTTACGTCAAGCAGTTTCAGCAGAATCGTGGTTAAGAAATTACCCAACTTTTTGGAACACCCTGTATGATTTTCTAAAAAATTTCAAAATATGTAAAAAAAACAAATAAATTATGCTTGTCCAAGCGTTTTCCTGAAAGACTAACCGTTTTTTAAATAACAAATATTGTAATATTTGAGGGGCGTTTTCACCCTCTTGGAATTTGAGATTCGAGAAACCCCTCCTTATCGAACCTCTACACCCCACAGTCAATCCGTTTGACAAAAATCACCTTTAAACGTCAAGCAGTTTAGGCAGAATCGTGATTACTCAATGGTCATATTTTATGAAACACCCTGTATAAATTTATCAAAAATCTTAAAATATGTAAAACAACAAAATAAAATATACGAGTTTTTCCGAAAAACTCACCCGTTTTTAAATAAAAGATATTTTAATATTTGAGGGATAGTTTCACCCCCTTAGAATCCGAGTTTCGAAAAATTCCTTCTTATCGAACCTCTACACCCTAAAGTCAATTTGTTTTCCAAAAATCAGCTTTTTACGTCAAGCGCTTTAAGCAGGATCGTGATTAATCACTGACCAGATTTTTCGAAACACCCTGTATACATTTTTAAAAAATCTTAAAATAAGTAAAAAAAAAACAAAATAAAATAATCGTGTTTAAGCGTTTTTTCGGATACTTGGCCGTTTTTAAATTAAACATATTGTAATATTTGAGGGGTGGTTTCACCCTCTTGGAACTGGAATTTCGAAAAATCCCTTCTTATCGAACCTCTACACCCTAGAATCAACCTGTATGCCAAAATTGAGCTTCTTACGTTGAGTGGTTTGAGCAGGATCGTGATTAATCAGTATATCAGTCACTTAAGGATTTTATACAGGTTGTTAATTTGTTTATTACTCGCGGCAAGAGCTTTATGGTTGAAATATGGCAACCTCGGCCCGCTCGTCGATAGACGACGCGACGGAACGAGTCGGCAGAAAACCCTATAAGTGCATGCGTTCTCAATAGGCAGTGTTGCCATTCTGTTCCCCTATAAGTAACTGTCCAGTTAACAACCTGTATATTAGTATAGATTATGCCAGTAATTTGATAAAAATTGATTAATAAGTTTCCCAGTTTTGAAATGAAACTAAACACAGGGTGACCAAAGAATGTATCATGGTCCACATTCTTGAACTTTTCAACAATAATCACGTAGGCCTGATTTTTCTTTTCCTGCCACTGGTTTTCTTTTGATTTTACATGGATTTTACTCGTCCATAAGCAAAGGAAACTCTCGTATACAGTGAAATCACTGGAAAACTCATGTGAACATTGCCGTAGGTCAGACATTAGGTATTTGTATTTGATTAGCTGACTAAATAAAATAAAACCAGACCACAAACAAGTCGTTTGTCGCCTCCAGATGCTAGTTTTAGCGGTGGTTTGGGAAGTGGGTACCATTGTTTTATGTATTGTGTAAACTACTGAAGAATTAGAACTTTTAGAGAGATACAACCAATAAATTTAGCAAAAACGAACAAATCCACCGATAATTACACCAAAAATTGTAAACCTTTTGCCTTTTGTAAACCAACCGCCAGCTATCGTTACTTGCTAACATTTTTTCCACCAGATGTCTCCCTCATTTTTGAATTTTGAATAGCGTGCGCGTGGACAAAAAATAACTTTAATAGTCTTCTTGCGCTCTGTTTCATTCGTAAATAATTACCACTTTCATAAAATTCAAAATTGTTGAAAAAAGTAACAAAAAACATTCCCAAGTTTATAACTCCAAGCATTTACAGGGTGAATTGCAAGCGTCGCCTCTCCGACCAGACGAATCTTAACAACCCCACCTGTAAACGAAGGTACCTGAGAATGCGGAATTTCGTGGTAGAATTGACCGGCGCCTCGTCATCATTAGACTACCTTGACAGACATCGTACGACTGCAAACAATTCCTAACAACAACTCAAGAGGGCTAAATTATGGGCTGGCCAGTTCCCATAACGTCGCATTCCTCAAGCGCCAGAAAGTTAGGATTAGAGTCTACATCGCACGCCGCGTCTGCGAATCCCAAATGATATTCTTTTGTTTTTTATATAAGTACTTATTTTATGTCGGGATTGAGCGGTGAGATATTAAAGCATGGATCGTTCCAAAGGTGTATTACTGGTTGCCTAAGTTTCAACTAATGATTTTTGCAATTAATTTGCTAAACAAAGGTAAATTATTGCTTCTGTATACTTTAAATAAAAGCTAAAATATATAATAAGATGATTTTAAAATATTTCCTAAGGTATTTTATACGAAATATATTATTTTTTGGAAATTTTAGAAAATTTTATCGAACTGATATGTCAATTACTCATGTGGAAGATGGCGGCCAGTTGGCGGGAAATCGAATATCGTTCCAGAACCAGAAAGAACAAGAAAAGGTATAAAACCGTTTTATTAAATAATATATACCCGTTATAATATTGCAAAATGTTAACTATATATTTCCTTTTCAGTGTGTTCAGCTTCAGATAATACTAAAACATTAACCAAGTACTATAAACAATGTCCATTGCATTACAAAGTTCCAAGTCGAACTTAGAACTATGCAGTGCCAAAATTCAAGATATAATATGTAGAATAATTAAAAGAAAACCATACAAATATTCCTAAAAATGTGGTTAAAAATTGACACTACATGCCTAATTTGTGAGATATCATAAGCTTGTACGACCTGTGCAAAACAAAGGTACGTTCAAACTGATCAGGAATCAAAAAGTAGTTTTACAATCAAGAAACCTATGTAAAATAAATAGGTAGTTCTCATGGCAAATTGTTTTGAATTAATTTTAAAACTCTTTGAACATAATCAAGGTTTTTACGAGAATTACTTGGTATTGCACAAACTCAGAAGGATTCCCTAGTCTTTGAGGAAACGGCACTGATTTCTCCAGCTGGCTTGACCCATTTGACTGTGTTATAGGATAAAATTGTAAGCCCCAGTCTTCACCAGAGAAAATTCACACTCTGAATCTCAACGGAGGCTGACTATCCTTGGACCTAATTTTCTCAAAATAACATTCAAGAAATTCCAAAGGTATAATGTAAGGTAATACATTTGAATAGTATATATTGGGATAAAATTGTAAGCAGTGAATTTTTTTTCAGGGTTCTATTTAGAATTTAATTTAAAATAAATAAAACTATTAATGATTTCAGTAATTATCTTGCGCATTCGCCATTTTCTCGAAATCAAGGAAATCATATTGGAATTAGTTAAATCATTTAAAACAGTTCAAAATAATATATAGCTATAAGGAAACAGTTAACTTTTTAAGTTAAACCACGTATAAGATATCGTGTGTAATTAAATAGTCTAAGAATAAAATAAAAGAGAATCATGGCATTGTATTTATTGTAACAAGAACTAGTTAGTTACACAGCCATTTGTAAAGTTATATTGATATTATGCTTGTAATAATGAAGCAATTATTTGCTTTATTAGTTTATTATGCCAGAAATTTGATAAAAATTGAGTAAAATTTAAATTTCACAATTTTAAACCAAGATTACCCTTAACAAACGAAATCTACAGTCTACCAAAGAAACTTTGTTAATAAAATAATGAAGATTTTCTTTTTGAATAAAAAAAAGTCTATAAATAAGCTTTAGAAGGTAACTAAAAATTAATTTTAAAATTAAAGTAAATTATACCGGCCCAACAAATTCGTAGATCGTAAAAAAACAATAGAGACAAGACGATGAATGAGAAGGACGACTGTACTGATAACTTGCCGAACTTTGAACCGGTTTGTTAATGAAAAATACACATAATAATCGCTTTTCAGTGTTATTTTGATTTAAGACACTAGCTAGACTGAATAGAATAATTTAAAATGGCACTGAGATCATTTGGCAAAGTTTTTGCATCAAAAACATCGTTCAAATTGGTAGAAAATGCATTAAAATTACAGAATGTGAGGTTATTTTCGTCGCCTGCAGGGGGTAAGTTGGTTCTATTTAATTTTTAATCAGTTTTCGAGTGCTTTTAAACTATTTTTGTTGTGAAAGATAATGAATTTCCTTGAATTTATTAAAAGGAAAATAAATTCAAGTGACATTGGATTTTTTTGACCTTAGACTATTAAAGTTTATAGATGCATAGTTAGGTGGGCATGTTGAAGCCAACATTATACGAATAAATAAATATACGTTTTAGAATCATTTTTATAGATAAAATTTGAGTTTTTTCATGACAAGATTATTATAAATATAAGTAGATTAAATTTAAAAATTTTGAATAAATCAATATACAGGGTTGTCCGAACTGTATTCCGGAAACTTCGGCAGCATATTCTGCAGATTAAAATAAGTAAAAAAGTTCGTATAAATGTATGTCCTAAAATGCTGAGTTTCGGAGATAAAAATGCTACAGGGTGGAGAAGTTTCATTTTTATTTCGATTTTCTCCAAATAATTTATGAAGTAACGTCAATATTTGGATGAAAAGTGGTTTCTGGGAGTTTTTTGACATGAGAATTTTGATTTTGATGTCAATATGACTCCTCCTTGTAGAGGGCGCCACCTACATATTTTTTAACTGGTTTGAAGTGTAATAACTTTTCGTCCATACCTGTATAAAACAACTGAGTAAAAAAATATACATTTACGACTTTTTTACATAAAAAAGGTCTCTTGGTAAAAATCGCTACAAGTAAAGGTTCTCGAGATATTTGGAATTGAAATTATCAATACCTATCATCATTTATACAGGGTGTCCCAGAAATAAGTGCAAATATTTTAACTGGTAGTATAGTTCAACCCCAGAAACACGCCTATGAGGTTTTTTTTGCGAAAAAAAAAATGTTGAAAATTTAAAATTTTTCATAACATTTTCCGGGAAATTTGAAAAAACTTTTTAGTGCCACTTGTTTATTCACCTGAGATTTCCCTACGGTGTATCTAAACCTTGCAGTGTTGCAACCTTCTATGTTATCCACATTCTACATAGTTCGGCGGAACATAGTTCTACATTTATAAATTCATAAACAAATTTCTACTCAAAAAATTAGGAATGTTAAATTTAATCTTTTATCAGTGCTCATTATTAATAATTATAGAAAAAAAAACACATTAATTATTTTTAGTACTTTCAATGAAAACTTAACAAAACCCACCGAAAATTAACTAAAACATTACGTTTATGACGTTTACGAAAATCTTCGTTATGCTGCAAAATAACTTTATTTTGGAATAAATTTAATAAAATGATTCATATTATTCACAATCAGGTCACAAAAAGAAATTCCTAAAATGTTTATCGTACTTTAGAATTCAATTCAAGAAATTTAGAAAACAGCCCAACGAATAATTGATTCATTTTTGTTTTGTTTGTTTTCTTTCATGTGTCTCTGTTTTATTTGAACCACTGTTTTACAAAACACCTTGAAAAGCGTACATTACTTTGAATACCTTTCTGAATGAATAAATGTTGAGAATTATTGTCTCTTATCGCCACTTTACGAACTACTTTCAATCTAAGAAAATACATGTTTCACTCAACAATTATTGACAACGTATTTTGTTTTTTCGCTATTTTTTCGATCTATTTCGACAATTCCATCGACCGCCTAACCGGTCGTTCTTCTCTGGCCTAACCGTCAGCCAAGAACCGCCGCGTGTGAACTGGTCCTTTGAGTCGCCGGTCGCCGCGCCGTCGTGGCGGGCTTGCGTCAGACGACGATGTTAAGCAACGTTGCCGTAGTTACAACAATTTCAAATTCAAGACATTCGAAGCAATCAAATTCGTATTAAATTTTAAAAATAAAACAGAGAAACATGAAAGGAAATAAACAAAACAAAAATGAATTGATTATTCGTCGGGCTGTTTTCGATGTATTGAATTCTGAATTACGATAAACATTTTAGAAATTTCTTTTTTGTGCCCTTATCAATAACCAATTCATTTGTGTTTTGTTTGTTTCTGTTTAATATTTTTGTTATATTTCACAACTCCATCCATAGGTTTAGAAGGATACAACTCAGGAAAAACACCGGTTACTTTTACAACGTGTATTTCTTCACAAACATTCTTTTGCGTCATTATTTTTCGCTGTCTTAAATTTGAGGTTAGGTTACATTCTTCTTTTTCGGAAAACATGGGCGCCTTCTGCCGCAGGCAGTTAGCCAACACATTAAACATTAAAAATAACTAAGTCTAGACAGTTTCCTTTCATGTTTTTCTGTTTTATTTTTAAAATTTAATAAGAATTTGATTGCTTCGAGTGTCTTGAATTTGAAATTGTTGAAACTACGGCAACCTCGCATGACGCAAGCTCGACACGGCGGCGCGACAAAGAAGTAGTTACCAGTGATGGCAGTGATGCGCCGCTCTCTTGGCCGGCGGCCGACGCGACAATTGGGCTGTCGATGGAATTGTTGAAATACATAGAAAAAATAGCGAAAAAACAAAATACGTATTTAAAATTGTTGAGTGAAACATGTATTTTCTTAGATTGAAAGTAGTTCGGAAAGTGGCGGTAACGAAAGAGACAATAATTCTCAACATTTATTCATTCAGAAAGGTATTCAAAGTAATGTGTGCTTTTCAAGGTGTTTTGTAAATCAGTGATTCAAATTGTGATGAGGCCTATATGAAAATAATGTGTTAAAAATGGGGACTGTTATTTTAGTAGTTATTATAATAACTACAGCATGTACAAGTAAAGCAGTACAGTGAAGTGTATTTTAGTTAAGTGTATATCGAAAAAGAGAACTGTCACAGTTACATCGATCTGTCATAAGTATCTTTTTTAATGTTGGGTAAGTTTTTTAATTTAACTTTTTTAACACATTTTTTAACACATTATTAAACATTTAACTTTTAATTTATTTTATGTAATAATATCACAATCTTAAAAATGTAATGCATCTCTGCAAACTCCTCAGGTGTCGTGATTTTATTACTTACTTTTAACATATACTTTCTTGTCCCTATGGCAACACAGTGCGTCGAATTAACTGAAATCCGGGTTTGATCCGGGTAATTGGATGTAGTTGGCGATATCTGCCGGCGGTTCTCAAAATGTTGCGATTATTTTTTTAAATTTTCAAAGTTAAATAACTCGGTTATTTTCGATATGTTTATTTTGACCAGATCTACCACCCCTTAAAATATCTGCACTCATTTCTGGGACACCCTGTATAAATTAAACATAAAGACTAAATAGTTATTAGACCGAAATCATAAATTTTAAATATTTTTTTGCCGAAAGTTCAACAGAAACTGTTTAATCGTTATTTTTTCGCAGAAAAATTTATGATTAATTTAAAAAAAATAAAAATTATTTCAGTCAAATAGCTATACTCAACGTGTGCTTAATTTTGTCAATAAAGACATGTATTGACTATTTCCGTTCTAAATATCTTGAGAACTTTTTTGTTTAATTTTTTTAGCCGAATCTGAAACACCCTGTATAAAAGTAATTTTTATTCTAGACAGTTTCGAATTTATCAAAACCAGTACAGCCGGCGCCAAGAACAACGTAGGGATTATACAACTGAACCGCCCCAAAGCACTGAACGCCCTGTGTAACGGTTTGATGCTGGAAGTGGCCAAGGCACTGGACAGCTTCGAAAATGACACAAGCATAGGCGCCATTGTTATAACTGGCAGCGAGAAGGCTTTTGCCGCAGGTGCCGACATCAAGGAGATGCAAAACAACGACTACGCCCAGTGTATACGCAGCAATTTCCTGGAGCACTGGAACAGGGTCAGCAAAACTGCCAAGCCGGTCATCGCAGCTGTCAACGGATACGCCGTAAGATATAAAAGAATACATATATAACGACCACATATACAGGGTGTTTCAAAACAAATGCGAAAAACTTCAGGGGGTGATTCCTTGTTCAAAATAAAGGGTAGTTTGCTTCATAAACGTTGGGTCAAAAATCAACCATTAGGGAGATATCGCGGTACAAAGATGGCGGAAAAATAATGTTCTTTTTTTTTACAGTTGAGGGTTGGAACCTTTGGTGTTAAACAGCAAAATAAAAACACTAAATCACCACAATACACCAAAACACTTTTACTTTTACACTGGACGCGCGTTTCGCTAACCATGTTATTAGTTTATAATCATCTGCTGATGATGCTAACATGGTTAGCGAAACACGCGTCCAGTGTAAAAGTAAAAGTGTTTTGGTGTATTGTGGTGATTTAGTGTTTTTATTTTGCTTATTTTTTATCTTGAAAACCAAACGAGATAGACTAATGAAATTTTATGGAAGCATTACTGTTATGAAAACACACTTTCTGGTAATTTTTTCACTTTTTTAAAACGAGTGGAAGGGGTTGAAATAAACTACCCCTATCATTCTTGTTCACGAAATTTAAAGAAAAATCTTATTAAACACATGCAAAAAAATTAATTTGGATAGTTTAGTTTGTTTAGAAACTTTTTTAGCTCTTGTATTTTTTTTATAAAACTCACCGATTTGAAATTAAAAAATAAAATGTAAAGCATTACATGTCAGGACTAAAAATATTTTTAGATTAAGAATCTAGTGATAATAATGATAATAATAATAATCTAGATAATAACGTATTGCAGTAGGGTAATGGTCAAATAAAACAATATTAGAAACATCCTAAAAGTGACAGCGGCCGACTAGATTTTTCCTAAAAAAATTACAGCTGCCCACTAGATTCTTTATCTAAAAATGTTTTTGTCCTGACATGTAATGCTTTACATTTTATTTTTAATTTCAAATCGGTGAGCTTTATCAAAAAAACACAAGAGATAAAAAAGTTTCTAAATAAACTAAACTATCAAAATTATTTTTTTTGCATGTGTTTGATAAGATTTTTCTTTAAATTTCATTAACAAGAATGATAGGGGTAGTTTATTTCAACCCCTTCCACTCATTTTAAAAAAGTGAAAAAATTACCAGAAAGTGTGTTTTTATAACAGTAATGCTTCCGTAAAATTTCATTAGTCTATCTCTTTTCGTTCTCAAGATAAAAAATAAAAACATTATTTTTCCGCCATCTTTGTACCGCGATATCTCCCTAATGGTTGACTTTTGACCCAACGTTTATAAAGCAAACTACCCTTTATTTTGAACAAGGAATCACCCCCTGAAGTTTTACGCATTTGTTTTGAAACACCCTGTATACTTTAGTCATTGATATACACATATTGGTTATCTTAAATCTGTGGTACTGACTTTTAATGTGTCAGAGATGATAGAGATACCCTAAAGCGTGCCCTTTAGTTCTCTATTACACTATAAAATTTCTATGTCAAAGATCTTTTATAGAAGATACTAGCGTGTACCCGCGACTTCGTTCGCGTCGAATTAATCATTTGTAATGGTGATGATAAAGCAAAGCAAGAATTTCCATTAACATACAAACTGGATAAAATTTTCCCACATTTATGTCAGCATGAGAAAAAACAGTATAGCGATATTATTATATAACTTGGTAATATTTGAGGGGTAGTTTCATCTCGTTGGAATTTGACTTGCGAAAAATCCGTTTGCCAAAAATAAGCTTTTTACGTCAAGCAGTTTAAGCAGAGTCGTGGTTAATCAATTACCCAACTTTTTAGAACACCCTGTATGATTTTTTAAAAAATTTCAAAATATGTAAAGAAAAAAATAAATTATGCGTGTCCAAGCGTTTTCCCGAAAGACTAACCGTTATTTAAATAAAAAATATTCACCCCTTTAGAATTCGTGTTTCGAAAAATCCCTTCTTATTGAACCTCTACACCCTAAAGTCAATCCGTTTTCCAAAAATCAGCTTTTTACGTCAAGCGCTTTAAGCAGGATCGTGATTAATCAATGACCAGATTTTTCGAAACACCCTGTATACATTTTTAAAAAATCTTAAAATATGTAAAAAACGAAATGAAATATACGTGTTTAAGTGTTTTTTCGGAAACTTGACCGTTTTTTACATAAAAAATATTGTAATAATTGAGGGGTGGTTTCACCCCCTTGGAACTGGAATTTCGAAAAATCCCTTCTTATCGAACCTCTACACCCTAGTGTCAACCTGTATGCCAAAATTGAGCTTCTTACGTTGAGTGGTTTGAGCAGGATCGTGATTAATCAGTGAGTCAGTCACTTAAGGATTTTATATATTAGTACAGATTTGATGAAAAATTTGACAGTGTAATATGGGTGATTTCATAAAATATTGTATATTAACAATGTCAAATTCTTTATCAAATATCTTTATAAAAGATCTTTGACAAAGAAATTTGATAGTGTAATACTCGCCTAATATAAAAAAATTAGACATCTGTAAAACCATTGAAAGGTAAAACCAAAACATAAAAATAACCTTTTTTTTTCTCTCAATTTGATAAAGCAATTATAATTTAAGTTTTTGTTTTGTAGTTAGGTGGTGGATGCGAATTAGCCATGATGTGCGACATCATCTACGCGGGCGAAAACGCCAAGTTCGGCCAGCCAGAGATCCTCATTGGTACCATCCCCGGAGCGGGTGGTACTCAGAGACTACCCAGATACGTAGGAAAGTCAAAAGCCATGGAAATAGTGCTTACAGGTCAGGATAACATTAATAAATATCATATTATGATGCTTAACTTTTGAAACAAACATTTTTTAACGCCACTGATCAAAACCGTAAGTCGCGTCATCCATTTTGAAACTCCTTCGCGGTCTCACTAAGTTTCTTCTTGTAGTCTTTTCTTAGTTTTTTTTACAATACTTCATACTAGGGATGGGGTAACTATAGATTTATCGATACCTCGTCACCTATGTATCAATGTATTGATAGCACTGATAGCAGTTCCGTTAGTATCGGTTATTGATAACTATCGATATATTAATACATACAGGGTGGTCCGACCTGTATTCCGGAAACTTCGGCAGTATATTCTGCATAGAAAAATAAGTAAAAAAGTTCGTATAAATGTATGTCCTAAAATGCTTACTTTCTAAGATAGAGGGTGTAGAAATTTTATTTTTATTTCGATTTTTTTCAAATAATTTCTGAAGTAGCGTCCATGTTTGGATGAAAATTGGTATCTGGGAGTTTTTTGGCATGAGAAATTTGATTTTGATGTCAATTTGACTCCTATTTGCAGGGGGCGCCACCTGCATGTGTTTTAGCTGTTTTGAAGGGTAATAACTTTTCGTCCGTACCTGTATAAAACTAATGAGTGAAAATATATACATTTTCGTAATTTTTTACGTAAAAAATATCTCTTGGTAAAAATCGCTACGAATAACCGTTATCAAGATATTTACAATGGAAATAGTTAATACATGTCATTATTGACTAAAAATAAACGTGTTGAGTAGATAGTTATTTGACTGAAATGATAAATATGGAAACTTTTTATTTTTTTTTTATTAATTATAAATTTTTCTTCAAATAAATGATGATAAAACAGTTTCTGTTGAGCTTTTGGAACAAAAACATTTCAAATTTATGATTTCAGTCTAATCACTATTTAGTCAACGTGTTTAATTTATGTCATTGTTAACAGGTATTGAAAATTTTAGTGATGGGTTGTTATTTAACACTCTGTTATTTTATAGCAATTATTTAGAAATAACATAACGGAACCGTTTTTAATTTTTTTTAAATAACAGATATAAAATAACAATACGTAGAGATCGACCGTTCGTGAAACGAAATCGGCGCTCTGCACCGCCTCGAAATTCAGTGTTGCTCGGAGCAATTCCAAAGAACTACTAGTATGGATGGAAAACATATTATTTCGACAACCATCGATACAGGCGGCGAGATACAACGGACAATGGAGTGGGGAATGCGCTACGGCACGGCGAACATAGCTGCATCGGTCGATGGTCGTGTTGGGCTTGCAACAGCTTAAAAATAATAGGATATAAAAGAAGCAGATATTTGGAACAGTTGCGGGCATAACGCCTGGCGGTCGAGATAACAGGAGTGGGAAAGGAACGTTGCTGCATCGGTCGATTGTCGATGGAGGCTCGCAACGGGTTGGAGAACAACGTATAGAAAATAAGCAGTGATTTTAGATACGTTGTTTTTCAACCTGTTACGAGCATAACAGAGCGGCGGTCGTGATAATCGGAGTGGGAAAGTAACGCTGCTGCATCGGTCGATTGTCGATGGAGGTTGGAAACAGGTTGGAGAATAACGCATCAGTTGTTTTAGATACATTGTTTTTCAACCTGTTACGAGCATAACGGGCGGAGGTCGAGATATTATGGCGCGAGTTATTAAGTTTCAATATTTAGGTATTTATTTATTCTGAAAAATTTTCAGAATAAATACCTGGTAGAGTAGAAATTCTCCTTTGCAAATTTAAGTGTAAAATAAATTCGAACTCTAGTGTGTAGTTGGTTTACTTATGAAGAATATACTACACATTTTCTTATATTGCTATTTTTTGACCGCAAACGGTAAAATTACAACTAAGAGCTTCTCGCCCGTCGAATGAGATGCACCCTGTACACTGCTACGCAATTCAGGATCTACGCGGATCGAGGGGCAGGGCGTAGGTAGATCGGAATGTATAGGTATAATAGACGAGTGGCGGCATTTTGGCTTTTTTTATATCGCAATTTGTAAACAGCGCTTATTTGTAAACAACCACCGTTTTTAGAGAGGTATTTTAGATAACAATCGATATTTAGAACTGTTTTGACACCCTGGAAATACTACCACAGAGCACGTCATTGATGCAACTTGCAACTGCGTTAATACTAGTGATGAGTGAAATATCGGTAACTGTGACTTTGTCACTGATATTCTATAATCACAGTCACGGCCTGTGACTGATTTGAAAATAAACGGTGACTTGCTAAAGCGTGACGATTACAGTTAATTGTGATTTCTCTGGCAACGAGAAAATACTTCACAGAGCGGGACGTCGCAGGTCGCGAACGCAGCTGCCGATGGCGCCGGTCGTGACTCAGTTCACAGTCACGAGTCACGACGTACGTCTCATAGGATAGATATCTGACAAAGCGATCTAAAGACAGTGACTGTTAGAAGTGATTTAATTTTTTATGTATTTTATATTTTATTACTATTTTCTATCACTACGAATCGGTTTGGTTCCTTTTTAGTTTAGCAGGTTTTTTTAAAGCCAAACATAAAGTTTTACCTTTATACTGTTTATTTTTTTTAGAAACTTCATTTTTTATATATTTCGTTTATTTTAATACAAAGGAAAATATTTGTTGTTTAATGTATTACTTATCTCGTGTTGTTAAGTTTTCGTTCGTTATGGGTATGAGCATATTGCATATTTTATTCTTTTCCCGTTGGTTTCTTTAAATAAAAAAATTGTTTTATTTTTATTTTTTAATATACCTTTTACCCACTGTTTAGTGTTTTCTATTTCAGCGGCCTTGGATAAAGGACAAATAAAAATTAGTATAACAACAACAGAATCGTATCATTCGTATCGTATCTTATATTTTAGCCGTGATTGTGCTTTCGGATTCATAATCATAAAGTCGCAGTCACAGTTAAGAGTCACAGATAATACAAAGTCGCTGTCACAGGTAAGCCTGTGAACAGAAAATCACGGTTTGGCTCATCACTAGTTAATACGCCTGGCAGTGACCGCCTCATACTCTTTCAGATATTTAGCAATAAAATAAAGAAACCTGTTATTTTGAAGCTGTTATTTTAAGCTGTTTTTTATAAATAACTATAACAGTTTCGACTGTTATCTAAAAATAACAGTTTTGCCCATCACTAGATAATTTTGATTCCAAATATGTCGAGGACCATTATTCGTAGCGATTTTTACCAAGACACCTTTATTACGTAGAAAACGCCGCAAATGTATATATTTTTTAATCACACACAAACCAGTTAAAAAATATGTCGGTGGCGCCCCTACAAGTAGGAGTCATATTGACATTAAAATCAAATTTCTCCGGAAGTTTCCGGAATACAGTTCAGACCACCCTGTATATCGAAATTTATTTTGGTGGGTATAATTTAATATACATTTTTTAAAACCTGAATATTATATACAAATTTCAAAATTATTATAAAAATAATATTTCTATCGTTAGTTATCAATATATCGATAACAATCGATAGGTAAAATCCATTATACCTTTATACCTTATTCTTGCTAACAATAATTAATTTCTTTAGGTTGCCAAGTGCCAGCTGTCGAGGCAGAAAAAATGGGCCTGGTTGCCAAAGTGTTCCCTGTTGAGAAATTGCTGGACGAATCAGTTAAACTGGGAGAGAAAATCGCCAGCAATTCGCAGCTAATAACGAAATTGTGCAAGGAATCGGTAAACACAGCGTTCGAGACAACCTTGGCTGAAGGTTTACATTTTGAAAAACGAACGTTCCATGGAACCTTCGCCACAAAGGACAGATTGGAAGGGATGACAGCCTTTGTGGAAAAGAGACCACCCAATTTTACTAACGAATGATTTTATCTGTTCAAATTTATATACACGTTATTATATACACTTTAAAATAAAATGGATAATTTTTGTAAAAAAATATAAAGTAAAAATATTCATTGTTTTTCTTAAGAACTTTGAAATATCAGGCTCAAAAACCCGGAGTTAATTTATGCAACTAAAATTACACAAAATCCTAATGATTTAATAATTTTTATTGTTGCAACGTTTAGTAAATAAATAGAAAAACTTGTGTACAATATTTAATTTTTTACAAACTTAAATACGCCTAGAGAAATTAACTTAGGAAATTAAGCATTAAAATTATTGTTACTGCATTTTGACAAAATCGTAAATATTTCAAAAAAGGTAAGATTAAAGTGCGGTAAACCGTAATCAAATTAACCTTTATTTTAATCAAAGAAACTTAAAATGTAACAATATAATGGTGTTTTGGTTACTTAAATACCACTTTGATATTTTTTTATTTATTTGGGACACTCTGTACCTTTTGAAAATAATTTTAACTATCCTATCACTCACAATTTCTAAAAATTCAATCATTTTTCTACAGTACTCCGTGTCAAATGAGGTGAACAGTGAATAACCCTGTATATCAAACAAATAAAATTGAAAAACAATAATATATTTATTTGCCATCCCATGCCACTTTTCAGTAAAAAAATACAAAACAAATACAAAAATTATTACAGATAAAAAACCATACAATCGAAAAAAAATCGGTGTCAGAGTTGGCTTGGAAATGAATTTTTATATGTAGAATTATACGGGTTTTTTAACGATTCGTCATTCCGGAGTCAACTTGAAGCTGTTTCTTTTCGGTCATACGGTATATTTAAGCCCAAGGTTTAGTTAATCCTTCTTCAACATTTACTGCTTCTTTTTCTAACAATTGTTCACACTCTGTAACGTCATTAGGAAAATTAATATGTTTATTTAAAAATGTGAATATCAATGAATTGTTGATTCTTAATGCGACCAAAGGATCTAACTTTTTCATAAACCAATTCAACCAATAACCAATCAGAAGCACTGAATCTGTCTGATTTTCGTGCGTCGTATGTCTAAAAAAGAATATTATATACATCACCCTGTATATCTATATTATTGGTATAGTCTATAAAATGAATAACTTTGAATTTTGACCGTTATTTTCACCAACATGGCAAATACAAAATCCCTCTGTCAAAAAAGTTACTGATATTCTTTAAATTGAGTGCCTGAACTAGCCTGAACGAATCAGATAGGTAACTCTTTTTACTTTCGTGAAATAGAAAAGGAAAATAATAAAACAAGTGACAATTCTTCCTCTTCTTGCAAAAATCAACACGAAATGTCATAATTGACAAAAGTAAAATGTCATCAGCTTTTGACATTTCTAAATATTAGCCCAATGCCGTCTCTATTAGAACAGCCACGGAGCGAGATTTATGACGTCACGATAGTTAGATAATACGGATTAATAAATATGTTGGAGAATACATGGAAACATAATTATTCCTCGTATTTTGGTTTGTATTTTAAAAATGATATAGTTTACATGAAACATACATAATATACAGTTAATAAATACAATATAATATATACCTATTTATTGTAATAAATACTTTGTCTAATAAACATGAACCATACAAATGCAGCAAATGTTTTACAATATACAAATAATGAATAGGTGGTACATAAGATAATGGGTAAAATGTAAAATATATTTTAAATTTTGAGGTTCGAAAATCGATCTAATTTAACAAAAAGATTCAATATCTACTAATAGTGATGTATTATTATTTGCATTCATAATAGCTATTTATGTATTATAATGTTTCTACTGCATGTTAATAGGACGAATATAAACTGTTTGCGGATATGGCGTTAGCCGAGTTTTAAATAATTATTCTTCCAAAAAACTATCTACGTTGACTATGAAAACTATCTACATGTCACGCTTTACTTCATGGAGTACGATTTCAGTCATATTTGCAAATTTTCCATATTTGTATGAAATTATAATGTATCTGAAAAAAGTATGGCTTAATATAATTCATATATATATAGTATATATATATATATATATATATATATATATATATATATATATATATATATATATATATATATATATATATATATATATATATATATATATAATAATAAAATAATATTTTCTATGCCTTTAGCTGTGGCATAGTTCTTCACCGATACGGCAAACTTCTTCTATATCAGGCGATGTAGTAAAGTGTCCGGTGACAAATTCATCAACAATTTTAAAATGTTCCAAAAAATCCAGAACATATTTGCTAATAAGGCCAAAGAAATCGTGTTGGATTTACTGTATATGAAGTCTCGATATTTTTACCAGAAAGAATATGATGTTTTTAATGAATGGAAAAATCAAAAATAGCGTAAAAAAATTTGTAAAAAAATGAAGATGTAAAAAAAGAAATTATTTTGCGTCGTAAAGTAAGTACCAAGGTCCTATTTAAACAACCGGTTTAAAATATTCTTATAATTTGAGCAGTCCGACAAACATTCAAACCATCGTTGACGGATTTGGTCGAAATATTCCATGCACCGACACTTTTAATGTCGTAAAGATAGATAGTTATATTGACAAATCGGTGAAACCAGGAATTCGGTTGGTTAAGAGCCTAAAAAGTCCTAAGGTTTTGTCCATAAAAGAGATCAATGATTTTTTGGCCACGGCTAGTGATGAAACTTTTTACTTACTAGGTTCGAGTTTGCGATAATGATTTTAAAATATATAGATAAAGGCAAGAAAATATTCCATTATAATTTACATTTTAGCTGTAAGCTTTTGTTCATTTCCTATGTTTGAGCATGCCAGAAAAACGCTCTGTACCATCTTTGAGTGCAAGAGATCATAGAAATAACAGCTGCCGACACTTTACTACATGCGGATACAAAAGATAATATCAGAAGAGTTGTTTGCCGGTGGTGAGAACCAGGGAACGTTGTCAATCCAGTTGATGTTGTATAGAAAATATGCTTGTCTTAGGCCAAAAATACAAAGCTAAAAAGAAAATTGTTATGCTTATTAATATACACACTAAAGCTGTAACAACCGGTTTTGTTCATTTCATATATTTGAGCGGGCCGAAAACGCTCTTTACCATCTTTTGACGGAGATGCACTAATATCTCACCGACACTTTACTACATCGTCTGCAGATATAGAAGAAGTTTTGCTTGCCGTATCGGTGAGAACCAGCCCCTGGACAGCCCACCTGATGAAGGGTTTAGGCCCAGAAGCCGGTTGTGGGAGTGTAGCTAGGTACCCCTTACGACAAACAAAACAATTTTGATATTTACTTTTTATTTTTTTAATTTTTCTCTACTTTCGATTTTATGTGAAATTAGAAAAATTTACAATAAAGGCAAGAAAATATTATTTATTAATATACACTAAAGCTGTAAGAATTTTGTTCATTTCATATATATTTGAGCGGGCCGAAAAACGAAACTTTACCATCTTTTGACATGGAGATGCACTAATATCTCACCGACACTTTCAATATCTACTAATAGTGATGTATTATTATTTGCATTCATAAAATTTATTTATATATTATAATGTTTACTGCAATTAATAAACTAATATAAACTTGTCAAAATATGACCACATATTTTTTTTAAATTATTATTCTTAACACAAAAACTATCTACATTGACTATGAAAACTATCTACATGACATCGTACTATGGAGTACGATTTCAGTCATATTGTAAAACATTGGCTGCATTTGTATGGTTCACAGTTTATCTGCCAAAGTATTTATTAATATAATCAGGTATATATATATATATATATATATATATATATATATATATATATATATATATATATATATATATATATATATATATATTTATTTATTAACTGTATATTATGTATATTTCATGTAAACTATATCATTATTAAAATACAAACCAACAAATCGAGGAATAACTATGTTTTCCATGTATTCTACAACATAGTTATTAATCTGTAGTATCTAACTAGTGTGACGTCATAAATCTCGTTCCTAGGCTGTTCTATTAGAGACGGCATTGCGTCAGCATGGCCGCAAGTTGCTAACCTAATAAAATTAACACTAGAAAAGCCCGCGGAAACTGTCAAATTCAAAGTTATTCGTTTTACAGACTATATTATTACTTTATGGTGTACATGTTCCTAACACAATCGGAACTAAGTAGTTTGGACATGGCATCAACATTTGCAGCTATATGAAATGTTTGCGTATTAATAAATAACAAGGGTTGCGTTATTTTTCTTCTAAATTTTCGTTCTTTACCGGGAACATCCAGGGATCCAGTAAAACACCAACCCTAAAAGAGAATTATTAAAAAAACGTTTATTTTATTAATAAAAATAATGTACTTGAATTCTGATCTTTTTGATAAAGTATACAAAGCTGTAGCACCACCGAATGAGTGCCCCATCATACACAGTCCTTCCAAATCCACATTTCCCGCCAAATCGTCTAATTTAAACTGGTAATTCTTGTTTTTGCGACGGTGTATGGTCCAGGATATTTTCAGGGAACGATATTGCGCTCGAGGTTTTTTAAAAGTGCAAAACTCGCTCGCATTCGCTGAATCTAGCTTTTATTTGTTCGTACCGAACGTTGTGATGTTCTTTTCCTAGTTTTATGTGCTTGAATTCGATGGTTTTCTTGAAATCGCGCTCTGCGTCTGATTTATTTTCGTAATAATATGTATTTGATGCGGAATTGTCCCTGAAAAAATTATATATAGGCAACCAGACATACATATGGAAATATTTTTAAAAATAACTTATTTAAAATTTAAAAACATCGTTATATTCTACCTATGCTCTAAAGCTACAACCAAAAACCCTCTGGAAGCCAATTCACAACAGATATTCGTATAAAGAAACCTATTTCCACCTAATCCATGAGATAGAACTATACATTTTAATTTTTTTATTTCTAATAATTCTCGCCCCGTATATCGCTGGTATTTTTGTTTTAGCTAAAAGAATAGAAATATTCTTATTAAAAACACTTAATATTATTTGATTTAGTACTATACCTGACCACCAAAAACTAATTTCATAATGAAAGGATACAACATGAGAACTTTAGATATTCCTTTCAGGTAGCTTTCATCCAGTAACCAGTTTTTCCATCGATTTGGGCTTTGCTAAAATTTATTTGAAAGAAATATAGCGATAAAACCGTTTAAATATTCAAATTTGGTAAAATAATTTTTTTCGGCAACCAAACATACAGGAATTCAAATTCAAAAAGAAAATATTAATATTTTTGGGAAAATACGTACTTCTTGATCTGAACTTTCGTCTGAAGGATAATACAATCTAAAAATAGGATTTTCCCTTTCATAGGATGTTAATACATCGATCATACCTGGTACAAAAGGGCCTAAATAAAAAAAAAATATATATATAATAAAATTTATAACAACTTGACTAAGCCCAAATTATGTGCTATACTGTTGAAAATAATTCAAATAATCAATCTAATATCAAAATAATAGGAGAATTAGGCCTAAGTTATTTTAGTTTTTACAATTTTCCAAAGATGCGATTAAAAATTGTTTGCTTTATTTATGGCGGGAAATTATTGTTTACGTCACTGTTATCCTTCTAGAAGAATTTTTTCTTGTTATGATAAATAATCCAAATATCTTCAATAAATTGTTGAATTCAAGAGTCTAGGTTCGGTGGTACTCGGTAGCCATTTCTACAACTTTTATAATATATTTCACAGATATTTCACTTCGGCAACGAAAATATAATTGTCCGTGTCCATTTTAGTTCAATTAAATTAATAATAACAAAATAAATAACGAGTATTATAGTTTTATTTACAACATTCACAGCCCAAACAACAATATAACCTATTAAAAACGGTAATGCGCACGCTTACGATGAAGTTATCGTTACGTCTTACGGCAACTATGAATGGCTTTCCTTGCGTCTTAAGTCTTACGGCTAACGATACGGCTTACGTCTTACGGCTACGGAACTCTGAATCCAGCATAAAACTTAAATGTTTTAAATTAACTTTTGCAGAGTTTTGAGCCAAAAAAATAATTTTAAGTGGACTAAACTAAGTGAAATGGAAGGAGTTATTACAACTATAAGCGGTCTGAAAAGACCTGCGGCTGCTGCAGTATCCTCTCCGAATAAAAGAACGAATTTTGTTGGTATTTCTCCATTGAAAGAACTAACAAATATAAAAACCCCTACAGATAGACCCTTTAGGGTATCGATAGAAGGGAATATAGGGGCAGGAAAGTCGACATTAATTGAGTATTTCAAGAATATGGAGGGAATTGAGACACATCCAGTAAAAAATTTTGAAATTTGTTAGAAAAATTGTGATTTTGTGTTAAAAATTTTAGGAACCGATTGCTTGGTGGCGTAATCTCGAGGGCCACAACTTACTCGAGCTTCTCTACTCAGATATACACGAATGGCTGAAAGTTTTCCAGAGTTACGTACAGTTTACCAGGTTACAAACGCAAACAGCCCCTCCGAAAGACAGCTCTGTGAGGGTGCAGATGTACGAAAGGTATTTTAAGTTACTGTAACCTCAGAATTCGGTGTTTTAAGACGGTTTTTTCTATCGTAGATCGATACAGAACAATAGATTTTGTTTTATGGAACAGGCTTACACTAACGGTTACCTTCATTCGGCCGATTATGAAGTCCTGGACGCTTGGTATAAGTGGATTAGGGCTAACGTGGATATTAGTTTAGATTTGATTGGTAAGTTTCATATACAGGGTGGCCCATTAATGTGAGAAAGTGCAATAATATCTTCCATTACTTATTTACTGAAAATTTAGTTAGAAACAGTATATCCGAAAAGTGGTTTTTAACAGTAAATTCGGCTTTATTAATACTTAGCTATATTTTCTTAAATACCAAAGATAACAGAATAAATCTGCAAAGGAAAAATCACATTATCTTTTACAGGGGGTATTTTTTATGGCTCGCAAATTCGTAATATTTTTAAGAGTGTCATATCTCTATTTTTTTAAATGCAACACCCTGTATATTATTTTTCTTTCAGATGCAGAATTGAAAAATTAAAATTTTATTTGTAATATTTTAGAGAATTTGCGTAAGATATTATGGAAATAAAACAACTAAATTTTTCAAAACCCTGTTTAATACTGCTCATAAACAAATATACAATGTTGTCAGGCTTACTTATATTTACACGTCACATTTACAATTAGCATTTGTTATAATGCTAGAAGATTACATCACACTTTCCTCCTACAAAAAAAAACTAATTATACATTAAACGCTGCACTGGTTTCACTAAACGTTTAGGCCGATTTTCACTGAAATCAGAATTATTTTTTTCAACTTTATTAGGAGATGTTAAGTCCACAATCGAATTTTCTTGGGAAATTCCCTCATTATGACTTACGCCTTGTTCATCAATTAATTCTTTAGAAATAGCTGATTCATTAATAAAAAATTTCTTTATCTGATTTAAATGACGCTTCCAAATAATGTCATTTAATGTAGGAATTTTTACCAAGTACATACATACATTTTCCTATTTTTTTTATTCAAGGTATTTCAACATTTTTAACGGTTTCGCAGATATTCGTGGTATTATACAATACGATCGAAAAAAAAAGGCGTCAGCGATGGCTTCGACATAAAGATCGCTGTCATTTTGTATGTTAAATTATACGGGCGTGGCTAACGTCATATTCAAGGCCTGACTGTCATGACAGTTCTACCCATGGTACAAAGAATACAAGGTATGATCGATAGCGGCTCCAATTTCGTTCAGTTCGCGCATACCACCTGTGACGTCACTAGGAAAATAATTGAATAAATAAAAAATAAAGAAAGTTGACAGGAGATCTGCATTTTTTGGGGTTATGGTTAAGAATTGTTTATTTTTCAGTTCTAAAAATATATTTAAAAATAATTATCTATTAACATGGATTTGGACGATAATAATAGGTAAGAATACTAAATTTATTTCTATATTTGGTATAAAATTGTTTATTAGGTTTTTAGTTTGCGATGTTTATGGTAAATAATTTTCATGTTCATTGCCTCTGAATTCACATGAGGACAGAGATGAGGATATCTATGGAAAAGTAACCACAAGAGGAATTGTTACATCATTTAAAAATGTTGGGAAGTTGAAGTTTCCATCGAAAAGTAGAAAATGTCAATGCAGATGAATGTATTGTAATTGTGATAGAAGTAATTCCAAGGGTGAAGTCTATTATAATTAGTGACCTGTGCTTCTTTTTATATGTAGATGTTTCAGGTTTTGAGAATAAATCAGTTGAACGAAACCCAAAATTTAGAGGAAGTATTTGCATACCCAGAATATACCATCAAGGATTATATAGCTCAAATTTCCTTTAATGGTAGGCAATTATTCAATGCAAATTAACTTTTTAAGTGACTGAAATATTAAATAGTTTACAATATGGTATATCACTAAACATATATTACTTTTAGGTACAATTAGTGCCCGATACATTTCAAAAAGTAGAATATCATGTTATATTAAATGAGGTGTTGTACCAACAATCAATTTATATTAATACCGGAGATTAAAAAATAACAGAATAAATAGTTCTTTTTTTTATACTACAAAAATAAACTAGAATACAACAGTATTTAAAAAATAAATAAAAAGTTATGTCCCGGCCGAGATTCGAACTCCGGTCTCTCGCTCCTAGCCCGACTCCTTACGCACTGCTCCACAGTAACTTGCTTAGCGATAATTCAATGACGGTATATAAACAGATATTCGTGGTATTATACAATACGATCGAAAAAAAGGCGTCAGCGATGGCTTTGACATAAAGATCGCTGTCATTTTGTATGTTAAATTATACGGGCGTGGCTAACGTCATATTCAAAGGCTTTGACTGTCATGAGAGTTCTACCGAAGTGGTCGAGAATTAGTAGTCGTAAACAAACCAATTGTTTTCATTAGTTTCGCAACAAATCTGTGTTTTTTACGCGTTTCTATGCTAATAAAATTATACTAAATAATTTTGAGTGTGCTCTGAGTGAATAGTGAACTATCTAGATCCGATTCATAACATCGTACCCGCGAAAAAAAACATACTTTCGGTAAAAATTATTGAACACCGGCGATGCGGGCTGTGTCCGGGCTAGGAAAAAGTTGGGGAATTTATATAAAAACATAATTAATAGCGTTAGTGTTAGTGTATAGTGTTAAACCAACGTAAGTTACGTGTATTTTTAGGTAAAACAGTTTTCGTTTCTGTATTTTTTCTTTGTGAAATAAAAAATGCCGCGACATTGTTCTGTGCCTGTGCCTTGTAGCAGCAATTATAATAAGTACTCAGGATCTGTCTACATTCTCTTTCCCAACAATATTAACTATAACTAGGTCACGTCCAAAACCTACAGAAGATGCTGTGCCTACAATTTTTCCAAATCAACCCTCTTATATGACTGCATGTTCCCAAACATCCCGATGAACGAAAACAAGATTTGGAAATTCAGGATGAAATAAATATTGAAAATTATTGTTATTATTATGAAATGACAATATATTTTAAAGAAATTAAATGAATTGTACTTTATTTCAGTATTTTATATAAAAAAAATGATATCTTTATCTTTTTATTTAAGATATATGGAGATGGTTACTTGATGAACATTGAACTAACAAATTACTTAATGATAATAGTTAATTCTACCTGATATCCACATTTTTTAGGCAAATTTTTACAATTATTTTTAATTAAACGTTAAAATGTATTCTGCCCTTATCATATACAATACATTTTCTTAACTTGTCGATAAAGTATAGTTTTCATTTTTATTTGGAAACTTTATCACAAGGTATATTATTAGTAGCCGCTAAATACTCGCTAACGCAATTTTAGGACATGCTTTTTATTATCTGGATTTTATTCTGTTCATCTTATGCTGTTGTTTATTTCATATTAATATTCGTGTTTTAGATCTAAATTTTAATGCTATTCAATTACTGTAACGCGATAAAAAGTTAATGTTATTTTTTAATACCTTTGTGTATAATATTTTTCATATTTATATCTGGCAAAACTATCAATAAATACTATTATTTATGCAAAAACTATATGCAGTACCATATGGCACAATACAAAAGCCCGACTATTGCGTGACGTCACAAATCGATGTCTCTGGCCTGTATCTCATGTTGGTTATGATACGGGGAATGTCTATCGTCATTTCCAAGCCAACTGGATGCCGTGAAATTACATATTTATAGATATGGCTCTTTCAAAAGGTAATATACTAGACAAAAATCATTAAGTGGCTTTGATAAAATTTACTCTTAATTTACTGTTAAAAATGTTCATTTTTAATTCTGCATCTAATAAAGAAATAATATACAGGGTGTCCCATTTAAAAAAAAAAAACGAAGAAAAATTATTTTGTATTTTAGAATGTTTAGTGTAGAATTTTGAACACCCTGTATGATTTAAGATTACGATATTTATGGCAAAGTAGGCACAAACCAACTGCAGTAAATACCTAGTGTAGTTTTGATTTCGGGACATTTCTTGTATTTTTAATAATTTCTTTAAAAAGGCCGAATTTTTTTTTTATTTATTACTTTTTGTGTTCGGTATGTTCTTTTTTGTCCATATATTGTTCTATTTGTAATTTTAATGACGTAATTTTTTTTTTGAATTGTATGATGCTTAGTTAGATCTTTTATTATTTGTATATTTTTTGTGCTTTTGTTTGTCTTTTAAATACTTTGTCGATAAAGCTATTTTAGCTTTTTGTACAATAAAGCGTTATTTTTTATTAATATCTCTGAAACTGTCAAAAAATATTTAGTAATATCAAAGAGTAGATAAGACAAGAGACGACAGTTCGCGCGGTACCTTTCATGTTTGAGTGGTGGGGAGAGTGACCTCGTCTCCCTTGTCCCTTTAAATTTTCGTAATTTTTTCGCGGGAAATTTGAAATAGACTATTATTAAAACTTGCCTGTATAGCTTAATTGCTGTATAGGTAAAGAAATAAATAGAAACGAAAAAAAATGAGTTTTCTAAATATTATATAAAATAAATTATAATTAGAAACATATTTGTCGGGGAATAAAGATAATAAAAGCAATATTTTGTATATCGTTGGCAAACAAGATAAACTGACCAAGTCGATTTGTAAGAAACGTTTTATTTACGTGTATTTTTTTACATATGGACTTGAACAAGTGTAAAATCACAATGTGGAGTTTATGTACAAAAAAATAGAGTTGCTCAATTTTTTTGGAAAAATATATTACAAGCTTCTAACCATGTCTTCGATCTGTGGATTACATTTAGTTTATTACATTTAGTTTAATAACATAATTATATAGTATATTTCTATAAAAATACTTTTCAGGATCCTTTGGAAAAGAGTGAAATATTATGTTTGTCGAAGAATAAGACCTATTTTTGCAGTCTTTATAAGCACACACATTGCCACCATCTCGTCTTTTCCTACTACTCGTGTCCTGTTCAGTATTCATATTTAACAATATTTACAAATTAGTACGCAACAAAAACGATACTAAAATTAAACCTTAAAAACTCTCAAAACGATAATATATCGAAAAACTCTGAAAACACACTTTAAAAAAGCGAAAATGCCAGAAAACAACTAATCAAATTTGTTTATGTTTAAGCCTGATTAGCACAGCTGATTAAAGCGATTAGCGTCCTAAAATCATAGGATAGATTAGATAAAATACGCCGTTGTCAGATTTTCAGATTTTATCTGTTTATCTTTGAAATCGATCAACTTTAGTCATTCTGTTTCTTTGATATTATCAGTACATTGCGAAAAAAGAACCTAAACCAACCTAAACTAAAAATTTACATATCCGTATTAACATACGGTACTTATATCCTTCTTATATTATTAATTTATTTTCAGAAAATCGTGTTTATTTTTCAAAGAAATATACTTGACAACAGACAAAATGGGACTTGATGGGACCTTTAAATTTTAATATATCTGCGTCTCTCTCGCGAAATTCGACTTCTTTGTTCACTGTCGTCTCTTGTCTTATCTACTCTTTGGTAATATTTTAGGATTGTGTAAAGTGATCAGAAAGTAGGCCAAAAATATAACATACAGGGTGTTTCATTTAAAAAAAAGCTGAAATATATCCTAGTACATACTTTAAGTTTTTATTGTAGGAGCTCCAGATGCAAAACGCTCTGTTGCAGGACCCTGTATGAAAGGTATAATTTTGTGCTAATTTTTTTTAGTGTACCTTCGAAGTACACCCGAAGTGGTTCATGAAAGAGTTAAATCAAGAGGTAGACCCGAGGAATCAGGGCTGTCTTTGGAATATTTGCAACAGCTGCACGACAGTCATGAGAAATGGTTGATGACAGATGATGAAAGGTTAGTATAGGTTTTCCACAGAGCCATGGAAGATTTCGAAAAAAATGACAGTAAATACAACTTAACAAGTATAGCTAGAGACGTGAGAAATATAAAATAAGAGACGCCCCTCGATGCGCAGTGGACAGCACACAAATTTGCTTTAATCAGATTTTTCGTAGCATAACTGCATCTCTCTTCCGCCGAATGCGTTCTCTCTCTATCGTGTACGCGACCGTGCTATCCCCAAGTACAGTTTGACAAATATAGGAAGAGTCCTATATTTGTCAAACTGTACCTTACAATCGAAAAAAATCGGCATCATGGACGGCTGTGGAATGACAGTCGCTGGTAATTTTCGCGAGGCAGTAAGCACCGAGGCAGTAATCTCTAAGGCAGTAAGCACCATTAGAAAAACAAAGAAGAGTACGGGCTAAGTAAATGACGTCTTAGAGCTTGACCTCGTTAAAATTAACATCGATTGTTGTTTCCCAGCCGTCTTGACGCCGTTTTTTTTTTCGATTGTATGGTATTAACTCAAATCTGTTAATAAATTCTAATATATTTTGGTGTTATTTAGGTTTAACACGATACCAGTTCTTGTATTGGACGCTGATAAAACTTTGAGCGAAATTTACGAACAGTACAAGAAAAATGAAGAAAAAATTCTTGGTTTGTTATCATTTTATATATTTTTTTGAAAATTAAAAATTTATCTCATTTGTCTTTTTAGGATATGACAAAAAAGGTACGAAAGCGCCCGTCGAAAAAGGAGAAAAAGAAAAAATTAAAAAAGTTTTAAATCTATCATAGAATATTGTACTATTGCTAGTTTTTTTTTATACACTACATAGTCAAAGAAGCTTAGCTTTAATTTTTATAAAATTTTAAAACATTTTTTCTAAAAAAATGTGGGTATTTTTTATCTAAGTATTAAATAATTAATTTATATAAAAAAATTGTTTTATTTTTTACCGTGTGATCGAAAAAAAAACAGTGTTAAAGACGGCTGGGAATGGTAATCGATGACCATTTTGGCGAGGTCAAGCCCTAGACGCCATCTACTTGGCCCGTATTCTGCCGGTATTGTCTTGATTATGATTTGTACATCTAGTAAAAATTATTTTTAAATGGTTTAAAATTTTAGAAAAAGATTTACGATTTAATAAAAATATAATTTACGTAAAACACAGGCAACCAGTAAAACAGGTAATAATTTCTTGGAGTTTGGTAACAAAATATTTATTTTTTACATAAAACTAATTTATCGATAATACCACATTTTAATCATAAGACAATATATACATTTTAAGCTTACTTATGGAACACCTTTTATTGTTTGATTTTTTGAAAAAATATATTTATTCTCTATACATAACAACATCAAAAACAATAACTCTATAAATGTCTATATAAAAAGTAAAAAAAAATAATTCAACAACAAAATATATCAGTTTCAGTCAAATATTAATAACTTCGTACTCTAAGATCAAGTAATAAATTCCTTAAATTTAAAAAAAATAGTCAAATTCAGTACATGTTTTATCAAAGAAATCAATAAAATCTCTAGGAAAAAAAATATAAATTTAAATCTAAATACCAACTCAAAATATTCTGGTAACACCCACAAAAAAAACCTCAAAAAATACTGCAAAATTCCCGTTTTGGCTATTTTTTACCCTTTTTTGAAGGTTTGAGATCTTGTACATTTGGCTCGCCGTGTACAATCCTGCTATGAATACTTAATGTTCCCATTTCCGCTGTAAAAAGAACATCCATTATCAGTTTCTCAGCTAAAACCAGTTTATCCTTGGATAAGCCCTTTAATTTGTTTACAATATATTTTCCAGTTATAATCAAGTCTTCGTTGCAGTCTAGTTGTTCAGTCTTTGCGCTCTCTTCTTGTTTATTCTTATTTTTTTCAGTCAAACTTTGTATTGTCTTAGTTTTAACTTCTGTAGAATCAGCTTTTTGGGACAGTCTACTTGAGGAACTTTGTTTTGAAAGGAGTTTCGAAGTAGATAAAACATCACAACTATCCTAAAACAATATTAATATACAGTGTGATACAATATGGAGCTTTTTTAAACAATGGTTCACCTTGTATAGCAAAATAAAACATTAATTCACTGCAACATCAAAATACTTAACTTGTAACAATGTTTCAGTGTTAAAAGTAAGATGCTTTGGTGTGTATTGTGCCGAATTAGTATTTTATTTTGCTGTTGTAACACCAAAGGTTCAAACCTGTAACTATATAATCACCCTGTATAGCTTTTTATGTATTATATTTACCTCTTGAGCCAAATTACAGTCACTATCCTCATTTGATCTATAAGTTTGCTCTTTTTGATCAGAGATAAATGATAGTGGATCATAATGTAATAATTCCGGAGTATAGACATTGCCGGTTGATTCTTGTGGCTTCTTCGGCTTTTTTACATTATCCAGTTCATTCTGTAAAGCTAGGCGAAGATTACTAATCTTTCTTTTTATGATCTCCATTGTGGTATTGGGATCGTCAGTTAAGTACAGTCCTGACAGAGTTTTATAAACAACTTCATTCAATATCTCGTCTGCACAACTTGGATTATTCGTTTGAATCACTAAATTTCGAACTGACGCCAGACTTTCTCTGTAAACTTCGGTAAAATTTTCGCTCAGGCTTTTGAAAAGTTTCTCTTTGTCGTACGGACACAAACAGCAAGTTTCCGGCCTATCTGTTGGGCCCTCTTCGTCCTGATCACACATTAAATCTAGAAAATACCTTTTTCTGTTAATAAAAAGAAAACTTTATAGTTTTTTTTCTAGCTTTTTTTCAGTTTAAATTTGCCGGTTACATCACAGGTGGTTTCTGTTTATAAAATAATATAGCCACAGAACAGCTAAAAATGATATTAGATTAAATTAATTCTCTTCTGTGGTCCTGTGGTCCTTTTTTTTTATCTTCTGTGGATAAAATTCTGTTAAATTTTTGTTTGGAAGTTGAATTTTTCATTAAACATAAAAGGAAAAGATAATTATTAAATTAAAAACAATACTAGAAAAAAGTAAGTTTATTGTTACATACATATTTTAATATAATCAATCACATTTATCAAGATTACCATAATGATATATAAAAGATTGCGCCACCATAAAAATTTATCAAAAATTTGAAAAATTTACGCAAAAAATGTTTTTAACCAGCCCATTTGAGACACCTCGTATCCATATGAGTCTCCATACACCTGATACTGCAATATCTAGTTCCACAAGACAGACAATTGTACTGACCCAGGAATCCACAAACGGCACAAAAATGTCTCGATGGTAACTGAGACTCCCCACATTGAATATCCATGTAGGAAGGCCGTTGTTTTGCTTCTGATTCGGCCCTATCCTCGTCCACTAGCTGTTGGAAATTTTTACGGTACTTAAATTGGTAGTAGTCGACTAAAAACACCAGAAAAAGAAGTTTAGATAGATGAAAGAAATGAACTGGAAAAATGTAATTACCTGATCTTTCTTTTCTTTTGGTTCTGGAACTCCTTTGCTCCAGATTATCCTCGAATTTAGGCACTTTTTTACTCATCACCAAGTCGGCATGGGGATCATCGTGATAGTTATCAGACTCTAGCATTTCCATCACTTTTCTTTGCCTGCGTTTACGCTGACTCTCATCAATAATTCTACGTTTATCATTCTCTTTAATTCTGTTGGAACCCCGTAGGGTTCCTTTAGAAATTGTCATGTTGCCGGGTTTTTTAAAAGAAATCTTGATTTTTTTTGTTACTTTTTTTAAAAGTAACTAACTTGATTGGTGTCTGTTGGTTTAGTTTCCTTTATCAGCCAATGGAAAACTGATCTGGTCCATCAAATCGTCGATTTTCGCTTGTAGAGTGTCCAAAATATCCGCAGAGATGAACAGGTGGTTTTCGTCCAAGTCTTGGATGATAAATTTCCTTCCAAGCTTCAATGTCTCGTCTAAATGCAACAAGAACTGTTTCATAGCATTGTCACTGGAATAAATACAAAAAAAACCGTAAAAAATACAAAAAAAACCGTAAAAAATATTAAAAAAATTGAATATTTTTATTGTGCGGAACCTTAGACCATTTTACACATAGATACGTTTTTTTTTGTTTAGGTTCTGTAACTAACATAACTCTTGTTTATTTAAACGATTTAAACATTGGCAAATCACTTTAAAACTGTTGTAAATCGCTGGTGTTTTACTAGATAACAGTGCCCTGTTGCCAAATCATTTATAATTAAAGCGGACTGAACAAAAACTCGAATATTTTCAGATTAACAGAATAAAAAATGGCGAAAAAAGGCCTCAGCGTCGAAGAGAAAAAAGGTCGAATGTTGGAATTGTTCTATGAAACAGGAGAATGTTACCAAATAAAGGTACAGGTCGTATTTTTTATATAATTCTCTATATTGCTTGATATTTTTTTAGGAGCTTGAAAAGGTTGCCCCTAAACTAAAAGGTATTGTCGTTAATTCTGTAAAAGATATCGTTGAAAAGTTGGTTGACGATGGACTGGTTGATACAGACAAAATTGGAACATCTGTATACTTTTGGGCATTTCCCAGGTACAGTAAAACATCAAAATTAATTTTAGAATGAGAAATCTACACTTTATTTATATATTCTTCAGTAAAGCTACTAAAAACAAAAGTAAGAACCTCAATGATTTGATAAAAGAACAGAAAAAAGTAACAGAGACCCTAGAGGCACTTGAAAAATCTGTCGAGGCGTCCAAAGTATATGAAAAAATGTTATTTATGTCTGAAATATTTGATATATTTCTATTTTCAGAACACAAAAACCGATGAAGATGAACTAGCTAAAATATTAGCAGAGATAAAAGCTATGGAAAAAGAAATAGACACAGCAAAGAAAAAACTAAATGCGTATAAAGAAAATGGTTCGAAAAAAGTAAAAGCCATGGCCAAAAAAACGGCGGTAATCGTTTAAAATCGGGCTTAATTATATGTAATCTTATTTATGATGTTTTTAGGAGCTTAAAGATGCTGCAAATCGCTGGACAGATAATATTTTTGCTATTAAATCATGGTGTAAAAAGAAATTCCCAGTAGAGGACAAAGATATCGACAAACAGTTTGGTATACCTGACGATTTTGATTATATATAAGCATATATCTTGTTTCTAGTTATTACATTTATTATTATACTTTTTTGATAAATAAAAATAAACTTACCATCGGACAAGAACTCCTTTCATAACATTTACCATCTTGATTGTTAAAAAATCGAATTTTTGACGTTTGGAAAAGTTTTCCTTAACCTAACAAATTCTTCTTTTTTTTTTGTTAGGCCTGTAAGCACGCCTTAAATATGCAAAGGGGAGAAAAAGCCCTGGTTAATTTAAGAAGATTTGCGCCAAAAATTTGAATTTTAAAATCTTTGACAAAACGATCAAAAAATGATTAATTTAACTGGAAAAGCGTCAAGTTCGCAAATTAAAAAGTACAAACTAGTGTTTTTGGGAGAACAGAGCGTGGGAAAAACGTCCATGATAACGCGTTTCATGTACGACAGCTTCGATACAAACTATCAGGCGACTATAGGTATAGATTTTCTTTCAAAAACAATTTATTTGCACGATAAGACTGTGAGATTACAATTATGGGACACCGCCGGTCAGGAGAGGTTTAGATCTTTAATACCTTCGTATATTAGAGATTCTCACGTAGCTGTTATAGTATACGACATAACAAATTATAGTTCTTTTGAACAAACTACCAGATGGATTGAAGACGTTAGAAATGAGAGGGGAAATAAGGTTTTAATAATTTTAGTAGGAAATAAGGTATAAAATCGTTTAAAATACAACATATTTAGTAGTAAAAGAATTATTTTTAAGGTGGATTTAGAAAGTTTAAGAAAAGTACCTTCAGATGCAGCCGACAAACTAGCTAAAGAACTGAACCTGGTATTTTTAGAGACCAGTGCTAAATGTGGCTACAATATCAAACAGTTATTTCGTAGAATTTCGGATTCCTTACCCGATTTAGATCCGGAATTAGGAGAAGAAATTCTACAAGAAGTGTCCTTGCAGAAACAGGACACACCTGTTGAGTCTGAGAAAACATATTGTCTTTGTTAAAAAGAATCATACCAAAATATAATTATTGTATTGCTTAATTTTATTCAAATAATAATTATCACAAGGTCTTGCTTATAACGTCTGTCCTTTTAAGTACGTAATTATGTTTTTTCTGATTTTTCTTTCTGTTTTTCTTCGAATTCCTCAAAAACCTTCTCTGTTACCACATCGGACTTGTCCATTACTTGTTCTACGGCCACCACTTCAGGGATATAGAACTGTAACATGTTCTGAACCCCGTTTTTGAGCGTCACAACAGAACTGGGGCAACTGGAACACGAACCTTGCATTTTTAATTTAACTATACCATCCTCGTAACCCATAAAGACTATATCACCTGAACAAACATTAAATAAATGTGTTTAAGAAGGTATATTTTAATTTATGATCAATGACATACCTCCATCTTCTTGAACAGTTGGCCTGATTCTAGTATCAAGAAGTTCTTTAATCATTTGTACAATTTCATCATCATCGTCATTTATCTCTTAAAAAAAAAGCAAAAAAAACGTATTTTCATAATACAGAACATTACAACTTACCTGTATCAGTATTTGGTTTTGCCTCAGTCAAAACAGGCAAGTTGCTAGCAAAGAAATCCATAATTGTAGCAAAAATTTCAGGTTTAATCACTTTCCATTCCACGTCTTCTTCAGCACGGGTGATTGTTATAAAATCGGGCCCCAAAAACACGCTTTTAACGCCATCAATTCGAAACAGAAGCTTTCCTAAAGGTGAGCAATACGCATCTTGTGCTCGAGGAAAGTCTATGGTTTGACCTGGATCCAAAACCTTTACCCCTGGAAGGAATTTGAGACTGTTGGGATTTGGGGTTTCCTGCGTTTGTACAAACATATTTAGGATGCTTGTCGTCGAGATTGAAGGAGCCCCATGGTTAAAACTGTTTGGTAAACTAAAAATTACGTTAGGTAGACTCGAAATATTATTTAATAGAAAAATCAAGTACTTTGGTGTAGAATTAGGTAGAGCTGGACCGGTTTTCGAGAGACTGCCCAGTAATTTTGTAAAACTACGCCACATTTTGGAAAATATAAATATTTTTTAAAAATCAAAACAAAAATCTGAGGTTAGGTTTCAACTAAGGATGGCGGCGAGATATCGATATTTTAAATATATCGATATCTTTTTAATTTAATGAACAAATGGAAACAAAAAGCCTTAAAATATTAATACAAACTTCTTTATTACAATAATATAACTTTTATACACAATATCAAGTTAATTTGATACTTAAATTAATTCTAATCCTTTCAAAATAGTTTTTTTCACATAAATTTAAAGTTATGTTCCTTTTCTCCATTTCTCAGCTGTAGTAAATTCAGTCATAGGCTTTCCACTGATTCCGCAAGTGCCAATTCCAACTCTTCCATTCACTGAGTCCGGAGAGGCAAATATACTTTTATTTGTTAATCCACTCTTCTTAGTTTTGACCGCCTTGTTTGCAAAAGCTAACCATTTCTTTTTTTCTACTTCCCTTTCTTCTTCGAGCTCCTTAAATCTTTGTTGTTTCTTCAGTTTTTTCTTTTTTAAGTATTCTTTGTTTACTTTGCTTTTTTTGAATTTTTCTGCTTCAGTTAATGTCCGTTTTTGCCCAGTGAATTCTTTGAGTTCTGATAAAAGACATATACCTCTGTTTTTGTAAGTTTCGAATGTAACGTTAACTTGACCTGTGGAGTTGATCGCGTCGATTTTAGCCTCATAGTACTGTCCATCTTCGCTCCATTTCGCCATGCACACGTCCCCTATTCTCCATATCTTCTTGTTTTTGTTCTGTGCAACAAACTCTTCGACAGCCAATAGTGACCTGGTTATTTCGTCGTCCTCGTCGACTATTCTTACGGGTGCGGTGTATTCTGGCAGGTTAGCGGCTTCCTCGGCTTTGTTTTTCAGATCCAAACTCAAATCGATCACTTCTTCGAGATCGATTTTGAGTTTTTTCAGTTCTTCGTTCTGCGGATCTGAGACCAAGGCTGCCTCCACTTGCTGCAGCTGGAGCTGGTAGTTTTGTAATTCGTCAGACATTATTTAAGGCGATTTTATCGTAATACGTATAATAGAAATTACCTGATGCCTCGAAATCAATTCAATTTGCTAAATTTACTAGATTTCCAAATAAAGTTGTTCTGCGAATGAAATCGATCAAATTTTTATTTTGATGTTTGACAAAAATGTGACAAATGACAGTTATTCTTCTTCTTTTTTGATATTGTGGCTTCAATATATAGAGAGCTACAGATTAGTGAATTTAAATGTATATTGAGTTGCATATCTATTTTATATACACTGAGAAAAAGTAATTTATATTTATAAAAAACCATTTTGATTTGCGTCGATAAATCCAGAGGCAAAACCGTTAAACCTAGAAGCACGAACTTTTGCAAAAAGTTTGCGCTTCTAGGTTTCAAGGCTATTTTTCGAAAGTAGTGAAATTAGGGCTAAAATTTTGTATACAATTTTGTATTAGGTTCTATCTTAAGTAATCCATTAAAAAATGTGTATTGGAACAAAAAATATTCAAAACATAGAGTAGAAAAGTAAACTAAATTAATTTTTCTTAATTCTGTTGCTTTAAAAACAATTTTTTGCTATTTTTTTGCTTTACCTGAAGGGTATAGTACTTTTCTAGAGAGGTCAATTTCTGTAATACAGAAGTAATAAACAATAAATACGTAATAGGTGTATTGTTGATATTTATATTAATGTTAATGAATGTAATTATCCAGACATGTATATGGAGGCATTTTATGTGACTCATGTACTTATATAGTTGTTGTTACTTTATATATTAGGTATCTAATATAAATTAAAGGTTTATAAACATATTTTAAAGGATTTTTATAATAATTTTCTGAGAATAAATAAATTGCGTTATAAATATACCTAGATACGTATTTATTTTTTATTCGCGACTTTTTAAGTAAAATATTAATTACATTCAAGACGTATAATTGCAAATAGTAAATAATGTTTTTATCTATGAGAGTTGTGGTGTGATTCAAACAAAATAAACGTAAACAATTCAAACACACCTCCAAGGTTTTCGCAATACATAAGTAGGTAAATATTTTTGATTGGTTTTAAAGGTAATAAACAAATATTATTTAATCGCAGTTTTATCGATATAGGCTTAAAATGAGAAATTTTTACAAAAATTTCATCATAAAATTGATAAAAATTTATGATAAAAATCGATTTAGTTTGTAAAAAAATTGAGTGTGCGCTATGTGCGCATATTTGAAGTAAAACTTCCTCATACTTTCATCTGCCTGTCTGTACAGGTGGATGACACTTCTTATGGGAGAACTGGAAATGGTTGAAAACTTGACTACAAGCGATTTTCTAGGAATCTTCCTTACCGATAAATTATTGACAAGAGTGACAGATAAAACCTTGACATTCTTTCAGTATAACTGTTCATCTCTTTTTCTTTCTAAAGTGTGCGTTGAAAGGAGACAAAAACAATTTTTTGCAACCCATAAATTGCTATTCGAACACCACTTTTCTCCTTGTCGGGTCGTTGACGTTGACTTGTCGCCATTTTATTTCTTTCGTTTACCCGCTGCAGTTTGCTTTGTAAATTGAATACATAAATTATTTAGGCAAATATAGGTTTTTGATAAAACTCCTTGGACTAACGTGTAGGTAAGTGTTGATAAATAAGTTTTTTTCATCTTAACATGCTCGTTGTCATTCTCCTGATTTAGGTGACAGAAAAGGATCATCAAATGAAATTGAATTTTATATTTTTTCATCCCAGGACCGATAATAAAATATATATTTTATGGATACCTTCCTAAATATCAATGGTGATCTTTTTTCTTTCCACTTAGGATATTGAAATTATTATATACTGTAGTCGTGTTTGGCATTATGCTCTTAGAAATATAGGTAAACAAAGAAGAACAGATATAAAGCATCCCAGAGGAAAAGAGAGGCAATACCTGTACTCTCTCTCTGATATTTGTGAAAGTTACGGCAAAGTATTGTTGTAAATGTCATCTTTTTAATCGACCTGAAAACTTCGAGCAAAATGATGACACTTTCAACAATACCCTCACAGATATCAGAGACGATACAGGTTTTTCCTCACTTTTCCCCTGGAATACTTTTAATTTATTATTCTTTGTTTATCTAGATTTCTCAGAGCACTATGAACGAACTCAGCTTGTATGTTTGAAATAATCGTCCAGTTGGCCTCAAAATGATGATCGATGACATTTCCTATATAATTTTACTTTCAAAATTATGATATATATCGTCATTTCTAAGCCATCTATGACGCCATTTTTTTCAGTTTTGTTATAATTAATTTTGTCTCTTGATCTACTTGTAACATTATTTTTAATTTTATTAATTTATTGTGGTGAAATTAATTTCTGTTGTATATTTGATATTGATATTGAACATATTTTTAAAAAATGGTGTATTTTTTGTGTTTTTATCTATGTCATAATTAAAAATAAATGTAGAATTAAAATTTTTTATTTTTTTAAACTTTCCGCCATGCGTGACAATCTAGTCCGTAGTTCCTACAAGCGAAATTGGGGGCGCTAGTAGCAGTAGACTTGTCAACAGTGTCAAATTTAAACGTCAATTTCACTTTCCAATATTTAGCAAGGCGCTCGCACTTCTCCTTGTGTATGTGTTTTGTGTGTCTGTATGTCTGGGGACTTCATTCATTTCATCATTGTAAAACAATAAAATAAAATATACGTGTTTAAGAGTTTTTCCGAAAAACTCACCGGTTTTTAAATAAAAAATATTTTAATATATGAGGGATAGTTTCACCCCCTTAGAATTCGAGTTTCGAAAAATCCCTTCTTATCGAACCTCTACACCCTAAAGTCAATCTGTTTTCCAAAAATCAGCTTTTTACGTTAAGCGCTTTAAGCAGGATCGTGATTAATCAATTACCAGATTTTTCGAAACACCCTGTATACATTTTTTAAAAATCTTAAAATATGTAAAAAAACAAAATAAAAAATACGTGTTTAAATAAAAAATATTGTAATATTTGTGGGGTGGTTTCACCCTCTTGGAACTGGAATTTCGAAAAATCCCTTCTTATCGAACCTCTACGCCCTAGAATCAACCTGTATGCCAAAATTGAGCTTCTTACGTTGAGTGGTTTGAGCAGGATCGTGATTAATCAGTATGTCAGTCACTTAAGGATTTTATATATTAGTATAGACTATATATTATTAATATGTCTACTAATTTGAGAAGAAAACGTGTTTTTTTGTAAGAGAAATCCGACAACATCGCGTCTGGAATTGTGCGCGTTATTTTAATTTAAATTCGCGCTCGCCTCCGCGTTTTCTATCAGTACATTTTATGTGTGCTTAGCGTTCCGTTTATACCGGCAAACGATAATAAACAGTACTTCCAATCAGAATTCGAATCACCTGATAACTATTATTAGCCTATAAAGTTATTCTCTTAAAATTTTGTGATAAATAAAAGCAAGATTATGTCGGCTTCGCCTATGGCTAGACAAGTGGCTTCCACCCAAGCCATCCCTATTAGGAGGGTACTGCTAAATGATCCCTCGGAACTACCTAGTCACTATTCCCAAACACCTGGAGGAACACTGTTTTCTACGACACCAGGAGGTAAATTAGATATTAATATTGAACTTAGTCGTTATTTATTACACAGCGTGAGTCTTGAATCAGTGCAAATATTTTTAGTTCTCGTATTAAAGCAGTTATTAACTTATTATACAATTTTATTATTACAATTTTAGAATTGTAATAATAAAATATATATAAAATACATATTTTTTTTATATGATTGTTATTTTACAATTTTAGCGATTTTTAATAGTTTGTGAGTAGTAAACTTAAAAACAGAAACACGTCTATGTTTTTTTTGAAAATTCGGGATTTTTTTTTAATTTAATTAACATATAGGTAGTAAATTAGATTTAAAAGAAAGGAAACCTAGAAAAGATCCAGTGGTTCTCCAAATTTAACCAAAAACTATATTTTTTGAGATTTTTAATGTAAACAAACTCGGTTATTTTGGACTTATTTGAAAAAAAAGGATAAAGAGTTTAAAGTTAATAACTGCTTTAAATAGTATCTATAATTCGATTTTAAATATCTCTAATTTGACATCTGGTTATTTGTCTAGCTTCGCACTAGGTCAACGAATTCGACTATAAACAAGAACTTACGTAATGACAGCATAATGGAAAAATATGAGCGTGTTTACTCATTAACGAGTTATAAAAGTCAACAAAAACATGTTCAAAATTCTCTCGACCTTGTTATGCGATCATCATGATATATAGAGCCATATTTTTGTCGTGTGGATTTGTAGTCAACATAAATCACACTTAAACATAATATCGTTTGGGGAGTGTAAAAAAGTTGAGTTAATTTTTTTTCTGATATAAAGTTGATATAAAGTATTATTTTTAGAGAGTTTTAATTTGAATAATTCTCTCTCTAGCAACATTTAAACTAGAGAAAATCAGCTTTTTAATGTGTTAAATAAAGAAAAACATATATTTGAAAACTATCTAGAATATTAGAGTACAATCACAAATTACCTATAACAGATGCGAAACACGATTATGCGAAAGAACACCGAATTACGCGTTCAGATTTCTGTGACCTTCAGAAAGAGTTCATAGACAATCCGCATCAATGTATAGTTTGGGTGAAAATAATCTGCACCAATATGTTATCGAGGCATACAAAAAGGTCCACAGACTTCGAAACATACGAAAAATCAAGTCCATTTAGCGTGTGTCGCAATTTTCACACCTTAAAAAATTTAGTTTTTTATAGCTATAGCAACTGCAGCGACTATGAAAAAAGCTGTGTGATTTTCATAGAAAATAAGGGCACCTGTAATTCATTTGAGAATGTTATAAATCGCTAAAAGAAGTTTCAAATCTCTTGGATTTCTATTAATATTAAATAAATTTTATTAAAAATTGAACTAAAATTGTTAGTATCATTAAGAACAATTCAAATTCACAAATTGTATGAGTCAAATTCCCTCATTTAAGGTGAATATTAAAGTAAATATAAATACAGCTCATTCTAAGCTCTACTTATCTTTAAGAAAAATTTAAATCATTGTTGCAATTGGGCCTTAATGCCATTTCGAATGAACAATAGTATTAATAATGTACATTATAATAATAATAAATTTTATAATCATAGTGTGTATTAAAACTACTAAAACACTTTTAAATTGGTATTATATTAACAACTTCTGTTTTTAATCCAAAAAAAGTTACCAATTTTCTCAATCAAAATATTTGTGGTCCTGAAAAGGACCTTCGTTTTCCCATGTTCGTCAAGGTAGGTAATGGGTAAACGGTAAAAAAACAGGATAATGAAATTTAAAAATTACAAAATTGTTCAAAACGATCATAAAATCCCAAACTCCGCACATTGGATAACATATCAGGGTGACAGTGTCAAAGGCATTAAATATTTTCTGCCTTAACTGCTCCAAGTTTTGAATTTCTTCATGGCCGTAAATTTTAGATTGTATGTACCCCCATAAAAAGAAATCATTCACCGAGAAGTCAGGTGAAATTAAACGTCAGTCTAAACAAAACTGTCATTTTTGAAAACTTGTCAAAATTTGGACACACGCTAAATGGACTTGATTTTCCTATGTCTCGAAGTCTGTGGACTTTTCTGTATAATCTCACAGTAATTTAATAGATTGCTCATCATATTATATCAGCTCGTAGGAGATTAGGAAAAAAAAGATATTTATAGTATAAAAAATTAAATTATTTAACAAAATTTAATTAAAGATGTGACAAAATAGTTACATTTCTATTGGTTCTATCGGACTTTTTTCGACTATATAAATCTTTATTTTTTGTAAACTTTAATGCATAAAATATTTTCAATCTAATAAATAATTTAATGATGTAAATAAGAGGAAATTTCTCACATGGGTGGTGAAATTCTAGAGTTTTCATTATATCAAACAGCCTCTGAATGTTTTCTTCAGTGCAAAACTCATCAAAATTTAATATAAATAATTTTTTCCGCCTGTAAATAAAATGAACAAATTTTTCCACTTTCATGATCAAAGGCTTTTAAATGGGTAAATAATTTCGAGTTATCCAGAGATTCGGATTCTTTTGCAAATTTTAGACAAATATCACATTGATGTATTTGAAGACCCTTTTTAATGATGTAGTTAAACATAATTAAAGGCATTTTGAGTTGAAAACATTTCTCAGAGGCTGTTTGATATAATGAAAACTATAAAATTTGACATAGGTAATTAATCTGTTATAGGTAATTTGGTGGTACAATATAATTCCTGTAGTCTCTGTAGGTCACTTTTGGTCAACACAAATCAGAGGGTAATTAAGGGTAAAACAGAAGTTTACTGATTATTTTGTTTTTTATTTCTGATATTATACAGGGAGAGTCTTAAATAAATGCAAATATTTTTGGGGTAGTGTATTTCGACCCCAAAAACACCATGAGATTTTTTTCGCGAAATTTATTTTGGAATTTTTTAATGTTCTTTTGGTTTCTAGTTAAAACACACAATTTCTTGATAAGATGGCAACATAGGTGATGCAGTGGTTCTCAAAATTTAAGCAAAAATTTTTTTTTAAATTGTCAAAGTAAAATAACTCGGTTATTTCGGACTTGTTTGAAAAACGGTAAAGAGAAAATATGTTTCTTTTATCGAGATCTACCGGACCTGAAAATATTTGCACTTATTTAAGACCCACCCTGTATATTAACTGATAAAACGGTACCTTCTAGCGACAGTTAACTTCACATCAATCTTAATAATAATCGCGAATCGCTAATAACTTCGCGACAATCAACTTCAGTTAACTACTAATAATTAATTTAGAAACATCTAATTTAGGGAAAATGCTAGATCATAAAGACATCAAGACACGTACTTCCTGTCGATGACTTGAAGTCACCATAAATCAGAGTGTTTGATGAGATATTTTGCTAAGATAAAGAGAAAACTAAAAGTTTTCTTAAGAACTTAAAATTAATTATGATGTTCAAACAAAAATAAAACAGAGACCAACATTTTAATGAAAATTATACAATTTTTTTCTGTGAAATACGGCTAAAATACTCTATAAACGTGTTAAAAATGCTCGCAGGGTGTTATTGACCGTGAAAATGACAATAAAACAGAAGGTTATAAATAATTGTGAGTCGAGACTACTTATTCTATGCGTAATAACCCGAGAGGAAACGAAAAACAAATAACACATTTGAATTAAGATTCCAGACAAGTACTGCGCAATAGTTGTTTTAGATAATGTAATGTATATTATGCACGGTTACATACCCAACAGCAGTATACAGGGTGATATTCTCTAACTAGGAATTATTTCGGCAAATCAAAGATTTTTTTTAGGAATATACTCAGACACGTTGATTAGGATATTTTAAATTGTGCTTTGTTTATGTAAAAAATACACATAAATGTGTCCTGAATATGAGATAGGTATATATGATTATCATATTTTTTATGTCTATTCTTGAAAGGTAAAACGGAATTGGAAATGTTTATGCTTGATATTATTGCCAGGAATTTTAAGAATCACCCTGTATGTCTGTTGTTTTGAGGTAAACGACTGTGGTAATGTGGAAACCTTGAAAAAAATCGCGCTTTGATAAAATTATTTACATTTTTACACGCGCAGCTGTTTTTTGCACGTGGAGAGTTTACTGCTTTCTTAAAATAAAGAAAAATGTACTGGAAATTGAAAATTTGTTAAGAATAAGTTATTCTTTTCTCACTAAAATATATTAAAAACAAATTACTATGTTGGTACAATTTTAATATCGATTTGAATTAAACAAGTAGAGCGGGAAAACCTTAGGATTCTGTGTATTATTAGTTTCATATATTTAGGACATTTTTACTAATCATGTTTATTCATTAAGTATTTATTTTATTCAGACAATTTTTGTAATAACAAAGAGTTATATTTGTACTTATAGCTACCCAAAATACAATAAAAAAGACGTAATAAATTTTGATTATAATTATTAATCAAATTATCTTTATACAGAAAGAATAACAAAATAAATTAATTGATCATTATTATATAGAACAAAAAGTCGATATGAATTAACAGATAATCAATCTAAAAATTCGACCTAATTCTTTTCCTTGTTAACGATTAATTTTTTATTGATTATTCTTATTATAACCTTGACAATTATCAATTTTAATCTTTTTTAGTCACAATAAAATATGCTTCTTTGATTGTAACATTAATTACTTAAGATAAATCTATATCTTTCCGAAGGATTTGTACCAGTTTTGATTAAAAAAATCCGCTTATATCACGTATTAACAAGTAAGCGAAAGATTTTCGAGAAAATATATTATTTTGCTATATTTTGGAACCCACTTGCAACTTGCCAAAAGTAACTTTTGCTATTAATTTTCGAACTGTTTGTTGACCTGAATGTGCGTTTAAATTTAAATCGTAATTCTTTCAGGAATTTAAACAACATCTATACAAAATTGAATAATTTGAAAAAAAAAACAAGCAACAAAAATTTCGCACATTTTAGATATTTTTGCAAAAATACCACGATGTTTTTTTTTAGATTAAATATAGAGGTTTAACTATCTAAAAGGTCGATTATATATCGTTCAAGATCAAATAATTCGCTGGATTTAGCTGTCTATTTTTAAAATTTATGAAAATAAACACGTGTGGTTTGTAGGCATATGCAATATTTATTTACTTTTAATTTTTACATTACAAGGTGAGGAACACTTTTAAAATTTGGCTTTATAAAATTTGGATCAAAAACGTTTTATTATTTTATTAAATTAAAAAAATCGAAATACAGGACAGGGCAAAAAGTTATGAAAAATCCTTAGAACTCAGCGTAATGGCTGAATTATATTATAATTAACGTATTTTGTTTTTATGTAGATTAATAAGGATATTTTAAACAAGTTCAAAATAAAATATGTAAATAAACAAGTTTAATATTGAAAAATACGCATTTTATCTCGAAATTAGTTGTAAACAAAACGATAACAATAATTAATGCACTTTACAATAACCTTCGATTTGCGATATACCGGGTGCTTCTCGAAAAAGGCTCACCCAGATAACTTTTTTATTTTTTCAGATAAAAAAACGAGATTTGGTATTAGTATATGACATAAATTAGGATTGATTGACGTATTCAACTGATTTTAGTCACTTCCTGTTTCACCGGAAATGACTCCAATTTTTGATTTTTAAATGGTATCCTCGGTATATTTCTACTATATTCGATAGAAAATGCGACTCTGAGTATAATGATATATCATATGTCAACTTTAAAAAAACAACGTATTTTAAATTTCAATCTAGAGTGCCAAATATGGATCTATTAAAAACACTAATTTTTAATCAAAGAGCCTTGGATTGTTATTTGATCGTCTAATGTTCTTCGTGTTTTGTCCTGGCCTGTTAAAAAATGATCAAATTGTATTTTTAATCATATCTCAATTTTTTCAAATGGAACAAGGGTGGCTCATTAGCATATTTGGAAAAAGCATTTTTTATGAATAATGGAATAATTTGGTACCACACACTTGGTATTTCGAGTCAAATTGTCGTTATGAACCGCATGTTGCAATTTGAAATAAACCATATGCGAAAATTTCAAAAGTTGACATATGATATCAGGTCATTCTATTCAGAGTGTCATTTTCTATCGAATGAAGTAAAAAAATACCGAGGGTGCCGTTTAAAAATTAAAAGTTATAGTAATTTCCGGTGAAACAGGAAGTGACCAAAAGCAATTGAATACGTCAATAAATCTTAATTTATGTCATATATTAACATACCAAATCTCGTTTTTTATCTGAAAAATAAAGAAGTTATAGGGGTGAGCCACTTTTGAGACGCACCCGGTATAGCAAACAAATGTACTATAATTAAGAATTATTAAAATATGGAACAATAATAATAATAACTAACAATATTTTTTCGATAAGGAGTGACTAATACAATGCACATACATACATACATACATTAGTAATAAACAAAAAAAAATAATGACAATAAAAATACCAATTTTCAATATTTATTTTGCAAAAATTACGTACTTTGTTATTATTTAAAATAAATGTTAACAATATATTTACATTAAGCGATATTGATTAGAATTTAATTGTTGTTTACAAACAAAAACAATATTTACAAGAATTGATACTTTGTAATTAAAATTATAATCTTTTTTTATATTACAATTAAGGTCCAAAATAACGGTTTTTTCGTATAATTTTTTTATTAATTTTTACATTGCAATCAAACTAATTTTTATTTTTGTTGTTACAGGTACTAAGATTGTCTACGAAAGAAACTTCCTGCTCAACTTGAGGAACTCTCCCGTCTCTAGGACACCCCCCAAATGCGAAATTCCCGAAAATCTAGTCAAAGGTTCGGGAAGTCCGCCGAAAAAGTACCAGAGCGCGTCGATCAAGAGAAATAAGTACCCGCAGAGGACCAGGAACGACAGCTTCACTGCCAAGAACAGTTCTATCGATGACGACCAATTTCAAATGGATCTCTGATAAAGATAATAATTAATTTTTGATAAGAATAACTGTTCTAAATTTGAAAATGTTTTATATTGTTGATTTTATAAATAAGTAAATATTAATGCAATTGTTAATGACAAAAAAATGTGACAATTTAAATTAAATTGTATAAAATATATATTATGCTTTGTAAGCACTGTATATGAAAAAAACTTTTAAGTAAACTAATTTTTTAAAACACTTTGGTTTTATTTTTCCACATTTTTTTTAAAATAATTTTAATAAGTTTCTATATTCAAACTTTTAGCAGGAACATTTTTGAGACATAAAAAGAACTCAAAATTCTTATCTGTTTCATTAAAAATGTACCTATACATTTATTATTTAAAAAAATATAGATACCGTATGATCGAAAAAAACGGCGTCCAGTTGGCTTGGAAATGAACATCGTACATGACATACCCCATATAATTTTACATACAAAATGACAGCGATCTTTATTTCATAGCCGTCGCTGACGCCGGTTTTTTTTCGATCATATTGTACTTTTTAGTATGTTCCTGTTGCCTAAAGAAAAAATAAATAAATATGCTGGATAATGATGCATGAAGTTGCAACCATTGTACTGTGTTAAACACATCTAGTACGTATACCTGTGGCTCTAAAAAGTTTTTAAGATAAAAGAAATATTCACAGAGAAATAAGTAAATATAGAGGTTCCCTAAGATCAGTAAATGTCAGATAAAAGTTATATCCTTAAATTTTTTGCTGTTCATGCTCAAAATTTGAATTGTAAATGTAAACATTGACTAAGATTTTACAGTACCTCTATGTTAACTTATTTTTCTGAAGTTTACTAACACAACCCACGTAAAAAAATTGTTTTTATTTCCAAATACAATAAAATACCCGTATATAAACCAAAACTATATCTCACTTCAGACACACCTCCCTAGATATCACGTACTTCAGCAAGTCGTACAACCGATGCGCATACGCGTACTCCGCGTCGTACCACCCGAACAGCTTGACGGCATTCTTGCCCAATCCTAAGCCAGCTTTCGAGTCGAACACGCACGAATGCGGATCTCCGACGATGTCCGAACTAACCAAGTCTTCAACGCTATACCGGATCACACCTTTCATGTAACAATCCGCGGCCTCCTTTATTTTGGCAGCTACCAAATCGTAGCTGGCCGGTTTTCCTAAGCTATACAGCATCGAAAAAAAGAGAAAATAATATTACAGTGTTGCCAAATTGGAATTTTTGTCCTTAAATTTAGGGAAAATATATTTCTTTTTAAAACGAATTACGATTTTGTCCCATTACATTAACAAATAGCGAATTATAAAATTATTACAGTGTTGTCAAGTTGTGAAATTTTCCCTAAATTTAGGGAAAAATCAAATCACGTTTAAACTTACATGGCGGTTAAGTCTACGGCTCCTACACACGGTACGGGTATTTTAACGGCCGTAGATTCGACTTTGTCTTCGAGTTCGGGCATCACTCTGGACACGTAGCGGCCAGGAGCGGCCGATCCGACTGGTAGGAAATTGACGATGGCAGAACGACTTTCTCGACACACGGAACCGCCGTTGTCGTCCAGGATTTTGTCGCTGTTGGTCAGAGGAAGAATCGCAGTTGCCATGGCTTTCTGTATAGAAAAAAAAATGCTCCAATCAGGCGAACATTTGAAATATTTCAGGATAAATCATATTTTTTGTGCAATCTGGCAACATTGTGGGGTTTATTAGCATTGCGTAGTCTTTTTTCAGTCAAATTCAGATAATATTTCTCCCGTTATTATTAGTCATTAAAGTTCAAAATAATAAATCTAAGAAACTGATTAATTTATTAGCTCGATGAATGCCATATTTCAGAAGACTTCTGAATTTTTACACAGACTGGCAACGCTACATATTTTTATCATAATACATGATACAGTTTTATTCAAACCAGTGGTCCTCAAACTTTTTATGTAAAACACTTTGATGAAGGATTAAAAAATATATTTGCATACAGGATATGAGGGATAATGTTGTGTAAATAAAACAAAATGTACCTACTTCTACTTTGAAATTTTCGTGAACCACTCTCAACATGGCTGCTAAACAGTTTAAACTAGGAGATGACACAGATACAGTCTTCATATCCGGTTTGTAACACGTATGATTTACTCCCATAATGAATATTGGAATATCTGCATTTCCTGTTACTATTACTCTTTTAACGGACTCTCGCAGATGTTGCTGAAATTGATAAATGAAGCATTAATTCAAAAGGAAATTAAATCCCATATGATATCAATGAATATACAACCAATAATACATCGAATCCTAATGAAAAAGATATATGTTTTATTTTTTTTTATCAATATATTCTTAATATTAATAAAGATTTGAGTTTATTGTTTTATGTATATTTTGAATTATTTCTTTTAAATAACTGACTTTTGCCACTAAACTCTTATCATTTTTAGCATTTGATTATCTTTGATGTTAAGGCTTAAATTAAACGATATTAAAGAGCCAAAAATGGTAGGACTAGGTGTATTTTTAGTTGCATATCCTCCGTCTTTATTCAAAAATTCAAATAAAACGTTTTAATGCAAATAATAATAAAAATTAAGCAGATAAACAATTGTTTTTACTTACAGATGCAGAAGCACAAGATATATTTCTTCCTGTCGTATCAATTATGTATTCTACAGGGCAACCTTTATTCCAGGGAATTTTCGTTATGTTACTTTCATGTACAGCTTCTATTCTTTGGCCTGGAAGAAAATTCCAATAACAAAATGGATAAATCGTGATTTAATGATTTCTAAACTAATATACAAATACAAAATTACCGTTAAGTAAAATACAGTTATCCATTTCTATAATTTCCCTCTTAAATGATCCATAGAACGAGTCGTTTTTGAATAAATATCCCATGCATTGTGGTGATAAATTGGAATCGTTCACTATAGCGATTACAGGTGAATCAGAACCTGCAGTGCCCTAAAATTATATTCGAATTTTAAACTTAATTGGTTTTAATTAGTATTTTTGTACAGTACTTTGCCACATTGGTCCAAAGCTATTCGAACCAAAAGCCTTCCAATTCTTCCAAATCCATTTATTCCCACGTTTACCATAATTTTAATCTAATCTTTTGTGTTTTAAAACATATCAAATAGTGTCATGTATTGTCAGTGTCACGCAATATTTTATTTCTGTGTATTAAAAATTGTTTACAAAATGATAGATTACCCTGGCCAAGTAAAAAAATACTAAAGCCTGGAAATTTAAAAAGAAGAAGAACTGTCTGTCTTTCTCTATCACACAGCGACGCTCTCTCTTGCTCGTATTTGATCAATCTGTCAAATTTGACAGTAAACCGATTGAAAATCACACGTTTCTGTTTATGTACGAGCATTTTTCTGTTTATTTTGTCCGCACATCGTACGGGATATTTATAAAAGTATGAAAACATAAATAGAAAAACCCCGAGTCCGAGGATCAAAACAAAAACCCACATAAGTATCCGCGTAATTTTGATGGAGATCCAAGAAAATGAAACCGAGGTTTGTTGACATTTTTCTCCTGTTTTTATTACGTTTAAATTAAACCAATAACTTTTTTTTATTCGATCAATATTGTTACGTAAATTTTTATTTTTGAATATTAATTCGGTAAATTTAAAAATAGAAAAGGTTATTTTTAGTTTTTTGTTTATAATCGTGAATACACACTGTTTTGTTTGTGTACTATAGGTGCCTGCAACGAGTCTAAACAGATTAGATTCAGCTTTGAGCGAGTTAGGAATGTTAGCAGCTTCTACAAACTCGAGACAGGAGTATTTAACAGAGATTCGAACAAAGAACTATCTAAATATGCTAACAATAAACACCAGATATGTTAGTAACGTTTCTATAGGCTTCCAAGTACGACCTAGCACACCCCACGTGAGATACAAGCCTTATAACATCAATACAAAAGAGAGACATAGGTATATAAGGATTTTCAGTGTTTTAAAATATCTAAAATTGATTTTTTATAGGACTCGTTCAGAGAATAACGATGCTGAAACATCAAGCTTAGCTCAAAAACTAGTAGAAGACTGTATTACCGACTCGATAGCGGAGATATCTCAATTGAAGAAAGCCAAGTCTCTGGAGAGTGTGATAGCGGAAAGTGGGCAGAGTAAAGACTTATCAAATATCAGTTTCGGTGAACTAGAGCAAGTGTCCGATGGGGTGCAGAAGCTAAAAGTCGTAGAGTAATACACGGTATTTTTATATTATACTTTTGTCTGTTTATAAATGTGATGTTCGAAGAGAAGAAAATAATTGTACTGCAATTTTAGGTATTCTATTTTATTGTTGTAATATTTATATAAATAAAAACGATTTGTCTAGGAGTAGTTAAAATGTTTTGTTCTAAAGAGAAGTCCTAAAAAAAGATTGAAGAAACACCTCAACTATTTTTTTTCCAATAACAATAAATAAACCTTTGCAAAAACAAAATAAATTATAAAAAACCTAGTTTAACATTTGCCTCTTAAATCTATTAATCATACTACAAGATCGGAAAAAAGGTGTCACAGCAGCCTTTGAAATGGAAAAAAGGTTTTAGACACTCCAATCTCTATTGTACTTCTATAGCAAGTTTAAAATTCAATAAAAAAACGCGTCAAGGTAGTCTTTAAATTCTGTACTTGTATCTGGAAACTTCTTGGTTTTTTATTTTGATAAATTCAAGAAATTTTTACCAAAACGACATAAATTATAAAACTACTTCAATATTTTGACTCTTAAATCTATTAATCATACGATACAATCGAAAAAAAAACGCGTCACAGTAGTCTTTGAAAGGGAAAAAGGCTTCCAGACGCTCAAATATATTCTGTACTGGTACGTGGATACTTCTTACTTTTTTTTAGAAATTCTTATGTCAATATTTAATAAACAATCTGTAGGGGTGGTCAGTTTGATAGAAATTATCATCCTTTATCATTTTAAGAGTTACCATGACGGCTTTTTTTTCCGATCACATTGGTATTTCTTAAAAATAATTTATATATTATTTGTGCTTTATCAAGTGTCTTAATCGTACAATACGATAAAAAACGTGTCAAGGTAGTCTTTGACTCGGAAAAACGTTCCTACACACCAAAGAATTTATTCTGTATTGATGTCACAAACTTCTTGTTTTTTTATTTCGAGGTATTCCTATGTTAATATTTAATAAACAATATACAGGTGTTACATTGACAGAATTTATCATACATTCTCATTTTAAAAGCCACTATGACGCCGGTTTTTTTCGATCGCAGAAACTTCTTATTTTTTTAGAAATACGGATCAGTTTGAAATTATCATCAATTCTCATTTTAGAGCTACTACGACGCCGTTTTTTTTTCGATCCCATTCTACACATCACCACATCTACCCCATGCTTTATCAAGTGTCTTTTATCTATTAATAGTAAAATACGACCGAAAAAAAATGAGTCACGGTAGCCTTTGAAATGGAAACAAGTTCCCAGACATTTAAAAAACGACTCTGGGATCTTCTTGCTTTTTTATTTTGTAAAATTCATTATGTCAATATATAATAAACAATATACAGGTGTTACATTGACAGAATTTATCATACATTCTCATTTTAAAAGCCACTATGACGCCGGTTTTTTTCGATCGCAGAAACTTCTTATTTTTTTAGAAATACGGATCAGTTTGAAATGATCATCAATTCTCATTTTAGAGCTACTATGACGCCGTTTTTTTTCGATCACATTGTACACATCACACATCTACCCCATGCTTTATCAAGTATCTTTTATCTATTAATCGTAAAATACGACCGAAAAAAAAATGAGTCACGGTAGCCTTTGAAATGGAAACAGTTCCCAGACATTTAAAAAACGACTCTAGGATCTTCTTGCTTTTTTATTTTGTAAAATTCATTATGTCAATATATTAATAAACAATATACAGGGGCTACATTGACAGAAGTTATACATTTTAATTTTAAAAGCTACTATGACGCCGTTTTTTCGACCACAGAAACTTTTTTTAGAAATTCTTATTTAACAAACAATATATTAGAACTCAGTTTGATAGAAGTTCATCATCTATTTTCATTTTAAGACGCCTTTTTTTCTTAAAAATAAATTATATATTATTTTGAATATCTTCTTACAACCCCATGCTTTATCAAGTGTCTTAAATAAAATAATACGATCGAAAAACTTGTCACGGTAGTCTTTGAAATGGAAAAAAGTTCCCTGACAGTCAAAAATGTATGCTGGAAACTTCTTGCTTTTTTATTTTGAGATCTTTTTATGTCATTATTTAATAGGGGTGTATATACAGGAGTCTCATTGAGAGAAGTTATCATCCATTCTCATTTCGCAAGCCACTATGACACCGTTTTTTTTTTCGATCACATTAGTAGTTCTTCAAAATCATTTTTATTTTTTTGAATATCTACACCTTGCCTTATCAAGTGAAAAAAAAATCGCGCCACAATAACCTTTGAAATGGAAAATGTTCCCATATACTCAAAATATCTATTCTGTACTGTTGTGTAGAAACTTTGCTTTTATATTTTGAGAAATTCCTATGTGAAAACAGGGGCCAAACTATATACAGGGGTGACATTGTCAGAAGTGAACATACATTTCCACTTCAAAAGCAACTATGACGCCTGTTTTTTTTATTTTTTCAAAACTATACACTATGACATATTATTTTGGATATTTACACCGTGCTTAATCAAGTGATTTTTCAAGTTATGCTTATACTTAAACCCTTTTTGACACAACTTACAATGAAACCTACTATCGTCCACGTGAGTTCTTAAATGCGTCCTCAGATTTTTTCTGCTCTTGAACATTTTCATACAAATATCGCAAGAGAACTGTTTATCGTTCAAATGAGTCAACGAGTGATACTTTAAATTGTTATTATCGGCGAAGGACTTGCTGCACTGTGGAAAAGTACAAACAAACGGTTTTTCGTTGGTATGAATTCGAATATGTCTTGATAGTTTGCTGGGAACATCGAAATTCTTGTGACAAACGTGACACTGGAACTTGTTGGAATGGATTTTGTGGTGCTGGGTTAAATGGCACTTAACTGCAAAGGTTTTCGAGCATATTGAACAAGCATAGGGCCTGATTTTAGTGTGGTAAGCTATGTGGGCATTCAAGTTGCTTCTCCTCATGAAAGTTTTCTCACAATGCGGACAAGGGTACAGTTTAGAAGGTTTTAAATTATTTTTAGCCACACTCTGTGGTTTCAGGCTCTTTTTAATATCATCTATTGATAATATATTCTTTTGTTGGGACTGAATACCTTCCAAAAACTGGTTAGATGTTCCATCAGATACTTGAGATTGTTTTTTCTTTGTTACTGCATTATTTTCAGATTTTATAGAAAAACTTGCAAAATCATTATAATTGGGCATGTTTCCGTTAATATTTGTGCCATAATTCATCAAATTATTAGTGGAATAGTGTTGTAAAATCATTATAGAAGAATTTTCAGCAGTACTACTGTAACTTTGAAAATTTTCAAAACCTTGCTTGTTACTATTACTGACTATTACACTTTGCTGTTTCTGGATGAAGTTTTGTGCTGCGTTATTGTCACAAAGTAATCTATCGTTCAAACTTTGATGCCAGGGCTCCGTGTAGTAAATCGCATCAAATTTCATGTTTGTAGCGTAAACCAAGTCCAAAAAATTTGAAATCTCATTTAGCTTAGTACAGCACAAGCTGCAAATTTCTTTGGGTTTGAAATCATCCTTGTTTATCTAAAATATAGTATTTAACTTTAGTAAACTAAATAATAAGCTTTAAATTCTGTTACCTCAATGTTCAAACATTTCTTAATCTTTTGTTGTAAATTGTACGATGATTCTGATCCCAAAATGTTAAAACAGACATCGCCAATTTGGCCGCATAGCCGGCACAAATTTTTCACCCAAGGCATTTCGGAATTTTGTTTAAAAATGTAAAATTTTAATTTATTTTAATGTTTTTGTTTATAGAATTTTTGGGAAATTAACCTATAAAAAAATGACGTTGACATTGACAGTATGTATGTTTAGTTGCCTGACTATTAATACTTTTTTTATATTTACTTAAATATGCAACCAGTTATTCTTAGACATTAGACAACAAAAATAGTTTTTCTCTGAAAATAGAAAGATATTCCGTGAAGTGCTCCAGATAAACCTGAAAAAATGTCTCTTCAAATATTTACATAACTCTTTTCGCAATTAGGTGCGCAATTTATGCTGTAATACTGAAATTTTCGCAACGTCTATTTGAGCTGAGGTTAAAAATGTGCCAAAAATAAAATTCAATGCAAATCGCAGGCAAATCTCTACTTAATTTGTGCTTAATATGCAAACAAGACCGTAAAATGCGGGATTATGTTATTGTTTACAGTTGTCACGTTGTTTTGAAACGAAATATTTAGAAGTTTTTCCTGTGCGGAGTGTTAAATTTAGGATTATATAGCCTTTGAAGTGGAGAGAAAAAAAATAAAAGGAAAATATTCAAACAGTACATACAATGTTTATTTTTCTGCGAAATTAGCACTTTGCTTGAACAATTAGAACCGGTAAGTATCTCGTTTTGAATAAAATATGCAATTATGCCGCTCAACATATATTTAAATAATTAGTGGCAATTAAATTAAATTGGTTTTCGCTGTTTTTTTCAGCAGCACTGTCGAACGGAATGGTTCATCTGATTTGGACATGGAGTTTTCAGTCTCCAGGAAAATCATCGTTGCCCTAATTATTCTGGCAGCGATTTCCATTTACATAACTTTCACATTTAACTCTTGTCTGGTTTCGAACATATCAAATCGTGTCCCAAAGGTAAGCAAAGAATTAAATGTATTATAACATTATATTTCTTTTTATTTTGATACTTTTAGTGGCGGCGTACTTCTGTAGTGAACGAAATACCTCTAATTCATTATACCTCTTCTGTACGAGTTGTTTCACTTTTGGAAGGCAATGAGACAGACCTGTCTCCAAAATATAAGCTTTTCAAAGAGCAAGGTCTTAGACCGGAGAGACAATTACCAGAAGCATTAATAATTGGTAAGTTTTTCTGTCAAAAACAGAACTATAGTTATGTAAACTCTATTTGCGATAAATTAAAAGAATTTTAAAGATTTTTCATTGATTTTTTTTAGGTGTAAAAAAAGGTGGCACTAGAGCCCTTCTGGAATTCATCCGGATACATCCAGATGTGCGTGCCGCGGGCAGCGAAGTGCATTTCTTCGACAAGAACTACCACAAGGGGTTTCAGTGGTACAGGGAGCATATGCCCCCCACTTTGGAGGGGCAGCTGACCATAGAAAAGACGCCTTCGTACTTTATCACCAAGGAGGCCCCAAGGAGGGTTCATATGATGAATCTTTCTACCAAGTTGTTGGTGGTAGTGAGGGATCCAGTGACAAGGTAATATATACCTATATTAATATTTAATTTTATTATTATCCTGGAATTTTTGTATTAAAGTTTGAAGTTAAAATTTTTGGTGATCAAGTAGGCTTAGCATGTTGACAGAAGAAAAATAATTATTTTGTTTTTTGTTTTATTATACTATCTCCATAGCCTTCTGAGTTACAATTTTTTTTATTAAGTTCATCCTGTATAATTATTTTACAGGGTGAATCTCTCTCACTTTTTCTCAAAAAGCTTCATAACATGATTTTTTTATTTGATTTTTTTGTATAAAATTTATTGGCAATTTTATGGCAATTTTAATATTTTATTAGGTATATTAAATATACTGGGCGATTCAAATTTATTTTCAGATTTTTTATCAAGTAGGCTGGATATCACTTGATATGTTGACAGAAGAAACAAATTATGTGATTCCTTGTATTATCTATGGGCTTCTGAGTTATAAAATATTTGGTCTGGTTTATTCTGTATAATTATTATACAGGGTGAACAATTTTTCCCCCAAAGAGCTTCATAACTAGGGATGGGCGATAATGGATTTTACCTATCGATATATTTTAATTATCGATAGTTATCGAAAAATCATTCCATCCCTAATCGTATCTATTATAGTATAAAATGCAGTCTCATGAAATTTTACGGAAAACTTAAAATACTGTATGATCGAGAAAAAAAACGGCGTCAGCGATGGTGCGATGGCTATGAAATGAAGATCGGTGTCATTTTATATGTAAGATTATATGGGGAATGTCATCGATGTTCATTTCCAAGCCAACTGGACGCCGTTTTTTTCGATCATACGGTATAATATATAAACCTTATTTTATATAATAATTTTGAAATGATCAGCTAATATTCAGGTTTTTAAATGGATAAATAAAAATATACCAACTAAAGTAAATTTCGACATATCGATATATCAATATTTCGATAGTTATTCATAACAGATATTTATGGAAATGCTATTAGTACATCGATAGGTGAAGATATATCGATAACTATCGATATATCGAAAAAATGCCATCCCTATCCGTGACATCTACATATATAAAATGCTAATGTTTATCTGTGTCGTCTCTACTGAAGTAACGACTTGCTCTAGAAAGTTGATTTTTTTACTAAAAGATAGCTAATTGGCTCTTCTAAAAACTGTCGTCGCCGGATTTTTTGTTTTTCATTTAATTAAAAAAAAAGTATTTTTTTCCTGATGCGTGGCGGATGCGCCAGGCTTCAACTAGTGTTTTCTATAAAATACTTTAGCAATCAATATTTTTAGGCCAATATACTGGGTGATTTAAAACTTATTTTCGGTGTATAAATTTTTCGTTTTTTGTTTGCTATATCTTTGGAAGTATTCAGAATTTTTTAAATTTTAAAACATCATTTTATTGGACGTAAAAATGTGAAATATGCTGACAACTCACATAATAAAAAAATAGATTAGTGACTGTCTTAAAAAAATTATGTCAATTTAGGGCTATTTCCGACTACACTCAGGCCGTCTCGAAAAAACCCGACATGAAATCCTTCGAAAACCTGGTTTTCATCAACGGAACCGTAGGAAGCATAGTCGACACGTCCTGGGGCCCAATCAAACTAGGGCTGTACTACAAATACTTGACGCGCTGGCTCAAATTCTTCCCCCTCTCCCAACTGCTGTTCATCAGCGGCGAAAGACTTATTCAAGACCCAGCGATCGAGTTAAAAAGGGTTCAGGATTTCTTAGGTCTGAAAAAAGTCGTTACGGAGAAACATTTCTACTTTAATAGTACTAAGGGGTTCCCTTGTTTGTTTAAGAGCGAGGGCCACAGCGCGCCCCATTGTCTGGGCAAAACTAAGGGCCGGAGTCATCCCTACGTAGATCCTTTGGTTTTACAAAGGCTCAGGGATTTCTATAGGCCGTTCAATATGCGGTTCTACCAGATGACCGGTATTAATTTCGGTTGGCCGTGAATTTTGGCCAGTTATTATTTCGTAGGGATGTGTAAAAATATCGATTTTTTTTTGTAAAAAATCGATATTTAGAAAATAATAGTGGCCATATCGACATTTACTTGAAAATGTCGATATATTGAATATCGACATTTCTTCAAAAATATTTTAAATAACTATCGATATACCTACAGCAATATCGATATTTTGCGATTAAATTCCGGTAATTTCTTTGTTATTAAAAAGTTTTTTCTTATAGGATGAACATCTTATAAAGTTTAATATAATTAGAATTACAAATATAGTTCATTTCGGCCATTTATTATTTCGTAGGGATGTGTGAAAATATCGATATTTTTTAATTATCGATATTTTCAAAATTAAGGTAGCAATATCGATATTTACTTGAAAACGTACGAAATATCGCCATTTTTCGATATTACATAATATCGATATTTTAAATAACTGTCGATATAAAGCAATATCGATATTTTTTCGATAAAATCCCGGTAATTTCTTTGTTATTATAAAGTTTTTTTCTTATATAATGAATATATCTTATAAGGTTTAATATGATTAGAATTACAAATAAAGTTTATTTCGGCCCTTTATTATTTCGTAGGGATGTTCAAAATTATCACTTTGTTTCAATAAATATCGGTATTTTCAAAACTGTCATCAACAATTACTCTAAAATGTCGATATATTAAAATATCGATATTTTTTCGATAATATCCTTGTCTTATCCGTATTTCATTGTTTTTGGATAGTTTTTCTTCCAGATTGAGCATCTTTTAAGATTATAATTACAAATAAAATTAATTTTGGCCATTTCTTATTGGGTAGAGACGTTTAAATGTTTCGATATATTAAACTATCGATATGTCCTCCTAAAAACTTCGATAGGTATATTAAAATATCGCTATTTTTTGGCCACTTACTATATGTCATAGGGATATCGCTAAATATCGATATATTGAAACATCGATTCATGGGTCAGGTATTTTTTTAAATATGTCGATATATTGAAATACAAATATACATTTTTCAAAAATAAACTATCGATATATAGAATTACCCAATGACATTAGATCATTGAAAATATCGATATTTTGAATAATTTACTTTATTATTATTATTATTGATTGAATAATTTACTTAATTTATTATGTCAAATAACAGCTAAAAAATGGATATATCATAATATCGATATTCTTCCAAAAAATATATCAAAATATCGATAATTTTGCGCATAATCGGCTATATATCGATGTTTTTTATTACAATGGTCATATTATGTTTTGTAACCGTATTATTTGTATTGTTTTTTTATTGTTCTTTTTAGTATGGTTATCTTTTACTACTTAATAAGTTTAGAGTAACAGTGACGTCACGAGAGTAGAGTTGTAGGTATTTAATCTGAGGGTAAAGAATAAAGAAGACACAAATTATAGTTTGTGTATTGGATATATTCAATGTTATCAGCTTTGTCTTCTTTATTTTTTAGCTTTGTTTAGTTCACTTACAAAAAATAACATGGCAGTACTATAAAAATTAATTCCATACACCATTTTTTCCGATACTTGCCAAAAATAATGTAGAAAGAGTAATAGAAACAAAGAATACGAAGCTTTAATATACCTAAAAGTAGACTATATACTAATAGATATTTGTAGATATTTTCTATACACTGCTGTAAATATTTGTTTGTTTTTTTTTGGAAAATTTTCACTTTTTTTGGTTTGTTAAGTTTAAATTTTAGTCTAAAAAATTTGTGAAGTTTGGTTGTTTTATTTGTTAATTTTTTTGAATACGTGCATATAGTTTATTAGGTATATAATAATAATGTAGTTAGGTCTAAGAATTGCTCAAAAATAATATTATAGCGCATTTAAACATGTCCAAAGAATTCTCAGTGGTCAGTTAAGCTTTTCAACTTTACCAAATATATACAGAATATTTTTTCTTCCAGTACCTTTACCTAGTTTAGAGAGTTGCATAATGCCATATTATGTAGAATCCTCAGAGAGATAAGTAAACCTAGAAACGCTCCAACAGGAATATAAACTGGAATTTATATTCTTGAATATAAAATGAAATAATTTATAACCCCTCTAGATATACTTATTTCTCTGAAACAGATTCTCTATACGTTTTTATTTCTATGTTATTAATACAATTTTGATGCCATGTAGGTATTTATAACGCAGTACAAATTTTACACGAGTACTTAATACTTTTAAAAAGCCATTTTATAGATAAGTTTGTTGTTTTTAATGCTTGTTATTAATATACAGGGTGTCCTAGTCTTTTTCTAGAAGTATTAGGAATGTATACTTGCGTTTTAACATCCCTGTGTGTTACTTTATTAGTATTTTAGACCGTTTTCTTGTATTTTCTGATTTTTATAATTTTTAATAAAAGCAAAAAGCAATAAAAGTTTTTTGTAGTGTTTTATTTTTTTTATATTACAGGCGTTTCAGTGTTGGTAAATTTGTAGAATGATACGTCATCTGAACAAAGGGCGTAAATCTCTGGTTTATTCGAGAGTCCTATGGATTTACTGTCACCGTCCCTTAAAAAATGTATTGACAATTATTTATACCCTTTGATTTAAAAAAATAAGCATATAAAAGTCAATAGTAAAATCAATTGTTTTACTGGTTGCATACTATTAAAGATTCATAGTATTCACACTCACCAAATAATTATGTTAATAATTTCTTCATTTTTATTAGGTATATAGGCACAAAAATCAGGTACAACCTCAATGTTATTAGATATATTCCTCGGTGCTTTTTCTCTCATTTCCTTAAATATTTTCTCTATATATTCTTCTGCTTTAGAAGTTTCCCTAATTTTAGTATCACCCTGTGGGACTTCACCGTCATTAAGCTTCTTGGAACACGTTGCTTCTTCTTGTTCTAAATCTTCACTGTGTGATAGTTTTCTTTTCTTTGTATTCTCTCTATTCTTTTGATTCATTTTCTCTCTGTTTTCATACCTTATCACCTTGTATCCTAGGTTTGCTAGTTTTTTATAAACCCTGTATTTTACTAGATTCAAATTTGGTGTGGCCAGTAATATACCATAGCCATCCTGGATTGATAATGAAGAATTATTTAAAGTTACCTCAGCCCTATTCTACGAAAATAAATAAATTAATATTAACTCTACTGGGTTGTATTATTGTAAGAACTTACGGTTTCTAGTAAAAACAGTACTTCTTCTGGATACAAAAATATACCATCCCTGTTTTGGAAACCAAAGAATTTCAGTAAGTTTTTAACAACCTTATCTACCTTGCCTAGATTCTTTTCCGGGAGCCATATTACTGATGCTCGATTGCATCTACAGTTATAAATATAAAACTTTAGTTTACAAAGGAATTATTGTCTCAAACCTTCTCTCAACCCTTTTGTGGCTTAATACAGCTTTCAACTGATCCTGATATGAATTAATAAACGATTTATCTTCATCTGCTGTGGAAGAATAAAATAACTTTTGTGCTGGCAAGTTTACCTTTACCAAGGGATTCCTGTGATCATGAATGCACTGGGATGCCCTACAATATAAGTAGATTTAAAATAATATACCTTTAATATTGTATCTATTTACAATTCATTCATTATTAAAGAAATAAAATTGATAAAATCAATTAAAAAAATTACAAAAAGTTTGGTTAGTTCACGTTTCTTCTTCTTCTTTTTTTTTTAAATTATTTTAAAGGCCTAAGCTGCTAGGACATCCGGCCTATTAATTGTAATCTTCTTTCGCTTATTCTTGTGGCTATTGTTTGGGTGTCTTACTTATCAAGCCTTATTTATTTTCTAGGAAGAAGAATTAGTAGTTAACCTCACTATTTCAACGTGTACTTTTTAATTTGTTAATGCAAATTAAAAAATGGTTAAATTAACTAAAATTAAAGATAAGGGACTGAATTCATCAAAATTAAAGGATACAGGGCCATCAGATGTGAAGAAAAATTCTAAAGACCGACGTAAATCAATAGGATCTTTGATATCTTTAGATTCAAATGTGAACGTTAGTAAAGCAGATAGAAGAAAAACAATTTCTAGTTTAGATATTTTAACACCCTTAAAGAAGAAAAGGACTTTATCAGAGAGTGAAACTGTTAAAACGCCTTTAGTTTCATCAGGTATTAAGAAAAAGAAGTCTGATGCTGTTAAAATTGAAGCAGAACCAGTAAGCGTTAGTAAAAAAGTTAAGAGGAAGTCGAGTAACGTTGGATTAAAAGAAAAAAGTGAAAATACTGAAAATGTTGATGAAAAACACCCTAATATTAAAGTTTCCGATGTAGAAAATGCTCTAAAAGGTGTTATAAAGCTTGCAAAGAACAACCCAAAAACTCAAAATAACTTATTCAATGAAGACCTACCACTTTTTCTTCAAATCAACTCATTTAAGATTCCTAAAGCTAAAGGTAAAGTCAAGCAAGTGTTTCGAGTACCTCTAAAACATTCCGTTTTACCACCTGAAGCTGATATATGCCTGATAGTTCCCGATGTTAAAGGAATTAAAAACAAGAACCATGAAGAACATTTAGCACACTATGAAGAGTTGCTCAGTGCAAAAAATGTAACTGGAATTAAAAAAATTATGACTTTCCATGAATTTAGAACCGATTATGATACGTTTGAGTTAAAGAATCGACTAGTTGATTTATACGACATGTTTTTGGTGGATGGTAAAATCAGTGGAAAGGTTGTTCATAAAAGCGGAAGTATATTTTATCAAAGAAGGAAACTTCCAGCTGCTATAAAACTAGCTATACCTAAGTTACAGTCACATATTGAAAATGCATTGAAGAAAGTGTTCTTTCATATGAGTTTAAATGGTGATAGTAATTCTATACAAATAGGTCGAAGCCAAATGCCGAGAAATGAGTTAGTAGACAATGTTTACAGTGCTGTCGAGTTTCTAGAAAAGCAATTCCCGGGTGGTTTGGATAATATAAGGAGTTTAAACGTTTATACACATACAGGATCCAATATTCCTATCTATATATCTTTGAGTAAGTATTCTTGGGTATAGTCAATCAGATATTATGTATAAATTATTTATTTTTTAGAAAATCCCAATGATATTAAAATTGTAACGTTATCAAGTAGAAAACCAAAAGAATACAAGTCAGTAAATGATGAGTTAACTACACAATATGAAGCCAGTGTTACTGTTAGACCTGGAGGAAAAGTTATATTGAAGAGGCATAAAAATCAAATCAAAGATACAGGTAAGTTTAGATATACAGTTAATTATTTTTTTTAATATCATAGTCTTAGAGAAATAAGTATACTTATAGGAATTCTGAAATATTTTCCAACAAAACCATTAAGTTTGTAGTGACATTTTCAAATTCGATCATACTAAAATGGGCTGTGACAGTCAAAACTATAGCGACATAGCAGTTGATTATGAAACAACGTTGCTAAATATTTGGTCATTTATATTTACTTATATCTTTGATGTCATATTACTGAAATTTTAAATTCTTTTTTCCAGAAAAAGAAGAAATTGTTGATGATAGCAAAGAGAGTGAGCCTGTTGTTGAGACAGATTCAACACAACCAAAAGAAAAACAGCAAAAAAAGAAAAGAAAACTTCAAGCGCAAGATGATAGTATTAATGAAGAAAATACAGGTGATGTTACTATAAATGAAGGTTTGAAGAAGAAAATCAAGAAGGAAAAGTCACAAAATAAAGAAAAAAAATCTAAAGAAACTGTGTCTGACGAAGTAAAGCTTTCCAAAAACAGTTCTTTTGAGAAGAAAAGTGACAAAAAGAAAAAATTGAAAACAAAAAATAAAGCGCGTTGATTGTTACTGTTTTATATAAATTAATAAATGGTTTCTTATTATATTAGCGTTTCTAATGTCTTTAATTTGTAATTTGTTGTACAAATTTTAAAAGTAGCATACCATCGAAAAAATAGGTGTAGCAGTGGCCTTTGAGGGAAAAAGAAAATAGTTTCCTCATAGTCAACGTAGCGAGTAGCTATTTCAAAACCCAAAATAATTTCTTAAAATTTTATCTTCTACTCCTATCCATACCCATATATTTCTTTTTTCCATTTTCCAAGATTTTCTTGACTTTACGGTGAAGGAAGATATAATTGGATTCAGATTTCCGATAAATATTCCCTAGAAGTTTGATACAAAAAAGAAAAAAGTATTAGTATTGATATAATGACTATAAAAATATAATTATAAACTAGAATTTTGTCTTATAATAATAAACATTATGGTTTACCAAAATAACTCACAAATTTGCCTTTTTATATTTCTACGTTTTTTTTTTCATAAAATTTCTTACTTAGACATCCAATATATTTTATTTGTTCACTTCAGTTTCGATGCAGATGATTTTATCTAAAAAATAAAAAAAAACATATTTAAAAATTTAGAAAATTATGACGCTGTAAGAAGATACTGTCTTACCTGTAGTTATCATCAACAGATTGTTCAACAAACACTATAGTGTAGCCTCCCTCACATATTTAGATAATCTCTTTGTAGTTGGGCCCATTGTTGGCTATGCGAGCTAAAGTTATACTTACTAATTTCCTAATAATATCATGGTCTTCTTGGTCTCTTTATTCCTTGTGGGTACCATGCTGTAATTTTTCTGGTCCATATGTTATCCGTCCTTCTTGCCAGGTATCCTGCCTATTGCCACTTGAGGGATTTGACTTTTGAGGATCTTTTGTCGTATCCACTCTATTCTTTTATGGGCTCTCTTGGTTATTCCCAGTATATTTCGTTCCATTGAGCGTTGTGCGACCTGCAGTTTCCTTATAATGTCCGTTTTAATTTTCCAGGTTTCGCCTGTCTAGGCCATGACTGGTAGTACAGATTGGTCGAATGTTTTCTTCTTTAGATAAAGTGGCATTCTGGATTTGAATATGATTGAGTTTCTTCCATAAGTACTCCATGCTAACTTAATTCTTCTGTTGATTTCTGGTGGTAGAGATTCTCGAGCTCTGTATTAGTTGTCCCAAATATATTTAATCTTCTACTATTATTTAGTGTTGTGTCTATTTATTAGAATGTGTTTTCTATTAGTCTATTAGTTCGTTGTACATTATTTTAGTTTTTGCTTGTAGAAGATACATTAATTTTGAGACCTACTTGACTGCTGGCTGTATTTAGTTCGTTAATTTGGGCTTGTAGTTCTTCAGGGCTATTGGCAATTAGAACTATGTCATCAGCGAATCTTAGATTGTTAAGATATTCCCCATCTATTTTTAATCCTTTATTGATCCAGTCCAGTTGACGGAAGATTTTTTTCTAGTGTTGCTGTAAACAGCTTTGGGGATATCGCGGCACACTGTCTTACCTGTAGTGTATATACGATATATTTTTTACAATCAATATTTCTTATTTCACACTCAAAATCTGTCTGATATCTTCACAGCACTCAACACTACCCTCCCAAAAGTTCCACATATAGCGCCCTGAAAAAAAGGATATGCAACAACCAATCCACAATACCTACAGTGCAGCTCATACAGAGAACGTTAGTCCCTGAAGAGCTTGGAACTGAAAAAATTGAAACACAGCCTTAAGACAGTCAGAAAACCTTAAAGATATCTACTCAAAATAACCCTGCTGGAGATTCTTGGAGACTCATACAAAGATTGATAGTACTAGAGCATTTTGAACTACTGCTGTAAAAAAATAAGAACAACAAAAGAGTATCATATACATAGAAAGTGTGTAGACTTCAATTTGGGTTCGACATGACTCTCTAACCTGTTGCATACAGCTTCAAACAAAGTAGATGTTTCATCAATGTAAATTTATAAGATACAAGAAGAACCATACAGTAATCTTCTAAAGGCGTTGAATCAAGTAGGCTGCAGTAGTTCCTGGGAAGCCTCGTACTTATGGATTATCATATTCCCATTCTTGCTTCAAAAGTAGTAGAATTTCAACCCATGTGAACCTATGAAACACAAGAACCCCACAAAAATATTCTGCAAGCATCGACTCAAACTGGCTGCTGTGGTTCCCTCTAAGACTCATACCAATACCTGTAAAAAATAGTAACAAAAAAAGACTACCATATACATAGAGATTGTGTAGACCTCAATTTGGCTCCGACATGACTCTGGACTGTTGTATAGAGCGTCAAACAAAGTATATCTTCAACCAGCGCGAACCTATAAGACTCAAGAACCCTACAAAAATCATCTGAAAATGTCGACTCAAACTGGAAGTTCATAGTGGCTCTATCAGTCTTTGTAGAGCGCCAAGACCTACTCATGTAAGAAAATAAACCAGACTTAGATATGACCCTGATAAGTTTTGGACCTCCAAAATATAAACTTGAACTAATGATGACCTCAAAAAGTCCTAAAAATTTCTACTGCGCTACTAAAAAACTCGATTCCTTTTTTCTAGGCCCTATAGAATCATACCGGAACTTGAATTGAAAATACAAAAATAAGTTTAAAACATTTAGACTATTTGTATCAAAAATTTAGTTATTGAAATGCTTAGATATTGGCATGCATTTATTCTGAAGTAGTAAAAAGTAAAAGAAAGTGAGTTAAAAAATTAGGAAGTTATAGAGAGTTACCACCTACACCTACACGTTTAATTTAAGAAAATAAAAAAATCTGTTAGACATTCTCTATATTTCAATTTGACTAAGATAATATGAAGAATGATATTAATTATAGTTAATAAAAGTTTTTTTTGAAATAGTTTAAATCAGAGAGAATCTAATCCCAAATAACGTTAAAAAGAAAACACTAAAACAATAAAAGACTTGGAATCCACATTATCTTAGCATCCTCGATTCAACATTACAGAGACTAGAATAGGATGATTATTCTATTAAATTTTGTTTAAAATTACAGAAAATACTAATACTAATAGTGACCTAGTAACTCATAAAAATCTCTACTACACAACTTAAAAAACTTGGTTCCTCTTTTCTGGGACCTAGAATTATATCTGAGCTTGAATTGAAAATAGTTTATTAATTTTAGAAAATTTAGACTATTTTTGTATTAAACATTTAGTTATCGAAATGCTAGATATTGACATGCGTTTACTCTAAAATAGTAATAATTAAATAAAAGTGAGTTAAAAAAATTAAGAAGTAAAGAAAATTACCTACAACTACATGTTTAATTTAAGAAAATAAAAATAACTGTTAGAGATTTTCTAGATTTTAATTTGACTTAGATAATATGAACAGAGCTATAAGAACATCAAATACATTCTCAAGAAAAACCAATAAATATAACAACCCAATAAAAAGACCGATAGACATAACAACCCAATGGACCTCTGCTGCTTTCGAGAGGAAAGCATGTTCTTTGCTTCTGTGAGGAGACTCCGCAGAGGACGTTAGCCCCTGCGGAGCTCAACCCAACGTGCTTCTGTGAGGACGCTCATACAGGGGACTTTAGCCCCGGTAGAGGTCGACTCCACACTCTGCTTCGCTTCTGTGAGGGGCCCCACAGGTGACTTTAGCTCCTGCAGGACCGCGCTCACGCCATCTCCGGGAAAAGAAACGAACAACCAAATAAACCAGCAAAAATTTTAAAAAAAACTTACGTTTTTTGCACAGCACTCCCCACGATGTGCATCCCTTGTACAAAAAATATACGCTCACTAACCTGAAACAACAGAAAAAATACGCTAGTTGAAAATAATAAAAAAAGAAATAAATCTTATAACATACCTAATTTTATCTCGTTCCATGCTCTCCATCCTACTGTCCTTTTCCAGAAAATCTTCGTTCCAGACCTGCACCAATCGTCGTGCCTCCTCAGGAACAGCCTTAAGGACAAGAGTACCTTAAGGCAACAGTTAGTGAAGAAGGTACTACGACTGAGACCTTGCACATCGGACATCTCAAGGCCACAAAAATTATAGATTTACTACTATAGGTAACAAGAAAGATTTAAGGTGTCTTTAACGAGATAAATCTGTATAGAGAACTCTAAAGATTGAATAATAATAAATGAGGAAAATATGAGTTAATTTTATTTTCAACGAGAATTTGCTTTACTCGAAAATACAATTAATGATGTGCAAAATACATTATTTTAAAATTATCAAATTTAGGTTTTATTATATTAAACATGAATAAAATTAAAAATATTTTGAATGGTTTTGGTATAAACGTACAAGTTTATTAAGAAACATGATACCTCACAAGTTATTTTTTAATGTAAATGCAATTAGGAGAATAATTAAAAAAATAGTAAAATGATGATAGAAAAAAAAAGATTTAATCCTATGGAAGTGCCCTACAGAAAACTATTACAGAGACTGGAATAGAGTGATAACTGTTGGAAATTTAGTTTAAAATTACAGGAAATAAAAATTATATCCTTTAGAATTTTAGAAAGAATCTAATCCCAAATAACACTAAACAGAAAACACTAAAATAAGAAAGGCTGTGAACCTCAATTATCTTAGCACTCTCGATTCAACACTACCGAGACTAGATAAAAATATAAAAAACAATAATTCTTATTATAATAATACTTGAAAAAAAGAGATCATTGTAGATCCGATTTCCTGGCACATATTCCATTAAAGTTTGAACAAAAAAAAGTTTTTCGGTAAAAAATTAAATATAACAGAGTAAAAGTCAAATTAGATTTAAATTATTTTAAGAAATAGACACCTCGAAAAAAATAAAGATATTATTTCTTGTGATTTTAACAAACGACAAGAAATGCAAACGATTATATGATTCGAATCAGAGAAAGTATGAACGCAAATAAAAAGTGTGACCTTAAAATGCTGTGAAAAGCCTTAGAACAGCCCCAGAACCACGAACCGACGCGACCGTTATATCTATGCTTTAGAAATGGTTCTTCTACATTTCCTCTTCATCTGCATACTGAAACAACGATAAAAAGAAGATCAGTAAACATGCCAAGTCCAGAGAGTCCAAATAAATTCAACTCACCTCCATTCCACATTCTTTTACTGGCGATTCCTGCCACACGGCGTAAAAAGCAGTGTCGTCACACTGCGGGGGCAGAAGGACGCCCCTGGTCCCTCAGGAACTACGGACGGTCCTTGGGGAATCCCATTTAACGCGTCATCAGGATCGACAGAACCTGAAAATACTTTTTAGTAGCAGGACATCTAACACAGACCGACTAAATTCACAAAATAACACGCGCTGCGTACACGATCATAGTTCTGGAAAGATAGAAATATTTCTGAATTAGATTTATGGAAAAGAACTGGACAGGTGTGTGTTCAGACTTACCTCACAATCACTGACACTAGGCTGAATATGCTGGACTACGGCCCATCCCACCATTCCGATTAGACGTCCAGAAATATATGTCCCTCCCCCTCAGTGCTGGCTGTCCATCGCAGGGTAAATTTTATATTTTGAAAGAGCTCTATCGCTTTGACATGAGATTATTAGGAAAAATTATTTTAGAAAAAATAGAGTTGTCCAAAATAGTTTAGATACAGCGATAGAGCAGAGAAACATTTAATGGGGCAGAGCAAAATTTAAAAAAGAAATGGTCCCTTATTCCAATCTCTTACAACAGTGAAAAGAAAACCCTAAAATAACGCCAGACTGGAACCGGCACTACTTTAGCATTATCAATTCATTCATCTCAAAGACCAGTAAACTAAATAACAATTATTATAAGTTTGATTTGAAATTATATAAAAATATAGAGAATAAAACAGTTTAAATCAGAGAATGAATTTACTTAATTTATACATGAACGGGAATACTAAAACAAGAAGGCTGTTACTCTTCGATCGTAATTGTATCATCCATTCACAAGAGACCATGTAAAAAAGATTATTTTAAACAAAAATTATGTTTTTTATTTTAGTTTTTAAGAGAGAGAATCTATTATAATCCCATTGACGCCAGAAAGAAGACCTAAAACAAGAAAGGCTGTAAACCTCTATTGTCGTAGCACCCTCCATCCAACATCACTGAGACTAGAATAGCATTGTTATAAATTTTTAGAAAGAATATAGTCTCAAATAACACTAAGCAGGAAACGCTAAAATAAGAAAGGCGGTGAGCTCAATTTTTATGAGCGAGAATCTAATCCCAAATAACGCTAAAAAGAAAACACTAGAACAGTGAAAGACTTGGAATCTCCACTGCCTTAGCACTCTCGATTCAACATTACAGAGACTAGAATAGGGCGATTAAAGTTAGTTTAAAATTGCAGAAAGTAAAAAATTATATTCTTTAGAATTTTTAGAGCGAACCTAATCCCAAACAACGCTAAAAAGAAAACACTAGAACAATGAAAGACTTGGAATCTCCATTGCCTTAGCACTCTCGATTCAACGTTAGAGACCAGACTAGCACTAAACAGAAAAATAAGAAAAGATATGTGTACCTCCGTTACATTAGCACTCACCCATTCAGCACTACCGAGACTTGATAAAAATAAAAAACATGAATTTTTGTTACAATAATACTTAGCAAAATGAGTGGTTTATTGAAGATCCGATTTCCTGGCACATATGCCGTTAGAATTTTAGAAAAAATAGGTTTTAACGGTCATATCTCCAACAAATAGAACCTTCATAAACCGTTTAAATGGACAGACCAAAACACCGGAGAGACCCAAAGGCACGGCGGGTGTTGTTCCAGTCAATTCGAACCTTTACGGAATCTTGGCCAAGCCTCGACCCTCCGATACCAGCTTGATCCTCCATTCCTGAGGACATTTGTTCCTTGGAACCCTGGCCAGACCAAAAATCACCGGGCTACAGGGCGACCCAGCTCAAAAAGAATCAGATTAAGAATTTGACGGTGTCGTCGAGAAAAACCATTCGACAACGGTTTGTATTTTTCGAGTAACGAGGCAACCCGGAAAACAAGTTTATATGCCTGCGTTTTTCCAGTTTCGAGAGGAAAAGTAAAAATATAAAGACTTCTACTAGTAAAAGCTTTATATTGGTGGTTAACTAGCAAGGCGCTAGTACGACATCGGAGGCTGAGAATAACCACATAGTTTTATGACGTTCCGATCGGACAATTTAACGTAACGTCTTCTGCCACATTCCCACCACTCAAGGACCAGCGTTTTCCTGCCTTTTCCGGTCCAAGAGTGCCAGATGATCCCAACCCACTGCACCCCTTTACGAGCCTCCTAGTCCTCTAATTGAGCTGAGCCCCACTCCCCAGACACCCTTTACGTTTAGGACAACAACCCGGCCCCATGGGATAGCCTGCATAGCATGTTATAAGCTTACGCCCGGTAATGGAGCGGTCGAATAACATACCCACTGGCAGACTACAACGCAACGAGCACCTGGGAACCCCGGCCTGTTACCGGGGCTGTAATAATATGCGAACGAATCCAGGGCGAAACAATCCCAGGCCTCCGAGACTGGCCCCTCGCGACAGTCCCCACAGCCCACAGATTGCATCGCAACCACCCCGCAACGCTGCTTTTTTTGTGTCTATCGATTTGAAAAAAACGAGCACTAAAAAGTACTCGTATTTATTATAGTAAAATATACTAGCACTAAAAAGTACTGGCATTTATTAGATACTTCATGTGAAAGATTCTTTTAAAGTGACATTAATTTAATTTAATTATACTTTCAAATGTAGAGATGAAAATCTCTGTTTTCATGGAAGTCTATAAACATTTCTTATAGAGTTTTATTTGCGTTAGAGAAAAATAGTGACACTTGTGATATTGAACCCAGACTAGGTAAAACGACGGATTAATCTAACACGAACTCAGCGGTCATGTCTTTAGAGCCTGATAGTAGAGACATTAAACCGCACGCTTACTAGCTGGGAGCGTTGATGGATTTTCACGTGATAGCATTCCATGAGCCGTCTGCATGGGTAAGAGTAAGTGTAGTTTGGTAATTACAATTATGTGTCCCCATTCGATTGCGATCTGAAAAAAAAGAAAAAAACTTACAAAAAGACCCCAAACAACCCTCTGGTTTTTAATAATATATAATCTTGAGTAATAATCAACGATTGGAGTTATTGAAAGTTAAAATAAAAAATACATATATGTAAAACTAAAAATGTAAAATAAATATACAGAATATTCGCGCTTCAATAAAACACCTCAGTTATACAGGGCGTTAAAGAGTGTAGGTCTTATTAACTTTTAACTACTCTATGTGACAGAGAAAAAATGTTTATAGAGAAAAAAGTTTCCAAATTGACTGATATATAGGGTTGTTCTTTACCACATACGACACGTAGTATTGTAGCTAAACGATTAGATTTTTACAAATTGTAAGTTTTGGGTTCGTTGAAGGACTATTAGAGCTACAATTTAAAAATATTTTTACAAGATACAGAGTGTCCCAAATAAATAAAAAATATCAAAGTTGTATTTTTTTAAATGGAACACCCTGTATATTATTACATTTTTAGTTTCTACGATTAAAATAAAGATAAATTTGATTAAGGTTTTTTACACTTAAACCTTACCGTGTTTGAAATATTTTCAATTTTGTGAAATGGCAGTCAAAATTTTAAGGCTTCATTTCTCCAAGGGTATCAAAGTTTTTAATAGTAAATATTTACTGAAGTTTACTTATTGATCAGTTATTGTGTTGCAATAATAAAAATTATACTACCTTATACAGAGTATCTAAAATTTTATTTTAACTAATTACTAGCTTTAAACAGCAATAACTTGTTTAATTTAAATGGAACATCCTGTATATTTTATGAGAATCAGATACACAATTTAATTGTCTATCAAATTGTATTATACCATTTTTTACCTATCTCCGTAAGTTTCCGTAAAAAACGCATTTTCTTGTAATTTAGAACTCATTTATCAATATACCCATGGAATACTGACATTTTAGATTATTTTTAAAGAGTACAGGTTTTAATATTGTCGATATAGTTTGTTGATTTCATTAAAAAATAAAAAAAAAACTGTTTAAATATTTGTTAAAGAGGACCAATTAATATGTTAGATTGACTGTTTGCGTTGATTAATAATAATTGCTCCAAATACTAAAAAACTGAATTTTGTGTGTGTATTAGACAGTGGGGTAAAAACTAACACCTTAAAAATGATATTTCATTTTTTGACAAATGCTTATTTATAACAACAGTAACATTCATTTTCATAACTTATTATATTGACTTCTGACTCAAATCCACATTTATTTAGAATAATTTATTAACGAACATAATTAAGTATGTAATTAATTAGTATTTGGGCGGAAATGATGATGGTATATTTAATTAATGGTATACTCTTTTATAAAGATTTAAATAATTTTCTTTTTGCATACAAATGGGCTAGTAATATTATCATTTTGCTAAAAACGATAATATTACTAGTCTGTACATTTTGTAGATTTGTTGCTTTAAAATCAATCCAAAATGTCAATATTCCATGGGTATATTAATAAATGAGGTCTAAATTATAAGAAAATGCATTTTCTACGAAAACTTGAAGGGATAGATAAAAAGTGGTATAATACAATTTGATAGACAATTAAATTGTGAATCTGATTCTCATAAAATATACAGAGTGTTCCGTTTAAATTAAACAAGTTATTGCCGTTTAAAGCTAGAAATAATTTAAAATAAATTTTTAGACACTCTGTATGAGATAGTATTATTTTTATTGTTGCAACACAATAACTGATCCATAATTAAACTTTGGTAGATATTTGGTATTAAAAACTTTGATACCCTTGGAGAAATGAAGCGTTAAAATTTTTACTGCAATTTCACAAAATTGAAAATATTTCAAAAACGGTAAGGTTTAAGTGTAATAAACCTTAATCAAATTTACCTTTATTTTAATCGTAGAAACTAAAAATGTAATAATATACAGGGTGTTCCGTATAAAAAAATACAACTTTGATATTTTTTATTTATTTGGGACACTCTGTATCTTGTAAAAATATTTTTAAATTGTAGCTCTAATAGTCCTTCAACGAACTCAAAACTTACAATTTGTAAAAATCTAATCATTTAGTTACAATCATAGACTTAGAATAAAATATAGACTACACTATTTACATTTAAGCGCGGTCCAATATTAATTTTTGTAAACATGTTTACTCCTGGGTGCAGCTGACCTCGGCCGTCTGAGTCTTTCGCCTCCAGCCTATGTTGTCACGTCTAAAATATTATTAATATTTTTTTTGTTGTTATACACATATATTAAGATATTAAAACTGTATTTTAATAAAGTAGTGTTTAATAGTAGAAAGATGTATTAAATAGTCCCTATACTACTAAATTATAAGTCGGAGACTATTTAAAAATGACAAATTCTTTACAATTTGGCAACACCCATCAATCGCCGGGTCGCCTGTTCATTCTTTATTCTCTCGTAGTAGAGCCATAGTAGAGTAAAGCACGTGTCGTAAAACCTTGTTGTCACAGTTTCTCCATGGCTATTTTATTGTTTTTATTGGATGTTTTGATTTTGTATTTTTTGGATTCGATTTTCTTAGTGTGTAGTGTCGGTTTAGTGTTTATTTTGATTACTTTTTATTTAAAAACTATAAAACATGGTTCGTCAGTGCCAAATTTGTAAGAAATTGGACTATTTAAGTCCTGGAACAACATTCCACAGGTAAGTCAAATTTACTATTTTGGCGTCAGTGGCGTTGTAGAAAGGCGCTTATTTAGATAATAATTTAGTAAATTATAAACCCTGGAAAATCTGTATTTTTTATATTTATCATTTACGTAAAGGTTCTTACTAACCTCGTTATTAATATAACGAGTAGATACATTATTAAGTACATAAGAAGTAGACACATTATTTTCTTGGGCATTGGTTAATTTAATGCTTTTTTTTATGAAAAATGTGTTTCTTTTTATTCTAAAACCATCCTTAGAATCTAAAATAACATACAGGAATTCCAGAATGATATTCCATTATGAAACAACAATTTTTAAGGCTTATTATAAACTATAAACAATCGAGAAAGTCGAAAAAATTACAAGCTACCAAACATTTTAAAATACCAAACATTCCTTATTTTTTTTCAAGACTAAAATATTTTACAAACATTACTTTTTCCCTATAGTTTCACATCAGGTATAGAAATAACTACGTTTTTATGATAGGGTCACCATTATGATAACAAAAATGACGAACAATGGTCCAGAAATGTAAACAAGTACATATTTTTTGTAAATATTTTTCTTACCGCTTGCATTTTTGTCCATTATTATTTCACAAATTATACAGGGTTATGTAAACCAGGTAGATATTTCGTTTTTTTTATATTAAACAAAGATAAAATAAATATGCCATTTTAAAATTTATCCAGTACTTACCTAGAGTTTTTTCTTTTTTTTTCTCGACTGTTAATCTATTATTAATTTGTAATACCGTATGATCGAAAAAAACGGCGTCCAGTTGGCTTGGAAAAAACCATCGATACATACTCCATATAATTTTACATATAAAATGACAGCGATCTTCATTTCATAGCCATCGCTGACGCCGTTTTTTTTCGATTATAAGGTATAATTTTCATTTTTTCTTTTATAATGTAATATCACTTAAGTAATATCACATATAATCTGAAGATAGTTTTAGAATTAACCAAAACGTAAATCTTTAATAAAACAATCTGTTATTATTTGCCATATATGTATGTATCCAAGAAAATAATTTACATATTATTATTATATGTTTTACTGTTTTTTATCTTTATTTGAAACTCAGAAATGTTGCATTGGCTTTCTAAAAAAATGAACTTGTAAGTTTTTAAAATGCTTCGTTTCGGAGATACAGGGTGTAGAAGTTTCATTTTTATTTCGATTTTTTTCCAAATAATTTCTGAAGTGACGTCAATATTTGGACGAAAATTGGCGTTTGGGAGTTTTTTGACATGAAAAATTAGATTTAGATGTCAATTTGACTTTTACTAATAGGGGGCGCCACCTACATATTTTTTAAGTTATTTGAAGAGTAATACTTTTTGTCTGTATCTATATAAAACTACTGAGAAAAATTTACATTTCCAACGTTTTTTACTTAATAAGGTCTCTTGTTGACACTCGCCACAAGTATAGTTCTCAAGATATTTGGAAACGAATTAATCAATACATTCTTCATAAATTATTTGGAAAAAAGCGAAATAAAAATGAAATTTCTACACTCTGTATCTCTGAAACGAAGCATTTTAGGACATAAATTTATACTATTTTTTTTACTGATTTTATTTGCAGATTATGCTGCCAAAGTTTCCTGAATACAATTCCGACCACTCTGTATATCAAGATATCCCCCATTACGTACTAGTTTTTCTTAATAATTTTCTATACATTTTCCAACGCCAAGATGTACCAAGCGCATACAAATACATCAAGCTTCAAACAAGCTTGCACGTTGACAGTAATACCTACAGTAATATTGTATTATATTAATGTAATATTTTTGAACCAATGTTCAATATTACTGTAGTAATACTGTTTATACTCATGCCTTTTATATTTGTTTGAATTTGGTGCATATTTCCATTGAATAAAGTATAGTCACCATTACCATTATTATACTTACTCTATAATAAAGACAGTAACGAGTTAAATAAATGTAGTTTTCATTTTATTCACTTCCTAAAAGCTTGCTTTAATGGAACAGATTCCTGTTTTTTCTAATTTACATAATAAGACATCACTTTTACCGGAAAAAAAAATTAAACAATTATAAAGTTTTTTCTCTTTCTGTTCTATTATATCTATAGAATAGATCCTGTTTTGATTAATATTAGAGTTGTAAATGTTTGACTAAAATTAATATTTTATTAAATTAATAATTTATCATCAATTTCAAAAATTAAATAATTTCGATTATTAAAATTTCTTCTATAACACGTACTTTATTATTTTTATCGTTTTTAGACTCTAAGACGTATTTTTTTTCTAAGTCCTAAACTTTGCTTTATATTAAACTATTTTCTTTATCCTAAATCTTAATAATATAAAAAAGTTTAAATACGATATATTTTTAATTGAATTATAGCTTCATTAAAATTAAAAAAAAAATTAAAAAAAATACCCGCCTATGATACGGAGAGTGCAGGTGCACTGAAGAAACAAAAGACAGTGTTGCGTTGGGCGGCAGAGCCGTCAGGAAACGACCGTTACGACGGAGACAGCCTATCTATCGCTCGTGTCGCACTCGTTAGAGCCAAAAACAATAACACAACAATAACAAGACGTTGTCTGTCCGCATCTTCCAGCTATTTATGAATGAGATGCTCAGTCTATATTTTATTCTAAGTCTATGGTTACAATACTCCGTATGTGGTAAACAACCTTGTATATATTAGAAAAATATGTATTTACAAATTGGTTGTAAAAAAAATATAGTAAAATATTATAAGTTAAGTAGCTGCGTGAACCCCCTGTATACAACCAAATAATTATTCTCAATTTAGAAAAATGTGATTTGACTATAAAAGAATTAACTTTTCCTAGTGTGAGCTGTTTTTGAAAAAGTGGGTGATTAATATTGTAATTTTGGTTGAGACTATACACCTATGAGTTCGAAAAAAAATTTTGACCATGAAATTAAAAAAATTATTTAATTAAAAATAATTTCAAAAATAAATATAAGTAAGCCAAAAACGTAGTATAAAAAAATTTAAATTACAATAAAGTAGCACTAGTTTAAAAAAATCCTATGAAATTTTCATTGTAATCAGCTAATATTTTTTCTTAAAAATGTATATACAAAAATACAAATATTATAAAAAAAACAATAAATATACACATATTTCTATAGAGATTAGTGAATACGAAAAAATAATAAAACACCAGTAAAATATTTCAAAATCTTCGTGTGATCTGTTTTTGAAAAAGGAAGTGAATAATATATGTATATTGTGATTTTGGCTCACCCTATATACCAATGATCCTATGAATGCTAATAAAAATTGTTACCAAGAAATTTAAATAACTATTTAATAAAAAAATACTTAAAAAATATATTATGTAGATGTCATTAGGAAATTGTATAATAAAAATAAAATTACAATAAAGTAGCCTGGAAAGTAGCATTATTTTAGGAAAATCTAATGAAATTATATCACTGAAAACAGCTAATAGTTTTTCTTAAAAATTTCTATACCAAATGTCCAAAAAAGAAAACAAAAATATATAGGTAAAAAATATTTCTGTAGAAATTAGTAATGGATGAAGAAATACTAAAATATCATTAAATATTTGAAAATCTTAGTGTGTCTGTTTTAGAAAGAGTGGGTGAATAATATTATAATTTTGGTTCACACTATAGGTATATCTATAGGTATAAAAATTTCTTCGCAAATATTAAAAAAAAGAAAATAAAAATATATACATATTTCTGTAGAGATTAGTAGTGGGCGAAAAGTTAATAAAATATTTGAAAATCTTGCCAGAAGCAACAAAAAGATATTATAGTTTATCACCCCAAGCACATAGTCTCCAAGAAATAAATAAAATTAATGAATTACCTTATTACCAAGCAAAATTTACTAGCTTCAGAAAAACTATAAAATAATAATAAACTACCTATATTAATTTTGTAAATGTTATTTTGTTTAAATGCATCTTTTGTAAAAGAAACAACATCTAATCTAATACATCTAACAAGTGCTTTTATAAAATGATTGATGTGCATTGATGATTTTATCAATGCACAATTAATAACATTAGACTATAGAGAAATATTTCACAAACTTAAAAAACAAGGAACCAGTATTTTAATTTTTAGGGTTTAAATCAGTTTCAAGAAAAAAATCAGCTGATTATCAATATAAATTTCACTAGTTATTCTTCATTAAATATTTCACTAATTAAAGCAGCTACAGGCAGATGCAATTCTGTGTTTTACAGCTTTCTAAACTTTATTTAGATTATTTTATAAAAAATGTAATACATAAGTATTCCCCTATTATATAATAAGGATAATATCTTTAAGAAAAACCATATCAAATGTGAGTGATTTTTATATATTCACTTATATAAAGGTTTTTATTTCTAAAATACTATATATACATCAAGGTATCTTAAGTCTAAAAATTATTTATTTTAAAACATAGATATCCTGTACAACGATAAAAAAATAAAATTTAGAAAACTGTCAATCCACAACAAATTACATTTTTTTATAGCAAGCAGAAATTATAAAAAAAGGCAAAACTTTTTACACTGCCCGATAAAATTTCGACCAATCGGAAAAGAAATGACGTTACATTCAGCCAATAGAATTGCTTTCAAGCCAGCCTCTTTAAGAGGGTCCGATTTGTCGAAAAATATCAGGAAATTCATAGGAAAATGGTCGTACTTACCATCACTCGAGTCCAGCTGGGCCCTACCCGCGATTGTACCGAGCAAAATGTGTAAAGGCGCACATTCACTCCCGGAGTGCAGCACGTCTGGATACAGCGCCCGAGCTCAGGTACGACCTGAGCTATATGACGTGTCCAGACCCATACCGATCCTTGGTCCATTCCATCCAAAGGCAGCCTGGTTTCTTTACGACTTGAAGATCTGTTGCTGTGTTGGTGTGTTGTTCGTCATCTCCTTCTTCACTGGCAGCGTAGTCCTTGGATATCCGTAACCCTGGATAATTTCTGGCATAATCTGAAACAAGACAAAATATCATTTAGTTAGGTACATAGTTCATATATAATTTTCTATATACATAATTTCAAATAGATCACCTTATTCTATACTATACATATAAATACAGGCAGATGTAATTTTTCTGTGTTTTACAGGTTCCTAAACTCTATTTAGATTATTCTATAAAGGATTTTATTACATAAGTATTCTTCTATTATATAATATCTTTAGAAAAACCATATCAAATGCACTACTATTACAAATATTCTTCAGAAAATTGAATGCCTATAAGTTATTCACTTATATAAGGTTTTTATTTCTAAAATACTATATTCATCAAACTATTTAAGTCTGAAAATGATTTATTTTAATACAGTACAACTTGGTACAACCATAAAAAAGATCTATTTATAGCAACAGAAAGTATAAAAAAGCAAACAGAAAGAAACGGAAAGTTTAACAAAATAAAGGTGGCTTTGACTTTTTTTGTTGATCTTGCGCTTCTACCGGCCGCGTTTAGATGGTCGGATTTTTCGAAAAATATCGGAAATTCGTAGGAAAATGGTCGAACTTACCCTCTCTAGGAGTCCAGCTATGCACTACACATGATTTCCGAGCACAATATACAAGGAAAAGGCACTTTTTCCTAAAAATTCTGGAGACGCAACCGACATAGATGTTTTATCGTCAACGGTCCGTCCAGAAATGACGTAGATCGACCGAAACGACCAATAATATTCAGTTTTGGCGCTCGGTTTCTGATTTTTGACGCTAGAGGGAGCGCCAACGCGCGATTTTCTTCTGTTTTGCCCATGGAAAATTATGTAATTTTATGACCTAAATTTCAAGTTTAAATGAAAATTTAGCAATATAACGCTACATTGAACACAAAACTACTACCAGGGAAATGTAGCTACGTGTTTTCCGAATAAAATGACACCAAACAATAAACGAATAAAGCAAAATTCACATAGATATCGCATTTTAATTACCCCAATGTCCCTAATTGTTAATATCATAAAAAATAGATTTTTGCATTAAAAAAAGCTTTTGAAGCTTTAAAATACCTAAGGGATTATAGATTATCATTAAATATAGTTAATTAAGCAGTTTCAGACCTAATAAACCCATATAAATTAAAATAAAATTCAAAAATATGGTGTCGGTCCGGTAGCCTTCAGAATCTTCAATTAATATAACTTTGTTGTTCGATATTTTCCGAAATAATGTAATATTTAGTTAAATAGAGACTTATTACATCTATAAATTATAAAACAAGGTAGTAATACCCCTATTTATAACTTCTATAAGACATTTTCTTAGTCAATGTAATGGCCAAGATTTTTTGCTATTATTTCACCAATTTTGCTATGAAATCAATAAAAAACCTCATTTAACATGATTCTGTGCTGTACAAATAATGTATTTGTAGTTTTTATCAATTTCCAAGCCCCAAAACAAGAATATATACTTCTACAAGATATTTACTTTTATTTCACTAATTTTGCCTCGAAATCGATAAAAAACCCATTTAACAAGATTCTGTGGCCTACTAATTATGTTTTTGTAGATTTTTAACAATTTCCAACTCCCAAAACAACACAAGAGTAAACAAGAATTTGTTGCCTCTTTGATACAAAATTTGTTCGATGAAAGCTTCAAGCACTATGTGTAAACAGGATGTTTTCTACATATTATAGTCTAAAAAAATACAGGGTATGATTGCTAATGTATTTTTAAGAAAAAAAAGCTCATATAAACATAGGATCTAAAGTGCTCCCTGTCTGATCTTCAGGGTGTTAAAAATCTAAAAAAAAATATATCTTTATGTTTTATCTTTTATTCTTTAGAAGGGAAATGGTGGTTTATTTCGTAGAAATACCAGTATTTAATATCCTGTACTTGGTATATGGATATATATGTATATGATATTGGTATATTTATGATTATTCTTTTCTTAATTTACTCTAAATTTTAAATTTCTTGTTTCCTGTAAGCCTTGTCTGTAAGTAATGCCACAGACTACCTAGTTTAGTTTGTGACGGTACTTACTATTAAAGAACATCGAGAAGAGCCTTAGGAATGATTTATGAACAAATAATACACAATAAAATCATTTTTTCTAACTAAAATTTGCCGGCTTTTTTTTTGGTTAAAATTGCAAAAAGTGTAAAATTTAAATAATAGATGGGTCTGATTAAAAACTTTTTGGGAGTTCATAAAAGTAGATTTCTACAATTTAATTAATTTTAAAAATTAGGAGTACAACTATTTTCGGATAGATGTCAAAGCAGTCGATTTTTTACAGAACCCTATCCAAATAACAGATTTCTGTAATTTATAAATACGTGGTACTGCCATTCTTCGCTAGATGTCACGACACGCCCTGTTTTTACAGAAATCTTCTTTGTTAGCGACTGATGGCGTCACTTCACAATATAGTTACAAAAACCGCCACCATGATTAATTTAGCGCTACGATCGCCTATTCTTCTTTTACAAATCTTCGTGGCTAATATTTAGGCAGGCAAGGGTAGTGTTTTACTTATAACGCCCTATTCTTTCGGAAGAAGAAGAATTACAAAGTAACCCCACTATTTTAACTTCAATTTTAACGTGTATTTTGATTTTTTCACTAAAAAGATTACAATGATTATATTAAGAGAAAAAAGGCAGACTACTGAAAAAGTTGATGAGAAATACCCTAATATTAAAGTTACTGACATAGAAAATGCTCTAAAAGGTGTTATAAAGCTTGCAAAGAACAACCCAAAGACTGAAAATAACTTATACAATGAAGACCTACCACTTTTTCTTCAAATCAACTCATTTAAGATTCCTAAAGCTAAAGGTAAAGTCAAATAAGTCTTTCGAGTACCTCTAAAGCATTGCATCTTACCACCTGAAGCTGATATCTGCCTCATAGTTCCTGATGTTAAAGGAATGAAAAACAAGGACCACGAAGAACATTTAGCACACTATGAAGAGTTACTCAGAGCAAAAAATGTGACTGGAATTAGAAAAATTATGACTTTTCATGAATTTAGAACCGATTATGATACATTTGAGTTAAAGAATCGTAGTTGATTTATATGACGTTTTTGGTGGATGGTAAAATCAGTGGAAAGGTTGTTCATAAAAGTGGAAGTATATTTTACCAAAGAAGGAAACTTCCAGCTGCTATAAAATTAGTTATACCTAAGTTACAGTCACACATAGAAAGTACTTTGAAGAAAGTCTTCTTTCAAATGGGTTTAAATGGCGATAGTAACTCTATACAAATAGGTCGAAGCCAAATGCCAACAAATGAGTTAATAGAGAATGTTTACAGTGCTGTGGAGTTTTTAGAAAAACATTTCCCAGGTGGTTTAGATAATATTAAGAGTTTAAACGTTTATAAGCACACAGGGTCCAGTATACCTATCTATATATCTTTAAGTAAGTATTGTTTAACATTAATTTATTTAAGTATTATGTATAAATTATTTATTTTTTAGAAAATCCCAATGATATTAAAGTTGTAACGTTATCAAGTAGAAAACTAAAAGAATACAAGTCAGTAAATGATGAGCTAACTACACAATACAATGCCAGTGTTACTGTTAGGCCTGGAGGAAAAGTTATATTGAAACGGCATAAAAACAGCAAACATAAAGATTCAGGTATGTTGATAATCTCACAGAGAATTCAATAAACTTTAGAGAAACTCTAAAATAATTTTCAACAACTCCATCAAGTTGATATTGTGTCTTTTTCAAATATAATCCTGGAATGGACTACAATGCTTGTGAAATGAAGTGTAATTAACTACAAATGTTGATATCCTTGAAGTATTACTGAAACTTTGCTTTTTTTACTTTTTCAGGAAACAAAGATAACAAAGAGACTGAGCTTGTTGAAACGGATTCGACACCACCAAAAGAAATACAACAAAAAAATAAAAGAAAACTTCAAACACCAGCTGATACTAAAGAAGAAAATACAAGTGATGTTACTAATAGCGAAGGTCCCAAAAGGAAAATCAAGAAAGAAAACTCACAGAAAGGAGCGAAAATGTTAAAGTTTCCAAAAAAAGTTTATTTGAGAAGAAAGGTGACAAAAAGAAGAAACTAAAAACAAAAATTAACGTACGCTGATTGTTACTATATTTTATGTAATAAATGGTTTCTTTGAAAATTTTCCTTTTTTTTTTGTTATCTCTTTTGCACAAATTTTACAAAAACCATCGAAAAAAAAAAAATGGCGTAACAGTAGTCTTTGACAATAAAAAAATCTATATTCAATTGAAGAACAAAATAAAATAGTTCCTCGCCCATCAGCCATTTCCACTAGCGTTTTTTTTTAAATTTGTTTTGCACAAATTTAGAAAAACAGATTTTAGATTGAAAAAAAAAGGCGTAACAGTAGCCTTTGACAATAGAAAATTCAATATTCGATTGAAAAACACAGTAAAATAGTATCATCATACGTCAGTCGTTCTCACTCACGTAATAAAATCCATTTTTCTGGTAATGAATAATAAAAAAAATTGAAATAAAAAAGCCACTCTGACGCTGTTTTTTCGATCATACAGTATTACTTTTAACGAAAAAAGGTATAGTCACTCCCATAGAAAAAACACACAGAATCAACTGATTTTAAACTGTGTATATTTCATTTTTTTAAATAGCCTGAACACGACCAAATACAGTTCAAAATTAAAAAATGCACACACCCCTCTTATAGAAAGCGTACATATTTTACACGTATTTCGATTAAATATGAATTTTATTTTTTCCCAATAACGAAAAAAACAACAATAAAATAAGTACACACTAAACACTAAAACCTAAATTAAAAATAGATAGTATTTTGGCTAAAATTTCCGTAAAAAAATAAAAACACTTTCGGAGATTCACTAAAATCACATCGTTATTCCTTTTTAAAAGGAACAACGTCATTCGATAAATATTGATATATACCTTGATATAACGATTAAAAATTAAATTAATAATCATAGTTTAATATATACAGGGTGGTCCAATTTTTAAAATAAATAATTTACTTAAAATTGTAACTATAAGATTAACTAGTAACTTTTTCTATAAACCTTTATCTTGTTATAAAAACTGACCACCCTGTATAAATCGTTTCCAAGTAATTCCACATAAAACATTCAATTTTTTCCATATATGATATATCAAAAATCCCATTTTACGATGTTACAAAATCACGCACGTTAAAATTTAATATATTTTTTTATATCGTTCCTATTATATGTAGGTACCTTGCTTTTTTAAAATAAAATAAACCTAATCAATAATATGTGTATAAACATAAATATAACAATAACAAACGTCAACATATTTTATCAAAAAATAAAAGAAATTCCTGGAATGTGTTTTCGAGTATTTTAAGTTTTTTTAGTACAATTTATTTTTATACTTTTTAAAAATTGCACATTGCCTAAAGGCGTCCATACGCTTCGGTTATTTCGCACGGTTAAAACCGAGCAAAATACCCGAAGTGTATGGGCGCCTTTAATCGTTAATTTTATAGAGAGAGGAATGATAGAAACCAAGAAAATAAGTACAATAAACTTTGCGAAATACTTTTAGAGGAATGCAAAGATCTGAAATAGTCAGTATAGAGAGTTTTTTAAGGAACATATTGTCGAACAATTAAGCCTTATATTATATTAGTTTCATGTTTCTCACTTATCATCTAAGTCGTATTCGATCATAGACCAGTTGAATAACGTGAACAAATTTATAAACAGCAAAAAAATCTACTGGGTGGTCCACTTTTAGTAGTATAACTTTAAACAGTCGATAGAAAAACTTATTTTAAGTAGAACATTCCATATCAAACTGGAATCAAAAATGATTCTTACTCAATCTTTTTAAACATCCTGTATGTATTAAAAATGCTGATAAACTTTTATTTTTAAAATAAGTTTTTTATCGACTTTAAACAGAATAATAGAAGATATGAAAAAAGATAATGTCTTTCAGATGTTGGCGACATGGTTAAATATAAATAAAGGTATCCACGTTATTTTCAAATGATCTAGAAATATTTTTTTGGCCCAGCAAAATTGCCGAACGTAGCGCTGTATAATTATATGTATATGTGTATCATTAGGTTAATTTAATTTTTTACAGTAAACACAACCTTCATATTCATAACAAATAATGTCACGATATGAATAATTTTCTTCGTAATTTTTTTGTAAATCCATCCATACAAAATAATTCAAGCCTTGTTCACATTATGTGGTTGCTTTTATAAGTACATTAACACATATACAGAAGAAATAAGTTGCAGAAGTTATGATATTTTTTGAAAAGAAAATTCCTTAAAATGAAGGAAAAAAGAGAAAAAAAAACGCAGCAAAGTGCTATCTATCTATATTACTAAGCGTTGTTGCCAAATATTAATTCCTAAAATTTCTTTCTAATATTACTGAGACGAGTTCCCATATTATATTAAGAAGCTACAAAAAAAATAAAGTTTCCTATATGTTCTCGCTACTTAAACTATACAGGACGCAATATATTTATTCTATTTTAGTTTGAAACTATATAAGGCACGTAGAAATGTCAGACTGACATGTTTTCCTTCAAACCAAAACTAATATACTTTTAGTTTAAAAATATCTTAATGTTTCACTATATCGTTGCAAAGAAAAGAAATAAGTTGAATATTAACAAGAGTCTGAAAAAATGTAGAGTAATCTAAGAAGGCCTTGAGATGAAATAACGTATGTCTATTCTTATTTCGGTCGGTGAAATAACAAATAACAATCTAAAAAATACATAAAATCTGTTGTATAGCATGGTTAGAAAGACTCCACTGGATATGCAACCAATAATACACTTAATACTAACTATAGCCCCTATGTTTTCTTTAAATAAAGCCTATTTTGGGTCAAAAATAATCAGATTTTTAATGGAAAGAAAATATGACACTTTTATATAAAATAGGGACAAACAAACGTATTGTATCTCATAGCCACCTAGGATTACAATACATTTTAGACATTTATTTAATCATTTGCTGCGTTTTTTCGTTTCTACGGATACTTGTGTGGATTTGTACAAAATCTAAGCTCATATGCAACACCCAAAACTCACACACTTAAGAAAAAACATTCAGATCATTCATCATAATAGAGAAAGCTACCTAAGTGATATTTCTTTAGTTTAGACAAATTATTTTACGAAATAGCGATAGACCATCAATAACAAATAGATATTTTACAAATTACAGACAAGTCTCGATGTTTGTATATTTATATGGCCTATATTTTATTTATTTATCTTCACTTTTTTATGTTAAAGGGAGTACAAGTCCAGGTTAAACATAGGCCCGTAGTCTTGTTTCTAGAATATTTTTTCGTTTTTCAATTTTGTTTTTTTTTCCTGTATTTTTTAGTTCCTATCTAAACTATATTAAATAACATGAAAAATGTTCATGTATAGAACGTTTTTAAACAGATATAAATACAGGGTGGTTCACTTTTTAGTAGCGGGATTTATTTTTTAAAGTTTTATGGTACTGAAACCGCACAACTCCGGCACTGGTTGTCTGTACTGTGATATTATATATAAATTTTTAACTTTCTATCAACTATTAAAATTCTGCAACTAAAAATCGGACCACCCTGTATAAAAAGAACAATACTAGGTCCCAATAAACGTTGTCTCGATTTGTATAAAAAATAAACTAAACGAGCTCAATGGAAAAACCCACTGATTTTCTAATTCTTGTAAAGATTCATATTTATAAGTACTGTGAAATGATACTAACATTTCTAAATAAATAAAAAAACTCTTTGTAACAACATTTTTTGAAATAATAATGCAATAATCCAATAGAATTTTTCGTATCTCCTTTTTATATGTATATGTTTTTTTTTATAGGCCTTAGTAGGAGCAAAGATAAATTTTATGTATATATACAGAAAAAAAAAGTGTATCATAGAAAGTACACCTCTCAAATGGTATTCTCTCGTTGTCAATTTATATAGAAATTCTGGATTGCCGTAGTATTTGAAAATTTCAGAAAACACCAGTAATTTTGTTAGATCTAATAAAAATTTGAGCGACTTGGCAACATGACTCAATAATCTGTCAAAAATATCGGCGGTTCCCAAACCGTACAAAAATTTTTGTCACTTATATGCAACCCACAATACGCTAAACAAATGGTAGATTGGTGTTATTGCATTCTAGACCTTATGCCAACTATACTTATGGTTGACTAAAAAACTAATATGCGCAAGTTTTTAAAAGTATCATTAGGACTTCATGTAATGTTGGTTGCATATTTTGTAACGTTACACTTATCTGAAGTATCAATGATCGACAATAATAATGCAGACATTTTAATAGTTTTAAACATAACCAAAATCTATATAAATCGAACTTTATTAAGAAAAATACCATATGATGCACGCTATTGTGTCATTATAGAACAAACATACGCAAAGCTATTTAATTTATTTATAATTAGTAATATCTAATTTTCTTTGCAAGCTTTTGAACCATCTTCCGAAATAATCTTTCTCTTGAGAGATACCAGAAAAATCAAAAACTAATTTATATAGAATAAAACCCTTAGAATATCATTTACGCTTCAAAAAGAGTAAACAGTCTTCAAACAATGACATTTGACGTACTTTACGTGCTTTAAACGTCAAACAGATGTCACAGTACACTATAACCTAGCACACTGTAATAAAAAATGTTTTTTGATTACAACGTGGTATCTCCAAGCCCGTTCTTTACCTTGTAGCGTTATTTTTTCGTTTCAAGTATGATACAGGTTATGTTCATTGTCTTCCCGAAGAAGATGCGCTGCTACCCCTCGACTGTTCGCCGCTGGTCGCCCCCGAACTGCCCCCCGAGGCCGGCGGTTGAGGCGAGGGGCTTTTTTGGCCCCCTTGACTGCCTCCGCTGCTCAGGGCCATTCGTTGCATCTGCCTGATAACGGCGGTAGCGTGGTACGCTTGGCGCCATCTAGGAAAAACGTTTAAAAAGTCTTTTTTTTACTCTTATATAAGTATAACTATCGTGAAAATAAAGATATGAGACGAATATTTATGACGTCACAAAAGTAGTCATAGTGATATATTGTTTTTATATGAAATGTATTAATGTTAATTGATAACTTTATGTGAACATACGATCGAAAAAAAAACGGCGTCAGAGACGGCTGGGGAATGACAATCGATGGAAATTTTGACGAGGTCAAGCCTTAGACGTCTCTGACGCTGTTTTTTTCAATCATACAATATATATATTTACATTAATTATGTTTAATGTGTGTAATTATGTTTTTTAATGTTTGTTATTAATTTTCTGTGCCATAAAAATTAATAATAAATCAAAACTGATGTACATTGTTTCAATTTAAAAAAGAAAAATAAGACAATTTAAGAAAAAAATTAAACAGTAATTTTTACTTCAATCATTTCATTTCCCGGTGGTTGCGCAAATCTGTTTAAATTCAAGTTTTATGCAAATAAACAGTCAGCAAAAAGAAGAAAAAAAAAATATATTAATGAATTATTATTACCGCAACCTCCGTAAAGTATAGGCCCGATACAATGATTTATTACGTCATAGAAGTAGTCAGAGTTACTGCATAATGGTATATGTTTAGAAATGCTATACTCGTATATGAAAATATAAAATGTTTCTTCTATCTTTACAGGAATGATGATGGTTTTGTATTTTTTGTTTGTGTTTTAAAATTATTATGTCGATTTTCTGTGATGTATACTTTTTTCTATGTATAAGAATTAACTATGTATATTTTTTAATTTGTTAGCTTATAGAACATTTTTTTGTCTTGCTGTAAAATTGCGAAGATATAAAAATTCTTTCTCAAGATATTTTCATCAAATAAAATTTAAACCTAAATTGTTTTCACAATAATTACTTGTATATAAATGTGTATAATGATTAACTTTGTGTAATTTTAAATATAATGTGGTTTATGAAATATTTTATCTTTTTTGTGTGTATTTCATGTTTTATTGTATCTTAATGCTGTCAACACAACTATGCAACTATGGGTGGTTAAATGTAAGAATAACATTTTTTGTTAAATTTCGCCACCCTTGTTGCATGCTGTGTAATATATGTAATGTTACACATCTTTTTCTTCAATAAAGACGATTATTATTATTATTATTATATAACTAACTTACTTGGATTTTGCAAAATTCTTCTTAAGCTGTTCGGAAACGGTTCCGTGGATATTCTTGCTAGAAGCTTCGTTGCCTGATATCCAGGGATGTGCTAACGCCTGAAATAAAATCATTGACATATTATACATGCAACTGAAGCATACTGTCAAGGTGTATGTGGCGCCATCTGTCGGAGAAACGAGCGAGACATTTTTTGTTGAAGCGCCATCTCTTAATCAAGTCGACAAGTAAGCGAATCAGACAACAGAATTTACTGGTAGATGGTAGAAAGTTACCGATAATTTTAGAACGTTCCAGAAACACTCACCACAGCTATATAAAAGCAGGCCGGCAGTTGGGACAGTTTGAAGTTTGATAATACCGCGTTTTAAATTGTGAATTAATTGACGAAGGTGCCAGAACCGTTAGAGTAATAGTAGTTGCATAAATTGTGTTGTAAATAGTATAAGTTGTGTGTACAGAGTGAGAAAAATAAATTCGTTAAGTATTTTATCGTGAGTTTAAATTAGTGGACCCACGGAATCCATAACAATACTAAAAAAAAGTATGTAATAATATCTCCAAGCCAGATCAAAAATATGACACTACAGCAGTTTTGTCCCAAAAACCCTAACGGGTATAGGGTAAAAGGTAAAAAAAGTAGAAGGTAAAAGACCAAAAACTGGTATAGGGTAAAGGGATCAAAAGGTATAGGGTAAAAACTACTGGCTGCCGGTAGACTACTGCGGTTCACTACTGCGCATCACATCTGTACAGTGTATCCCAATTTCGTGTGTTAGTAAACGTTAGTAACGTATGTTACTTCCGATAGACTACTGCGGTTCACTATTGCGCATCACATCTGTACAGGGTATCCCATTTTCATGTGGTTTATAGGATTTCTTTATGAGTAGAGATACAATGATGCGATTTTTACATTACTTTGGCTACTTTTTTATGAAACTAAATATGCTACACATAGGTTTGTCCTAGCCTCCTTAGTTCCTAAAATACAGAACGAATTTGTGATGCGCAGTAGAGAACAGATGTTGAAAACAGATATGATGCGCAGTAGTGAACGTAACGATTACCGGCAGCCAGAGGGTCGGCACTTTGGTCAGGAGAGCATAGCAAAAGATATTAAAGAAACAGCTTTCTTAAAATTCTCTCTCGAAAACGTTGCTAGCTCTGAGACTATAAGTAAAACAGCGAAATCGTTATTGAAATAAAAATATAAAATGACACAAATATATAACAATCACAAGTAAATCGTATATCCGATGAACGGAGGCATGAAAATGTAATAAATTTAAAAACTGCGTAATTTTCTAACCAATCGAAATCTTTAAATTCGACGAATAAAATTAATATCGTATCATCGTATCGTCGGACATCAAGCATAACACGTTGACACAGATCTCAAAAGGACAAGTGATTAGAGAATTTAGTACTAATCTCACAGAAATAAGTAAACATAGAGGAGCTATTACTCACCTGTTTACAACTGTATCTCTTCTCCACATTCACGCAAATCAAATTCATGATAAAATCCTTAGCCGAATCGCTAATTTCGTCCCAATAAGGCGAATCGAACTCAAATTCCCCCTTCAAAATCTGAGCGAACAAGTTAACATCGTTCTCGTCATAGAACGGCGGGTAGCCACAGAGCAGGATATAGGAAATCACCCCTATGCTCCACACATCTATGGCTTTCCCGTAGGGCTTTTGCGCCAGTACTTCCGGGGCCACGTAGCCGGGAGTACCGCACGCAGTGGCCATGATGCCGCCGTCCTCCATCTTGGACAGGCCGAAGTCGCTGATCATGATCTTGCTGTCCTTGTCCGGGCTGTAGTAGAGGAGGTTCTCGGGCTTGAGGTCGCGGTGGACGACGCCTTGCTGGTGCATGTAGTCGACGGCTTCCAGGACTTGCCGGATCAAGTGGGCCGCGTCCTTTTCGGTGTAGGAACCTTTAATATATAATATTTTTCTTGCAATCTTTGTTTGTCTTTGTTTATGATTAAATTATATTTATTTCATTTTTTTTGTATTCATGTTGACGCCGTTTTGTCTTTTTATGATTTAGTTGGCAATAAAGAATATTATTATTATTTCTAATAACATAATACCACAGATTAGGTATACTATATGTATACAGATAAAAATCTTATCCTCAATAAAAACTGCAAAAAAGTCAGTGGCGTACACATTTTTAACCAACAATAATTATTTTGAATAATGTGTCCCTTGGGACGCCACCGGACTTTTATTAAGCCCCTTATGGCCAAAAATAAAATTAATTCCAAGAAAATTCGGCTAGAGTGTTTTTAATTACAATTTTTTTTAAATTAAAACTCTAACATCCTGTATCTTTAAAACCATGCATTTCCGGACCCATGTTTATAGGAACTTTTTTTCATATTTTTTAATGAGGAATAATAAACGACATCTAGGGGTGAATACAAAACAAAAAAATCATCGCTTATCTTTTCGCAAGCTACTATGACACCGTTTTTTTTCGATTTTTAACAGTGCTTACCTTTTTCGACAATTCGATCGAACAACTCCCCTCCTGTCACCAATTCCATTATCAAATAAACTTTATTTTTATCCTCAAAAGTCTCCAACAGTTGGACAATGTTCGAGTGCTTCAGCTTCCTCAAAATCATAATCTCGTTCTCCAGCGAGTCCTCCTTACCTTTCAGCGCTTTTTTATCGATAATTTTCACCGCAAACAACTGCCCCGGCTTCTCCTTGCTCTCAGCTAACCTAACCTCAGAAAAAGCACCCGTTCCCAGCATCTCTTTAAGGTGGTACTTTTCCTCGAGAAGGTTTTTTTCGTTGGTGTCCTTACCACCATTCTTGCTCTTCGATTTCTTGTCCTTACCAAACAACGGCATTTTTAAAGTTTTTTTTAACACTTCATTTAAGTCAATACACACTAATAAGCACGAAAAAATCGTTTATTACATTAAATTTAGTACAAAATGGTTTGGTTTTTGCAACTACTGATGCTCTGATAGCAATTTGTACTTTTTTCAGTACCGACGTCACGCAGTACGACTTCTAGGGCTTGGAAATCGGTTAATCTTCGCACATCATTATCTTTTCTCAGTCTGGTATCGGGTAGTTTTCTGATTCGTTCCACTTGAGCCTCAGAAATGTACAATTCTTCGCAGCAGGTCTTCAGAAGGGTTTCGTAGGTTAGTTTCCACTTGGGAATTTCAATTTCAATAAAATCTGGGTCGGGAGAACCCTGAATTCTCACTTTTAGAACCAATTCTACAAAATAAAACCATTTTTTATCAAAATAAAATATCTTAAATTACCATAAATCTATTTATAGGAGTAAACCAGTGTTTAAGAAAAGCTCTCTATTAGTTTACCTGTTCCAATGAAATACAGGGTGTTTAAATTGAAATAATAGAGAAAAGTATATTATCTAGTTTTTACCCACCCTGTATGTAGAAGGCTAATGTGCTGTAGTATAGTCTCTATATTAAAATAATAAAAAATAATTTTATTCAGGGTTTTTAAAAAAAACATGTGCCATCTTTCGGCCTCCTTGATGAGATAAACGCAATTTTGTAAATCACAATTAATAAAATTAATAAATTACATATTTTACCTAATTTATTATTAAAAAATATTACTATTAGTATTAGTTATTATTACTATTAGTCCATCCTACAGCAATTTCAAATAAAAAAATAATGGTATTTAGGATAATTACAAAAAAACTAATTTTAAAAAGTTTTAACATCCTGTAACTCTAAAACTATGCATTTCAATACCCACGTTTATACAAACTTTTTTTCATATTTTTTGATGAGGAATCAATGAGTGCCTATTTAAAACTTTTGCAAGTTAATAAATTTCAGATAGTTAAACCTGATATAGATGGAGCTTTCTTGAAACACTGGGCCACCCTGTATCATTCTAATTATAATTAATTTTACTGTTAATAAAAATGTGAAATTTACAAATTACATAATACAGTTTTTTTAACCACACATGTATGATTCTAACAATTAGAACTACTCGGAACAAAAATCCACTCACAAATGTAAATATTGGGTTTTCAACAACAAAAGTTTAAGTTGTTAAAAGAGCGGAATATATTTAAAATCGTTACAGTAAACACACTTTAAGGTCAACCCAATTATCTAAAAAAAGTGAAATACTATTTCTAGACACCAACATATGCACAGGTGTATTTTTAATAGGTATGCTAAATTAAATTGTCCAATATTGTTTGTTGTAGCAAAGAAAATGTTGATATAATGATTGAAATTTGTTTTTTTGGTTATTTAATTTAAAAAAATTGAGATACAGAAGTTCTCTTGAATAAAATAAATCTTTAAATGACATTTTCACAGAGACACCTTACAAATTAACCTTTTACATGTAATTTATTTAAACCAAATCTAAATATTAACAGTGAGAACTTAAAAGAAAGTTTGAAACTGACCTTCGTTAGATGCCGTAGGTAAAACCGTCCTTTGCATACCAAAAAACTCGCTCTGTTTAATTTTAACCGGTGCCACATCAACCTGAGCATTCAACGGGGCATTTCTAAGGTAATTCGGTACAAACTTATATGCTGCCGGGTCCCCAATCTTTGGAGTAGTACTTCGACCACCTAGTAGTTCGTTAATGTTCCTATAAGTACAAATATCAGTGCAGGTCTCGTTGTTGAAATTCCTCAGGCTTTTATCGGCCCCATTACGCAGCAACACGTTCACGATTCGTTCGTTGCCCCTTTTGCAGGCCCAGTGCAATGCCGTCCTTTAAAGATATTCAGATAATAATAATATTGTTGGGTAGGAGAGAAAAAGTGAGGTTAGGTGGGTCCTAGTAGTGGGACATATTTACCAGCCGTTCACAGGGTTTTGGGAGTTCACGTCCACGTTTTGGGACAGGAGCGTTTCGACAGCTTCGAGATCACCGACACATGATGCTTCGCGGAGTTTTTCCTCTAAAATATTGGCCATTTTATCTCAAAAAAGCGATGCATATTGCAAGAACAGCGGACATTGCAAATCGCAATTTTTATTTGACAGCTGACAATTCGATTACGAAATGGTAATCATAGAATATTTTAATTAAATAATCATAATTAACTATACTAAATTACCAAGAATTGTTGTTGTAATTCCATTTCTACAGTTCAAAGAAAAAATAATGCAAACTGTTTTTAAATAATGCAAGAATTTCTGTTTTTCATAAATAATGTTTTAAAGTTATGCAACTCAAAATACATATACATTATCAAAATATATACAAGAAAATTTTTAAATAGCGACCTACGTCCATCTACGTCACAAGAACAGCGAGAACAGCAATATGACGTCATCAAAAATTAGTATAAAAGGAATTAAATAGAGTTTTATTATTTATTTGACATTTAAATATAAACTAAACAATAAAATATGTAAAAAATAACTTTGTACAATTTCAGAAGTGTTCTGATTCGTCAACTGGGGGTTCTATTTTTGGACTTGATAAACACTCATTCTCCATGGCTGCTGCTATTTTGTTTGTTAATCTCTCGTTTTCCTCGGTTAGGGCTTCAATACCTTTCTTATTTTGCTACAAGATTATTCGTATTTCAACAAAAACTATACGTTAAAAAATTAATAAAATTTACATTGATTATTTCCTTGTATTTGTTATGGATATCTTCCTTAGTTGATATGGCCAAATTGACTTTCTTTTGTGCCATTTTAGGCGAGATGTACGACATGCCTATGATAGAGTTTAATTTCTTGTTTTGATTTGTTTCAACTTGCAAATTTTTCCTTAATTGATTGGTTTCGACCAGTAAGGTAGCGTTTTCGTCCACCAAACGTATTTTGTCGTAACTCAGTGTACTTGTATTCTTGGTTGCCTACAAAAGTAATTATATGTAAGTAAGTGTGTGTAAGTAATATTATGCAACCAGATATACATATTTATACTGCCATCTATGAATCAATAGCAAAACTAATCGTTAATCTGTTTAAAACAGGTCTCTCAAAAGCGATAAATAGAAAAATTAACGTACTTGAGCGTGCAACGTTGCAACCGTTCTCTCCAAAAAGTCCCTCTGCCTGAGGAATTCGCTCTTGGCCTCCGTGTCCTCGGCCTGGCTCACTTCGAAGTCCTTGTCCGCGTTGTACTTGTGGTACATTTCCTGCAAGAACAATGGGAGAATAAACGGCGCGTTTGGGATAGTTTGCATTGTCGCAAGGAATTGTTTGAAATGTTTTCCGATATTGTCGGTATCGAAACTATTTAGACTATTTTGTCGTCGCGTTGAGAGTTATGGTGTGGAATTTTAGAAAAACAACGTTTATTGTGGGACGATTCTGTGTAAATGTCAATGAAATTTATGTTTTAGATTGTTTTCATATTTTAGCGATACTCTTTTTTTAGTAATATGCTCTTCAATGAGGTATTTTTGTCCAGCTATAAAATATGCGGACAATGGGCGCACTTTTTAAAAATATATTTTATAGGTATACATTGTAGTGTGGCTCAAATATATTTATACACCAAAGTTGTAGTGTTTTAAATATAGTGCTGTATATTTTTTGCTCTGATAAAATATTTTAGGATCGTTCATTTGAAATTATGGAGAAAATCATTAATACAAATTAATATTTATTTTGTTTTAAAAAACTATACAGCTCTGGCGTAAAAATATATTTGAAACACCTTGTATATGTATAAAAAATATTAAAATATGCGCCACAATTTCCTGTATATTTCACAAAAAAAAATCTTGTAATTAAAAAACTCAAATACAAAACCTGAAATGAAGCTTTTTCAACTATAGGTCACCCTGTATATACAGTAATGTTTTAAATTTATAATATACAGGATGTAAATGAATACCGATATAGAAATTTTGCAATTTTTAAACTTTTTACACTTTTGACTCAAAACAATAACAAAGTAGCAAAACCCACTTTTTGAACGTTCGGTAGATCACTGGGACACTTTGGGATCAACTTTGCCATACGGAACACAAATGTCCAAAAGACAAAAATTTCCGTAACATTACTCTTGACTCAGAGTGATAAAAACACATTTACAAAGTCCAAAAATTCACTTTTACCACTTTTTCTATTGCAAGAACGTTCTGTAGATTACTGAGTATATGCCGAAAAACTCTAACATTGCTACACAGAACGCAAATATCGAAAAGATAAATACTTTCATAATTTCCACTATAATACTCTTGACTCAGAGTGATAAAAAATACATTTTCGAAGCCTAAATAAACTCACCTTTACTACTTTTTGCAACGCTGGAACGTTCTGTATAAATCCACTGGCATGGTGGATGTCCATCCTGATGGCCTGCAACGCTTTTTTCATCACCCTGTTCCTCTCCACTTCTTTCCTGACCTCGTTAGCTGAAGCTGCCAGCTTGGCTCTGCCCTCGGACAACTGGGTGTCCAAATTCAAGATCACCTTTTGCAAGTTCTCCAATTCGCGAACCATTTCGGTAATCTGGGTCGATTGTTCCTGAATGGTTCTTTCTCTCGGTTCAATTTGAGATTTCAATTCTTTTATCTAGAAAAAAAAATCGTTAAGTTGGAGAAAATTTTACCGAACTGACAACGCCGCATAAAAACGCGCGAGCATTGAACGATGTAGACGAGTAATGGCCAGGAACATTTATGAAGCTAAGATATATTTCCATTACCAGTGGACCGAGAATTATTATATACAGTGTGATGGCAAAATATACCTTAAAATCCAGTATGAATTTGAACTTCTCCAATTCCTGATTCTTGCCTTTCAACGTGAAAATTCGTTTTTCTTTTTCTTCGATCGTATTGTCTCTTTCGCTGATCTCTTTCTTGATATCGAGAATGTTTTGCTTCAGGGAACTTATGATATTTTTGAATTTGACGTGATCGTTCTCCAGCACGTAGATTTGGTGCTTAAAGTCGTCCGATTCCTTTTGTGTAGCTGTAGAAAAAGATTTTTGTTAAATGGAACAATTTTGAATACAATAAAAAGTAAACAAGATATTCTTATATAGAGGCATCAAAAAGACTACTAGAAAATATACTTTCTAGACTATACTTTACCTAAAAGTTTTTTCTTGAGTCCTGCAGCCTCTCCTCTGAGTCTAACATTCAGATCTTGTTCTTCCTTGATTTCGTTCTCATGGGAAGTCTTCAATTCGTAGATTTCCCTGTCACAGTCATCCTCAATTTGCTGCTTTATCAGTTCATGTTCTTTGATCAATTTGGCAACTTTTTCTTTTAACTATACATCAAAAAATATATTTTAGCAAATATACATGTTGATTCTGTAATAGTTGCTATTGATTATTGAAGTTATTGAAGAGAGAAACTCATTAAGTGGAATTTGAGTGAAACCAAATCACTTTGAACTCACTTCTTCGATCATATCTTCTTTTTGTTTGATAACTTCCAGATACTCGGTGTTAATCTGATCTTCCGATTCTGATTTTTGTTTCTTCAGTGCGTCGTATCGCTGTTCTTCTTCTTTAAGCATGCCGTTCATTTTTTCTTCATATCTTTATACACAAAAAATCAAAAATCAAATCCCATAATTTATTTATTTTCAAATCATACTCAAGATGAAATGCCACAGTACTAACTTTAACAATATGAATACTTATGTGTTTTAACAAAAAAAAAAATATGTATCAAATAAAAATTGTTGATTTTTCATATACAGGATGTTTTATAAAATAAGAGGTAAAATATTCCTAAATACCTCATAAACTTCTTGTACTCTAGAATAAGTTTTTCGTTGTAGCTGGCTTCAAGTTTTTGTACGAACAACTCGTGATCAGATTTCATCTTCATTATTTGGCTGTTGATGTTGTTGATTTCCTGGATATGATCACCCTCCATTTGCTATAAACAAAAAAAAAACAAATTTATTAAGAGTAAACTAATAAATCGATACAACATTGTACGTGCAAAAATTTATATTTTGTCTATTACATTGAGAAATATTACAGGATTAAATATAATTTCATAACTAAATATTAACAAAAAATAGTTATTTTAAAATAAAAACAATACATAGCTAGTCTTAATTTCATATGCTTTTTTGGTTGATCTAAAGTTAGCCTTTAATTTGAACGATGTTATGCTTTCAAGCATTTTTGATTGCACTATATCTTAATAAAAAAAATCAATACTAAAATTTTTTCCATCAGAAACATTGATATATTCAACATATTTTAATTTAAAACACTATTTAACGCAGTATATTGAATTACCTCGTTTTTAATCTTCAATTCTTCGATGGCATGACAATACTCAGAATGAATATCTCTCATCTTGAGAGAATGCAGTGCGTCATTCTGTCTCATCTGATACGAGTGTTCGGTCTCCAATTCTTTCAATCTGAGTTGCAAATTTTTGATTTGCCCCATCTTGTCTTCCAGGATCTCCCTGGATATCAGGATTTCCTGCGACGTGGATATTTCCTTGTCCAGTTTGACGGCCTTGTCTTCCGCGTTCTGCACCTTCCAGAAGCACAAACTGCCATCCGTGGCCCCGCTGATGACGAAACGATCATCGTAGGTCATGCACATCTAGAAGATATGGAGATTAATAAGTCTAATGGCAAAATTTAATTACCTATACTAATTACTAATATATAAAATCCTTAAGTTACTGACTCACTGATTAATCACGATCCTGCTCAAACCACTCAACGTAAGAAGCTCAATTCTGGCATACAGATTGATTCTAGGGTGTAGAGGTTCGATAAGAAGGGATTTTTCGAAATTCCAGTTCCAAGGGGGTGAAACTACCCCTCAAATATTACAATATTTTTTATTTATAAAACGGTCAAGCTTCCGAAAAAACGCTTAAACAAATATATTTTATTTTGTTTTTTACATATTTTAAGATTTTTAAAAATGTATACAGGGTGTTTCGAAAAATCTGGTCATTGATTAATCACGATCCTGCTTAAAGCGCTTGACGTAAAAAGCTGATTTCTGGAAAACGGATTGACTTTAGGGTGGAAAGGTTCGATAAGAAGGGATTTTTCGAAACTCGAATTCTAAGGGGGTGAAATCACCCCTCAAATATTAAAATATTTTTTATTTAAAAACCGGTGAGTTTTTCGGAAATACTCTTAAACACGTATATTTTATTTTGTTGTTTTACATATTTTAAGATTTTTTAAAAAATTATACAGGGTGTTACATAAAATATGACCTGCTTAAACTGCTTGACGTAAAAAGCTTATTTTTGGCAAACGGACTTTTCGAAAGTCAAATTCCAACGAGATGAAATTACCCCTCAAATATTACCAAGTTATATAATAATATCGCTATATTGTTTTTTCTCATGCTGGCATAAGCGTGAGAAAATTTTATCTAGTTTATATGTTAATGGAAATTCTTGCTTTGCTTTATCATCACCATTACAAATGTATGCTATAAGAACATTATTTTATTTTTGAAATTTTCTATAACTTTACTATTTTTATATCTAGTTTAGCTTCACCCTGTATATACCAAGCAATATAGCTCATAATAGCTCCCAGAAAGACCGTAAAAGAATAGAGTGGATACAACAAAAGACCCAGGTAATACATGTCATCCACAGGATCAAATCCCTCAAGTGGCAATGGGTAGGATACCTGGCAAGAAGGACTGACAAACAGATGGATCACAAAAATTGCAACTCTAGTGTTAAAATACAGAGGGTGTATTTTAATAAATCTCCCAAAACCACATGAAAAAAAAACAATCTACTCTTGAATTAAAATGACAGACAAGAGCTGTCAATGCCGAATTCTTTCGCTGGACAAGCTATATCTACACCTACAGGATACTTACCACAGATATTGCAGATTTGTGCATGGCAAATTCCAGGTATTCTGCCTTTTCCAGAAGAGGTATTCTGACGCTAAAAACGGATCCTCCATTTCCACTGACGAAGAGCATGTTGTCCAGCTGGGACAGTACCAAAGCGTTCAGTCCGCTTCCCGGAGGGACCAGTACCACATCTCTAAAAAACATAAAAAAATGGGCGGTTTATTCGCCACCTTAAATATTGACATGTGATTAAGGAACAAAAACTCTTTAAAACAAAGTAAATTTTAATTTTAGACCTGTTTATGTTGGAATTGACCAGTTCCCTGATATGTCCATCGTTCCCGACAGCGTACACCTCTTTTCCCGACTGGGTAATGATCACTCCGGTGAAGGGGTTCGATTTGATGAAATTTTCGGACAGCCTGGTAGATTCTATGACGTCCCAAAGGTAGACTGCGCCCTCGGTACCGCAGGACGTCATGTAACGGTCGTCCAGGCTCCAAGAAATTGCTGTAATCTAAAGATGCAAATAGTTAAAAAATTATAGCATGAATAAAAAGACTAAAAAAGACTGTAATCTAAAAATGGAAATAATACAAAAATATAGTGTTTATTTTCACTCTAAAAGTGATTAAAATTTTTGAATAAAAAGAGAGTCTATTACTATTCTTATATTTATAAACAAAATATGTTATCATGGAGACTGTAATAAAAAAGAAGAATGAAATTATTGGGCAAACCTACGGTAAGATTTAAGTTGTCATATTTTAGTCATGTTTCATGGCTAATCTTACTGTAGGTTTGCCCAATAATTTCATTCTTCTATCTTATATTTATACTTACATTAAAGGAAGAGATGTCATGGTAACCACTAAAATATAATTTGTCAGATTTGTTCAACATTTAACTTAAATTATTTTTTTAAGTTTTTTGAAATTTTAAAATATAATTTAATATCGGCACCTTCACCATTTTGTCCAGACATTTTTGTTATATAAATTTTCATAATAATTTTTCGTAGTTAGTTTGTGGTTCCTGTGTTGTGTTATTTTCATGTTATAGTATAGTAGTAACAATAAGCAGTCATTAATTACGTAATATATGTTACGAGTAATAAATTAAACTGTTTTTAATAAAGCTGTTTTTATTAAATTAATAACTGGTGGTTCGAACTGTATTCTGGAAACTTCCTCAGCATATTCTGTAAATAAAAATAAGTAAAAAAGTTCGTATAAATGTATGTACTAAAATGCTTAGTTTCGGAGATACAGGGTGTAGAACTTCCATTTTTATTTCGATTTTTTCGAAATAATTTATGAAGTAACGTAAATATTTGGATGAAAATTGGTGAATGGGAGTTTTTTGACATGAGAAATTTGTTTTTGTTGTCAATCTGGCTCCTACTTGTAGATGGCGCCACCTACATATTTTTTAACTGTTTAAAAAAGTAATAACTTTTAGTCCGCACCTGTATAAAACCACTGAGTAAAAAAATATCCATTTACGACATTTTTTACGCAAAAAGGTTTCTTGGGAAAAATCGCTACGAATAATGGTTCTCCAGACATTTGGAATCGAAATTATCAATACCTACTAGTCATCATTGATATAAAATTAAACATGTTAACTAAATAGTTATTACACTGAAATCATAAATTTGAAATGTTTTTGTGCCAAAAGTCAACAGAAACTGTTTTATCATCATTTCTTCGCAGAAAAATTTATGATTAATTTAAGATTTCAGTCAAATAACTATCTACTCATGTAGGTGGCGCCCCCTATAAATAAAAAAAAAACTGCCAGACACCTATTTTAATCCAAGTATTGACGTTACTTCAGAAATTATCTGGAAAAAATAGAAATGAAAACGAAACTTCTACACGCTGTATCTCCGAAACTAAGTAAGCATTTTAGAAAATACATTTATACGAACTTTTTTACTTATTTTTATTTGCAGGATATGCTGCCGAAGTTTCCGGAATACAGTCCGGACCACCCTGTATACTAAACTTACCCTGCCGTTGTGTCCTTTCAGCATGTACATAATATTGAACGTGATACTGGAATAAACCTGAATGACGTTTCCATTGGTCGCTGCGAACAGGTGGCCCAAACTGCTAAACTCCGACAGTTTGCAGTTCCTGATGCCGAACTCCTTCGACGTGATCACGTCGTCGATCATGATCGTCATGTAGCGCAGCTTGTCCGAGAACCCCACCACGCAGTACAGTCCTGTCGGATGCAGGGCCACCGAATAAATATCGTCCTCGAAGTTTTGTACTAACTCTAGATCGTCTGTTTCGTAGTTCCATATCTTGAGCGATCGATCTTTTACACCTTGAAGTAGAAAATATAACTTAAACCTACAAAAAATTACTTACACGTTAAATTATTTTTTTTTGCACTAGGAATGTATTATAATATCGATATTTTTAATATCGATATACTTGAAACTATCGATACTTTCAAAAATCATATATTAAATACCATAAAAATTAATTAAAAATGTTTCGTTTAATAAATATCAGTTTATTAAATTGTTATCTGTACTAGGAATGTACTAAAATATCGAGATTTTTAATATCGATATACCTGAAACTATCGATACTTTCGATACGGGTGATTTAAAAACCATAAAAATTATTGATTTTACTTGATAAAATGTTTGGTTTAATAGATAATACTTTAATTTCCTGTTAAGCCTTTATTTGTTTACCTGCAGTGATACAGAGCGGTTTCCATCTGCATATGGACATTCCTCCTATCGCTCCCAAGTGTAAAGGGTGTCCGTACTCCTCCATCAATATTTCGGAAGTTGTGGAACTGTCTTGTTGCAACCACAGTCGTACTTGGTAGATTTGCGCCTCATTGCAAGTTGCAATAAGTCGATCCTAGGATAGGAAAAATCACGTCATTAAAGTAACCGAATGACAGTAGAAAACAGAATCCAAAATAGTACATTATAGTACTTGTACTAACTACAGAAAAATATTACTTAATAGACCATAAGTCGACTTTATAGGATAAAAAGAATCTTTTACTTTGAGAAACATTAGTCTCTGTTGCATTAATATCGATTTTTATTTTGAATCAATACCAAATCAATACTTTCTGAGTCGATATAGAATATCGCTACTATTAGAAATATCGTGTATTCCTAAATTTTATATCGGCTAAATTCCTAAAGAGAAACATGATCTTGACAAAATGGTGAAGGTAAATATATCTTTAAAAAGACGCATTTATGTACTCAAAATAATGGCAGATTTTTTGAACATTTTCTAAAATAACTTAAAGTGTATGTAGTGATATTATTTTTTTAAGTTTTAGTTTGTGTAATGTAAATTGTAAACAACCGTTTAATAATACAGGGTGTCTCAGAAATAAGTGCAAGTATTTTAAGGGCTGATAGATCTAGATAAAAGAAACATATTTTCTCTTTATCGTTTTTCAAATAAGTCCAAAATAACGGAGTTATTTTACTTTGAAAATTTCCAAAAAAATGATTTTTTGCTACAATTTTGAGAAACACTGGATCTTTTCTGGATTTTCTTTCTTGTAAATTTAATCTAATACCTATGTTGCCATATTACCAAGAAATTATGTTTTTTAACTAAAAAGTAAAAGAATTTCCAAATTTTTCAAAAAATTGCGAATTTTCAAAATCTTTATTTCGCGAAAAAAACTCATAGGCGTTTTTTTGGGGTTGAAATATACTACCAGTTAAAATGCCAACTAAGAGAAATTAGTCAAAAACAATAAGAATTGGTTATAACTCAATAATTTTTCGAAAAAAAAAACATATTATAGCTTATATCGCTGAAAAGCTTAAAAAATGGCGCTTTTTATGAAGTCATGGCCAACTATGGTTTCTATTTAAAAAACATATGATTGTGTTATATTATGTCAAAAATGACAGGCTTTAGAAAAAATCGGAGAACACAAACTCATTTTTCACAAACTCACACAGTTTCATTGTTTATCTACCACTTTTATCCGAAAACTTTTTGTTTAAAATAGATTATAATGGAATTAGGGACAATTTTTAAAATAGCCAAAATTTGTTTTTTTCGAAATACCTATCTAGTATGCTATGAACTTTTTAAAAAATCTGTAAGGCGCATATTTATGACCCCAAAAAATTAACCGACTCCAATACTTTTAATATATATATATATATATATAATATATACCGTATGATCGAGAAAAAACGGCGTCAACGATGGCTATGAAATGAAGATCGCTGTCATTTTATATGTAAATTTATATGGGAAATGTCATTGATCGTCATTTCTCAGCCAACTGGACGCCGTTTTTTTTCGATCATACGGTATTAATATATATAATATATTAAAACAGTTTTTATCCCTTTAATGCAAGATTTGCAAACCATATTAAAAATCACTAATCAGTAAATTTTTAAAATTATTTCAATTTAACAAGTAACTGTGTTTCTCATACCAAAAGCACAGTCAAAAGCTTCTTCAAATTATCTGGTAATTATTATTGGCGTGTGTATTTATTTAAATTTTCTTTAAATTTAAAAGTATAAACTTTGGTATAAATTAATATCGCGCATTCACCATTTTGTCCAGATATTTTGGTTCAATAAAATTAATATTTTAATATGTCATAATTTTATTTACTACCTGTTATTTAAAAATTAAAAACAATACCTGTGCCTCGTTAACTTTTATGGAACACACAGTATTTTTAACTTCTCTCGGCCCGGTATCGTATTCCCTATAAACAGTTTTATCCGGAATTTTGAAAACGCATCTTTTTCGAAACTTGTGCGGAGACTCCCTTTCGTACAAGTGAATCTTTCCTACAATAAATTATTTGTAAGTTTCCGGAAAGACTCGGAAAAGCAGTGTCCCAAATAAGTGTCCTTGAAGACACTGTTACACATGATTAAAAAGATATATTAACCGTTCATAAATCCAAATGCAAAGCCTCTGGGAAAATTCACTATTGATCTGATTTCGTAGTTTTCTTCTTCGTCATCGTTGTATCGCATACTATCAGAGGAGTTGGTCTTCATTGTGGTTTCGGAAGAAGGATCAAGCCTAAATAAAGAAAGAATAATATAGAAACCAAAAAAATATGTTTCAAAAAAAATATTTGGGATATACAAGGTCCGGCAATAGTTAAGTGCAATTTTGTTTAAGTATGTACTAGGATGTATTTCAAGAAAATATTTTAACTTGTATAGGGTGACTCAAAAAAGAGCCAGTGGATCGGGATGATTTTTTTAAAAGGAACAACCTGTATATTATTGCATTTTTGGCTTCCTTTTAGATCACTTTACTTAATCCTCAGATATGAGTATATAATTTTATAATTCTTTTTTTTCGATCATTTCAGAGATTTTAATAAATAAATAAAAAAATATATTTTTCGGGCTTTCTTAAAAAAATTATTAAAAATACAAGAACTGTCCTGAAATCAAAACTATATTAGGTATATACTTTAGATGGTCTGTACTTACTTTGCTATAAATAGGGTAATCGTAAATCATACAGAATGTTCAAAATTTTACGCCAAACTTTCTAAAATATAAAATAATTTTTCTTCGTTTTTTTTAAACGGAACACCCTGTATATAATTTTTTTCAATAGATGGAGAATTAAAAAATGATCATTTTATGTATTTAGAGTATTTCAAAATTTTTAACGGTTATAATATACAGGGTGGGCCACCAAAAACTTTCAATGGCTATAATTTTTAAAACAAAAAAGATACCACAAAAATAAAAAATACCGTTTCTATAATATCGAGGGGGAATACATATGACGCATTTTTTGAACCACCTCGACCTACCCCTTTGGCGGCACCCCTACTCACTTGAAAATCTTAAATGGCGACACCCCACTTGTGGCGCCTTTTTGGAAAGCCCATGAAAAATGCTAAACGATGATCATAAAGTTTTTAGGGTGAAATTGAAAAACTACCCCTTACACGAAAAATTAGGTGGACATTAATGAAAAAAGTGATTTCTTCAGCACAAGTTACAAATTGGGACCCAGCTAAATGAGGCAAATGAGGTATTTTTCAAACCACCCCGACCCACCCCTAGGTGCCACCACCTCACATCTAATCTCAAGATAGCGATATCCCACTTGTAGACTTTTTCCTGTGGGGTTACACTAAATCCATAGTCTACAAGACACACATGATAAAAATTGAGCTCCAGACACCGATATTAGTTTTCGTCTATCTATCTCCTATAGAAAAGGGTGTTTTCCTTTAAAAGCGTCCAATTTGATCCACCCTGTGCACACTTTAGGTTTACACTTTTCAAAAAACAACAAAGTTCCCAATTTTATTATTCTAGGAGTTAGAGATGCCCGACGCACTATTGCCGGACCCTGTATATAGGTGTTCTGGTGTACCATAATAAAACTTAGTATTTTTTTAAACTTACTTTTTTGCAGCCTTTTTGTTCCTAATGTATGCAATAATTAAATAAAAAGAAATCAACATTATACATTATATTTTAAAATTCCTATATCTCTTGTTTTAAAAAAAATATCCAAGAAAACTATTTCATATTTTTTTATTTATCTAGTAGAATATTAACACAGATAACATATCATCTGTGATATTACGATATGTCATTATAAAAAAAACACTCACTCTTCTTTGATTTTCATATTGATGATGGGCATGTCGGCTGCATGAAAAATTGCCCTGATCTCACCAGTTTCCAGAATCAGTATTTTGCCTCTGCTGCTTCCAACTATGATCCTGTCCTGACTGAGCCAGCAACAACTCGTGTACACGACTTGATCGAACTTGCTGTAACCGAACTGTCTCCAGGTGAAGTCAGTACAGCCCAGACACCGCAAGACCGAGTCTCCAACAACCACTAGTTGATTGCCATCACCCGGATTACAAGCAATCTACAAAAAAGTCTTTAATATACAGGGTGGTCCGAATTGTATTCCGGACACTTCAGCAGCATATTCTGTAAATAAAAATAAGTAAAAAAGTTCGTGTAAATGTATGTCCTAAAATGCTTAGTTTCGTAGATACAGGGTGTAGAAGTTTTATTTTTATTTCGCTTTTTTCTAAATAATTTCTGAAGTAACATCAATATTTGGCTGAAAATTGGCGACTGGGAGTTTTTTGACATGATAAATTTGATTTCGATGTCAATATGTCTCCTACTTGTAGAGTGCGCCACCTACATATTTTTTAACTGGTTTGAAGAGTACCTAATAACTTTTCTTCCGTACCTGTATAAAACTACCGAGTAAAAAATATACATTTACGATGGTTTTCACGTAAAAAAGGTTTCTTGGTAAAAATCGCTACGAGTAAAGCCCCATACTCACACTTCGCTCCTTCGTCCCTTCCTCGCGTTACTTCGTCCCTTCGCTTCCTTCCTTCGTCCATTCGATGCTTGGAAATTAGTCGATTATGCAACAACACACCACAAAATATTTTTAATATAGCTACGAAATATCTAGTAACCTCTAAAATTTTTATTATAAAACGGCAATTCTTTGTCGTGTCAAAAATAAAAATTGAATTTTAATAATATAATTTTTTTTAATAAATCCGAATATTTCAGTATCACAAGTACAAGATACTCGTATATCAGTATGAATCTACAAGGCGAGTCAACAATAGAGTAAAGTTTATTATGCCATTTATATCGAAACTATGAAATATGACATACTAATTAAACGTTGATGTCAATCCCCATTTCTTCAGATATTTCTGCAAAGGCATCATGCACACCGTGCCATGGCCGTGAATCACTGTATTTTAGAAAGTAAGAGTGTTAGGACATATCGGTATGTAAACATCTTTAGTTTCATAAAAAAGTAACATCGTAATGTGAAAACCGCATCTTTGTAGCTCGACTCATAAACGGGAAACCCTGCAAAACACACGAAAATGGGACACCCTGTACAAACGTACTGCCAAATCAAGAAATCTACGAATGAAATCCAAGATCGATTTATATATTTTATATATTTTAATATTTTTTTGTGTTCGTGATAATTCCTTTGTTACTTCGTCCAAAAACCGACATACGGGGAAGGAGCGTTTCGAGGAAGTAAACGGACGAAGGAGCGTTTTGACGAAGGAACGAAGGAAGACACAGTCGCATAAAATCGACATTTCCCATAGTAAATATAAGATTTTTGGACGAAGGGACGCGACGAAGGAAGGAAGTGAAGTAGCGAAGTGTGAGTATGGGGCTTAATGGTTCTCGAGATTTTTGGAATCGAAATTATCAAATACCGGTCATCATTGACATAAATTAAACATGTTGACTGAATAGTAATTAGACTGAAATCATAAATTTTAAATATTTTTGTGCCAAAAGTTCAAACACATGTAGGTGGCGCCCTCTACAAATAGAAGTCATATTAACATCAAAATCAAATTTCTCATGCCAAAAAACTCCCAGACGCCAATTTTCATCCAAATATTGACGTTAATTCAAAAATTATTTGGAAAATATCGAAATAAAAACGATACTTCTGCACCCTGTATCTCGAAAACTAAACATTTTAGAACATACATTTATACGAACTTTTTACTTATTTTTATCGGCAGAATATGCAGCTGAAGTTTCTGAAATACAGTTCGGATCACCCTGTATAAATAGATTTATTGCACAAAAAAAATTGCTGACTTGTCTGACTGTTCCTGTATTATTAGCATTATTGGCTCTGGCAAAACTTTCGAGTCTACCCTTGTCGCACTTAAACGAGTACAAGCTCCAATCGGGCTCCCCCGTTACACAAATCAAGTTTTTGGAATTGTAGGTAAAGTCCACAGCTACGTATCTGTTTGCTATGATGTCCTTGTCCATTGGAAGGGTCAGTGTTCTTTTTTTCCTGAAAGTGTCGGGACACCATAGCGTAGCTATGGGATATTTCTCGGTTGTCTCTACAACAGCAATCAGTTTTCTGAAAAAAAAACAAGATTTTTGTCTACCAGAACAATAACGTTTGTTTAAAAGTGTTCACTTTCAAGAGCTCGTATTTTGTGTTATATTTTATGTAAAATTTTTGTATATTTTTTATTGACACAGTTTTACTAAAATGGGTCTTAAAACACACAATTTAGGGACTTACTTATCGGGACTTACTGCTAAGTGAGTGAGTTTTTTCCCCTTTTCACTCAATTTGATGAATTTCTGCTTTTTCAAGTGAATATTGTGAAGGGTCACTACCGACCCTACAGGGTAAACTACTTCATCGTCAGACAGGAAGTGGACGTTGTTTTTAATGCTGGTTTCTAGACCAAGAACCACGTGTGGCTGAAGTGTAGGCAACGAAAGAGTCATTTTTGTTAAAGTTACTTAGTTCAAAACTATTTAGTTTTTCTAGTTTTGTTTACATTGACCCTCAAATTGAAACAATACGTCAAAGTATACGAGACAGTTTCGGAATTTTTGGTTTGATCAATATTAAAAGTCATGTATTGTCTCTATAGAAACTGAGGTTTAGGAATGTACAGGGTGGTCGAAATTGGTCTGTTTTAACAGGGAAAACCTATTTCCTGACTAGATAGAGCAAAACCGACGTAGATGTCATGGGCTCGATTTCTGAGACAGGTTTAATGGCATAAACCGCCTGTTGATATTTTCACTGCCAACTGAGATACGGGGTCTTTTTCATTTTTTCACCATTTTGAAAATTGCCCATAACTTTTTTATTTTGCGGAATAATAAAATTCTGTAAAGACGTTCTTAAGGCACTTTTTTAAGCACAATCCAGTGGCGTAGTGAGTTTTTTTCTATGCTTGCTCTTTTTGTCAGAAATAATAAAAGATATAATTTTTAAATGGAAATCATAGTTGGCTATGAACTTAAAAAAATGCTGACGTTTAACCATTTCGAACGATTTAAAGTTATGGGTACCTATTTCTAAGAATGAGAGAAATATTAGGTTTTTTATCTTTGTATCGAAGTGTGCCTTGATTTTGTGTTGACCTAGTTGTCTAATTATTTTTTATCGCAATTTAATATTCTATATTATTACTTATCTGCATAATTAGAGACTTTTGAAAAGGCAAATTAACATTCTATATTAGTTTTAGTAATTACAATTGAAATCGATACAATAAACAAAGAACAAAGCTAAAAAACGTATTTTTTGAGTGACGAATATAGTTTTCTAAAAAAAATCATCTAAGATGTTTAAACTGAGCACCTCCCTTGTTGAATACATAATAAACATCTTTTGCGCACAGAGTTACAGCTATTTATTAGGCGAACTGGTGTAAGACCAAAAGCTTGCCTAGTAGCCTTCTGCAATTCTTCTCTCGTCCCAATGGACCTAGCAGGCCAAGATATGGGGTCCCTTGTTCCAATCCGATTCTCTCTAAATTCTCTATTAATGGCGTTTTAATTGTAATTGGTAAAACTAATATAGAATGTTGATTTATCTTCTCAAAAGTCTTTAATTTTGCAGATAAATAATAATATAGAATATGAAATTGCGATAAAAAATAATTAGGCAACTAGGTCAGTCAACACAAAATCAAGGCCCGCTTCATAGCCAACTATGATTTTCATTTAAATAATTATATTTTTTATTATTTCTGACAAAAAGAGCAAGTATAGAAAAAGACTGACTACGCCACTGGATTGTGCTTAAAAAAGTGCCTTACGAACGTCTTTACAGTCTTTACAGAATTTTATTATTCCGCGAATTAAAAAAGTTATGGGCAATTTTCAAAATGGTAAAAAAATCAAAAAGGCCCCGTATCTCAGTTGGCAGTGAAAATATCAACAGGCGGTTTATGCCATTAAACGTGTCTCAGAAATCGAGCCCATGACATCTACGTCGGTTTTGTTCTATCTGGTCAGGAAATAGGTTTTCCCTGTTAAAACAGACCAATTTCGATCACCCTGTACAGTGTGGTTTATTTTTATTGGCTTTTATAATTGAATAAAATGACCAAGAACAGGGCATAATATAAACAAAATTATTTTATCAAAAAAATCTATTATGAAAAAAATTATAGGGGTTTATTATTTTGTATTTTGTATTGTCCATTATTTGCCAAGTTTTTTTTTTGTTTAGGAACAAGTGTATAGTGTATTCTGCACAAAAGTAACTGTGGAGAATATTTTTAAGGTTCGCAATAATCTCACTCGAATTCAAGATTCAAGTCAGTGAGAAAATATATACCGGGTGCGTCTCAAAAGTGGCTCACCCGGCTCACCCCTATAACTTTTTTATTTTTTTAGATAAAAAAACGAGATTTGGTATGTTAGTATATGACATAAATTAGGATCGATTGACGTATTCAATTGTTTTTGGTCACTTCCTGTTTCACCGGAATTGAGTACAACTTTTGATTTTTAAATGGCACATATTTGGAAAATGCATTTTTTTACGAATAATTTGGTACCACACACTTGGTTTTTTCTAGTGAAATTGTCGTTATAATCCGCATGTTACAATTTAAAATTAATCATATGAGAAAATGTTAAAAGTTGACATATGATATGTCATTCTACTCAGAGTGTCATTTTCTATCAAATTAAGCAAAAAAATACAGAGGGTGTCATTTCAAAATCAAAAGTTGTTGTCATTTCCGGCGAAACAGGAAGTGACTAAAAACAATTGAATACGTCAATCAATCCTAATTTATGTCATATACTAACATACCAAATCTCGTTTTTTATCTGAAAAAATAAAAAAGTTATTGGGGTGAGTCACTTTTGGGACGCACCCGGTATATAAAAAAACGAATATTTAGCCTATACTAGTAGCTCTTTTGAATCGCAAAGAAGTAAGTAAAACTAGATGAGTTTCAATCCTATATTTTTTTGACTAAAAAATAAACAAAGCAAGCATACTTTTTAGTTGCCTTTCTATGATTTGTGGTTGCTAAAACACCAAACAACATAATTTAAGCCATATAAAAAAAATCTTATTAATAAAAACATAAGCCTGTCGGTTTCGTTATACATATAAGCCGAAAGCAGACCATGCCATTCGAAAGAGACACATCACTTTATATTTTATCTAACACAAGCAATCAGAGATGAATTGTAGAACAAGAGATACACGTCCATCGATTTAATTTGAAATTGTTTACGACTGTAGACGATTTACAGAGCTGACCAAAGTGATTTATGTCAGTTTTTTAATTCGTTTAAAATCGATTTACTCTATGTGTGTGAGGCCAAGTTTGAATTAAGTTTAAAATAATAAGTCCAGATCAGTTTATGTTGTACAGAGTGGCCCAGTAATAAAGTATATCGGCTGTAACTAAGTCCATTGTCAAGAGAAATCGCTGTAAATTATTTTCAAGTATAACTGTTAAACGCTAAAAAATAAAGTGGAGTTAACCATATTTATTATATTCAAATATTGATATTTGTTTTGGACTAACTGATTTTAGGGTTCTTTTACTGATAATTGGAAAATTTTTTAAAAGTAGCCTTTTAAAAGCTTTTAATCTTCCAGACAATTCCAGAGTTGTATTAATAATGAAAAGTCATTTAAACATCTCCCGAAGTCGATAGAAATAAAAAAAAGAAGAAAAAAGAACTGCTGAAGCTGAAAATGTTATTTCAGACTATCGAAAACTTCCGACTGAGATAATATTTGTTTAGAATCGAATGTCTGGGGAGAAAGAAGTACGTTTTGGCTGGTTACAACAGAAAGAAAAAGTCAAAAGAAATCTATAATTAATTTATTTTTCTTTTTTTTTGTATTTCGTCTGCTATTAATTTCCAGTTAAAAAAAACTGAAAAGAAAAAATATGAGATACGTCGAATATTTTTCCAACTGGAGTAAAGGGCAGACAAACATTCCCTTTTTTCCTGTTTATTCCTGTGTGTTATAAGGGAATCGATTTGTAGTGTGGTGCCACATGTTCGTGCAAAAACAGATTAAGGCCCTACTAAGTCTATAGGGAGTTTATATCATTTTCTTCTATTGTAAACGAGGTTCGAGAGATAGAGTGAATAAAAAAACTGTAATATTTACGCTACATTTGAGATGTAGTTTTAAAAACTATACAGGGTGACAATTTGAAAACGAACAGTATTTAATATTGCCTCTACCGATGATAGTATGAAAATTTGGCAAAACACGTCAATTTACATATCAAGGGGGACAATTTTTGAGGCATTTGTTGTCGTGTTACTTTCAACCCCTTGACCCCCAAGGCACCTACCCCTAAAATTTTAAATAGCAACCCCAATTTCTTTTACCATTTTTGTGTTTCTTATAGAATTCTACATAAACTGCATTATTTTTTTTGAGAATTTTATAAGGAACACAAAAATGGTAAAAGAAATAGGTGTTGCCATCTAAAATTTTAGGTGTTGAAAGTAACAGGACAACAAATGCCTCAAAAATTGTCCCCCTTGATATGTAAATTGACGTATTTCGCCAAATTTTCATACTATCATCGGTAGAGGTAATATTAAATACTGTTCGTTTTCAAATTGTCACCCTGTATATGTCTAATATGGAATACTTTGACCAACGCGAAAATTCATTACAGCGACAGTAAAGGTAAATTATTGTATTTTCTGTGAGTTGGGGAATGTGGTCTGTCGAAATCTTCTAGTTGGACAGACTATAATAGTTTTGAAAAATATTTATAATGCTCTGATATAAATATTTTTTTATATTTCTGATGCATAAACTACTCAGGGTGAGTCTTAAAAAAGTGCGAATATTTTTAGGGCTGGTAGATCTCGATAAAAGAAACATATTTTCTCTTTACCGTTTTTCAAATAAGTCCAAAATAACAGAGTTGTTCAAGTTCAATACTTAGGACATGAGATAGGTATTAGATGAAGTAATCAGACACACTAAATTCTACGAAGAATAGGTATGTCGTGGGCGGCATTTTTTTAATTATAAACTAAAGCATATACTAAGATCTGATCATCCAATATGTTTAAAAAGAAAGGTCTTTAACCAGTGTCTCTTGCCTGTTCCCACGTATGGAGCTGAAACACTTACTTTGACAAAAGAGAACATAAATAAAATTCAGGTCATGCAACGGAAAATGGAAAGGTCCATGTTGGGAGTTACACTTAGAGATAGAATACCCAATCATACCAAACGAAATCAACAGGAGTAAGAGATGCGGTAATATCTGTCTTACATCTTAAATGGAATTGGGCGGGATATGTGGCTAGGATAACAGATGGACGGTGGACAAAGAGACTTGTGGAATGGAGACCCAGACATGAGGCCTATAGAAGCAGAGGACGACCTGCTAGTCAATGGACAGATGATATTAAGAGAGTTGCTGGAAACTGGATTCCAGTGGCACAAAATAGAAAGAAATGGCTAGCGATTAAGAAGGCTTTTGCTCAGCAGTGGACGGAATAAGCTAAATGATGATGATTTATTTTTAAAAAAAATTGAGGGCCACCATATTTTTTCTGTATTTGCATCCTTTTTAGTG